CGGACGAATCAAAGCGCGGGTCGTCCCGGACCCATTCCAACAATCTCGTTTTCGTGTCGATGGTCGCCACGACGTCGCCCGGTACCACCAGGACGGGACCAGGGTTGCTGGCGCTGACAAGTTCGAGCTTGTTCGGACCCTTGATGTCGATGGCAACATCTTCCATGCCGGAAGCACCGAGATAGTCGGCTGCCGCTCTGAACCACGCGCACGACCTGACGTGGGGGTACATGAAAGTGTCCTTGGAAAAGTCGATGAGTTGCTTGCAATCTGTCCTTCGAGCGCCGGCGGGAGCCTCAACATTTTCGCTTTCTTCAGGCTTGATGGTGTACGAGACTTCGAGATCGCAGGCCACCCCATCGATAGTGACTGGGGTCGTGCTGTACAGGGTGTGCTCGTACTGAGGGTAGCCATCTGCGTTCGTCGAACCGTCCCACTTGAACACGAGTCGTCGTGACGATCCAGGCTCCACGATACACCAGCCGTCGCCGGTCGTCTCATACTGCCATCCGCCGGAACTTGCAAGTCCCTCAACGCCGTCGTTAAAAGTCGAGGGCGACATGCTGTCCCATATCTCCTTGAAGCGAGTGTGCAGGTCCGCCAGTGTGAGATTGGACAGTGCTGAAGCTGGTAGCGGGGGTTTAGCCGCTCCCGCATCCGCAAGCAACAGGTAAGTCTCCCCGTCGGGCGCGGCGAGGCTACACCACATCGTCCACCCTAGAACTTGCGAAGCTGCACTGACAGCACTGAACATGAGCTCTTCTGCTCGGGCGACGGGGTTTGGCGAACTAACAGTGATCGCGTCTGATTTCAGGTCCTTGTTGTTCAAAGCCTCGCCCATCAGTTGCAGGCGCTTCACGGGAGCGTCGACCTTCTCCTTCCACTGAGGATGTGCCCATCCCCACGTAAGCTTCGCCGAGTTCTGATGAGCCGCTATGGCCCCAACAAACATACAAGGTAGTGTATGGGAGCCAGCGGTGATAGTGCGAGCGGCGAAGTTGATGGATCCCTCCGAGCTGCTGCACCCCATCGCGTCCTGGAGTACGAGTCTCCACAGGGCGGTACGTACACAGGACCCTTTGGCGAACTGGTAAAGGCTCTGCCCGTCCGAAAGGTCATACTTTATGCCGTTCTCCATTATCGCCACCACCCGAGGATTGCCGCCTAGGGTCGTAGTTATCGTTTCAACGGTCTCGCCACCAAGGAATCCCGGGTGTTTCGTCCGCTTCTTCGTAATGTGCTTGTAGCCCGCCTCCGTCTTCTCCGTACGCGTCGTGGTCGTCGTCTGCGCCTCCTTTGAGCTTGTGCAACCCATGTTGGTGAATGTGGATGAGTGAAGGATTTCGCTGACAAGAGACCTCTCGTTCACATGAGACCATGCACGGCCTCAGTGCCAAGACCAAACAGCACCCCATGATTGCCGTCGTCGGATCCGGTCGGTTGATGTGTGAGGCACGACTTGAAGCCCCGTGACATGAGATAACGTACGCTTAATTCATGATCCACCATTCACGATCCACCATTGCGACGTCGACAGGCAGCCGGTGGCGGAGCCGAGGAGTAACGTTGGTCCGCTTGTAGCAGATTCAGAGGCTTACGTAAAAAGGCACACATATGCTTACCGGGGCACGCTGAACAGCCGAACGAGCCGCCCAGATACTGCTCCGCCCGAGTCGAGAGACACGAAACCCCCTCCGCTGGCTCCCGTGCCATCAATCTCTGTCTTCCGGCTCGTATAGTGTAGGTGGTTATCACCGTTCGTTGTGGAATGCATCCGAGCTGACCGCTGTTCGACTCAGCGTGCGAGCACTTTTTGTGCACTCTCCTCGTCCTGTGGAGCAATGATATGAAGCGCTGAAGTTCTCATGTCGAGTGATAGAGATGGAGTTAAATTTGGTGATAGGCACCAATCCAGGCACCTCGATTCAGGTCCGACATGCCAAAGTGTGTGAGTCAAGCGGTGTGGCCTACGCGCGGACGGCACGGACCTGCGATCGGCGTGGTTCCTCGAAAGCCGAAAGCAGAAGCAATAGCTGATCTGACTATAAGGAATGCTTCTGAGCTTCTGCGCTCCTACCCTACACTTGTCGGTTGATCGTCATACTTCCTCGTTCAAAGCGTTTGCGTATGACCCATGACCAAACTGTCCAACTCATCCAACAGCAAGGCAACGATGGTCAAGCACAGACCGGATAAGCAGGCGCAGCACGAGAGACAGGGGTTCAGGCAGCATGATGCATGCTAGGTGAGTTTCTCTCAGATCAGGCTCAACCCTCTGCTTTGAGCTTTCATCCATCACCGGCCGAGTCCGCTAGTGGCACTGTAGTCCGAAGTGGCACGACTTCGATGAACCAGGCAATGACGTTCCCAGCTGCATGTCACTGTTACGTACATGCATGTGTGAAAGACCCTTTTGCTCTCAGACGTCCGACGGTCTTGTCAGCTAGCTGGTCTGGTGCTCGATCCTTCAAGACGACGGTGGACTGCACATCGGGTCTATTCCCGCCCAGCGTGGATTCGGACGCCCTGCTATGTTTTGGGCGCAGGAGTGACTGCCAGGGGGCGTGCGGCACCCAAGCACCCGTAGCATCTCCAACGCCCGTTCCCACCGATCCCACCATGGCTTTCCCCGCATGTGCGAGCGATGTCTTCTCTCGGAATCAGAATCACACTCAGTGATCGTCCTCACTCCAGCCTCAGCCTCTCGCACGCTCAACTCATCGCTTTGCTGTACTCGTCTCTCACCATCACTCCTCGCTCGTTCTGACCAACGATGAGCTCATCCCCTCCGACACCTTCTCTCTCCATCGGCGGCGGACCCTTCGACGTGCCGCTGTCCCGTAATCATCTCTCCGCACCCTCAAGAGCAACTAAGCCCATCATGGGTTTGAAGGTGAGCTTCCGCTTTGTTACTATCCTCTGAGGTATCAGCGCGACCATCGAGTTGTTGACCCCGACGGTGGCTCCGACTGTGACCACCTGTCTCCCCCGCTGACCATGAGCGGCGCAGGTCCTTCGACCAGGCCCGTCAAGTCGGCGAAGCGAACACCCAATCCTCGTGTAAGCCGCTTAATTTCCTTGTCTTCCTTCTAAGACACTGACAGCTCTTAGATCGATGTCATTACCATTCTCGACAGCGACGAGGAGAACAACGCGCCAGCTGCGAAGCGCGCCAAGATGAATGCAAAGACCAGGTCGTCAAGCTCCACCGCCCAGCAGCGCGGCAAGAGCAAGGTTCGTCCATCACATGTCTTCCCTCCCCCCGTACTAACACTTAGGCCAAGTCATCGGTGCCTTATACGGCGCCCATCTACGTGACCACCTCCGCCAGCTCAACCAGCTTGAAGGTACGTCGCTCTGGTTTACGTTCTACCCGTAGCTGCTCACGTGTAGACAATCCAGGACTTCTTCCGTCCCCCAAGCCGTACCACTGCCAAGGCTTCTCCAGTTGTCGACGACTGCAAGCTCAATGATGCTGTGGTGAGCGCCGAGACTGAGGCATTCTTCGCATCGTGGCGAGCTCGGCAGGTTTGGTCCCAGCTCCTCCCCCGGCGGCGTCGAGCTCTTGGGACCCCGCCCCCGTACGTCCTGCCTTCCCCCTCAGTCACTGACAAACAGCCGCCCGTTCGCACCGACGATGACATCAAGGTTGTCCGCTTCTCCAAGGGCAAGGGCAAGGAGAAGCCCGAAGTCGGTAAGTGCACTGACCGCCTTCCCTGGATCGCCACTCACCGCCCCAGGACGCGCGCCAGCTCAAGAAGCACACGGACGCCAAGGCCCGCGCCGACAAGGCCAAGCTCGAGCAGCAGGAGAAGAAGGAGAGGAAGTCTCAGCGCGACGCTAAGGTACGTGCGCCTTCCTCGGTGGTGACTGACCCAGTGCAGCGCAAGGAGCTGAAGAAGCGCCTCGACGCCGAGTCGGATAGGGATTCATCCGACGATGAGGTATGGATCACTGGTGTCACGTCGCTGACGACAGGAGCAGGACAACTCATGGGCTCTCCCAAAGGAGCTGTACAGGTGCGGGCATCGAATCATCGAGGTGAGTTCCTTCACCTTTTGAGCTCTGCTGATGTCAGTACAAGCCGGCAGATAGAAAGCAGGGCAAAAAGAAGGACCTGGGACCTATCAAAGTGGTGAGCAATCGCGACAGAGATCATCCGCTGACCCTAGCTCAAGGGCCTCCCGACGCTCGAAGCCGGTCAAACTACTCTGCATGACTACTGGTGGCTTGTGCGGCTGACCATGTGAGCTGTGCTGACTTCAGACTTATGAGGAGATGTATGGACCGGAGAAGAACAATGAGGTCCCGCTCGATGACAAGCAGCAGGAGGATGCCGCCAATGCTGCCGATGCCCCAGCGAGGTTGTTAACCACGTCCGGATCGGTCAGCAGTCCATCCGAGTCGGCCAGTTCATCTACGTCGCTCAGCAGTCCATCAGCGACCTCGGCCGGTCGTTCAGCCTCCATCGATCCTCCTCCCCCATCTAAGCCCAAGCCCGATTCTCCAGCCCCCATCTCCCCCAGCAGCGCGCGAACTGCAGACCACGACAGTATCGACGTACTTGACAAGATCGCACACTCCCTCGAGTACATCTACCGGCAACGCAACTTGAACCTGTACTTCGAAACCGATCTCAACTCGACGTCGAAAAGAAACAAGGTTGCGAATGACGTCCTCGCCAATCTCGCCCCAGGGGCTCTGCAGATCCTCGCTGACGGCAGGCGTCTGGCAGTTCCCCCTATATAAGTAAGTCCACAAGGGCATGCTCCAGGCCGCGATCGACCGCATCGCCGCCAGGCGCATGCTTTCTCTGTTTCGAGACCGTCTCCGGACCCGAGAGCAGAGGCAGAAGGACATCCACAAGCGCATGAAGCCTGGCGCGTTGGAGTTTTTGAAGATGCTGTCAAATGGACACTTCCCCGACACCGAGGAGCTGCTTCGCCTTCTCCCGGTCTCACTCCACCTTTCCAAGTGGGGTATTTACGCCCGTGCCGCTCTTCCCCTGGTTCCAGGCCTGCCCCTGCTCATCTACGTCGGCTCCTCTTGTTGCATGTCGGTCCCCATCGGCGGCATGGCCAAGCGTGCATACACTCACCTGTATCGCATGAGCTCGCAAGAACGCACGTGAGTTCTCCAAGTCTGGCAGTCGACTAACTCTTTTGACCCGATGCGTTCATGTCGGAATTGACGAAGAACCCGGAGCTCTACGTTGTAGGCTTCTTCGAGCTCTTGGCCCTGACCGACTTTGACTACACCACTGCTTCTCGTAGGCAATTGTTCGACAACTGCCTCATGACCGTGATCGGGGAGGGCGTGCTCGCCGAGATCGCCGACGCGTACGGTAACTACGGCATGAGAACCACCTCCGGTGTCAAGACAAGGGGCTGCAACAGGGACGAGCCGTTGGCTCAAGCGCTTCACCTCCCGAGGAAGGTCTACTGCTGGTAAGCCCTTGATGTGACACATTCACTGATTCCAGTCCTCACGACGGTTGCGGTGAGGAACGAGAGACATACCAAGGCAGGCGCATGCTTGCTCTGTTCTGCGACCCTCTCTCCAGGCCACATCGCCCGAAGAGCGCCTGAAGCCCGGTGCGATGCAACTGCTGGAGTCGCTTGCCAAGGGCCACTGGCCCGACGTCGAAGACCTTCTCGAGCTCCTCCCCGTTTGTCTCCACCGCTCTGTCTGGGGCGTATACGCCCGTGTCGCCTTCCCTCTGGTTCAAGGTCTTCCCATCCTCATCTACGTCGGATCAAGCTGCTGTATGACGATTCCGGTCGGCGGTATCGCCAAACGCGCGTACCGTCATCTGTATCGCATGTCGTCCCTCGAGAAAACGTGAGTGACCCTGGATCTGCGTTGGTTGACGCTCCAGCCCCGATAGGTTCACCGCCGAGCTCTCGATGACCCGGACCTGTACGCCGTCTCGTTCCTGGAGCTCTTTGCGCTTGACCAGTTCGACATCACGTCGGCCACGCGTAAAGAGCTCTACGAGAACTGCATCTGCACCGTCATCGCCGAGAGTGTGCTTGCAGAACTAACCAACTCGTACAACGATTACGATAGCAAGACAAAGACTGGAACGAGCGTCATGGGCTGCTACTCGGATGAGCCCCTCGCGCAGGCACTCCACCTGCCGCGTGAGGCAACCTACTGCTGGTAAGCTCATGCCAGAAGGCGTCCACTAACCCAAGTTCGTATGCGGGCTGCGAGGAGGAGCAGGAGACGTACCAGGGGATGGTGGCGCACGTCCAAGATGTGCACGACGGCGCGTTCGGTGAGTGTCTAACGTGTCGATCAACGCCTGACTGTGCAGAGCACGTTTGTCCCTGCGGGCGTCAGTTCTTGTATAAGACCGACCTTGAGTCGCATGCCGTCAAGTACGACCACCGCCCGTACCGCTGCGAGCGGGGCAACTGCGACAAGGCGTACCGGAAGCTCAAGGAGATTCTGCGCCATCACCGTGACCACGACGCCGAAGGCGGTAAGTCTGAAACGCAGACAGCGCTGACTCAAGCGTTCCTTTGCAAGGAACAAGGCTGTAAGTCCTGTCCTGTCCTGCCACCCCTTCCTTGCTCTGCACATTGCTGAAGTTGGCAGTTCTGCGTTGCACTACATGCGAATACACCACGCACCTGGACTCAACCCTGAAAGACCATCAGGCGAAGGCGCACAACAAGGTAGATGGTTGTCTCGGCTCTCGAACGCGTGAGCGGCAAGCGCATCTTGACCACTTTCCACCGGGAGCTCAAGTCCTCCTCGCAGCGCGCTGCCATCAAAAAGAAGATCGGCGACCGTATCACTCCCGAGATGCGCAAGGTTCTCGAGATGCTGGCATCTGGCTCCTTCCCCGAAATCCTGGAGCTGCTCGAGCTACTCCGGGTCGCCCTCCACCGCTCCAGTTGGGGGGTGTACCTTCGCCTCGCTCTCCCACTCGTCCCCGGCCTGCCGATCATTGTGTACATCGGTAGTTCTTGCGCAATGTCGCTGCCTGTTGGCGGCCTCGCTGCGCGCGCGTACACACACCTGTACAACCTGTCCTCCGGCGACAAGATGTGAGTGGCTGTAACAAGGCATCTCATCTGACAAGTAGCAGCGACGCTTTCGCCTCTGCCCTTCTCGAGGATCCGTCCAAGTACTGCGTGGCGTTTCTCGAGGCATGGACTCTCGAAGACTTTGAGTTCCTGACTGCTTCCCGCCGCGAACTGTCGGATGCATGCATCCTGACCGTCATTGCCGAGGCGGTTATGGCCGAGCTCTTTGACACGTACGCGCGCAGCAGTAGCCTCACTACGCCCTCGGGGATTGCCGTGTCGGGGGCCAACCGCGACGACCCCTTGACCCAGGCCCTTCATTTGCCCGCCCATGCGACGTACCACTGGTAAGTGCATATGACGCGCCCACTGCTAAGGCAAGTCCATTCGATGACTGCGACCACGAGGAAGCAACGTACGCCGCGATCAAGGCGCACATCGACGACGTCCATTGGGGCGAGTACGGTGAGTTTTACGATTAACACAGGCCTCGTCTAACAAGTAGAGTGGGACTGTGAGTGCGGGGAAGAATTCATCTTCAAGGTAGAGCTTGAGCGACACGCGCACTCCACTGGGCATCGACCCTACCGTTGTCACAGAGGCACATGCAAGTCTGCCTTCAAGCAGTTGAAGGAGCTCAACAGCCACGTGAAGAAGGTGCACGAGGCAGATTGTGAGCCTCAAGGTGCTGGGTCTCGCTGACCGAAGACTATGTGTGCACGGAGGACGGATGTGGCAAGGTCTTCAAGCGCCTGAACTCGCGCGAGAAGCATATCAAGTGCATCCATCGCGGAGAACGAGGTAAGCTGTGTCAGTAGTGTTTCGACTGACCAAAGATTGGCCGTGCCCCGAGTGCGGTCGGGAATTCCGGACGAACTGCACTCTGGACGACCATCGCTACACAGGGCACGGGGTAGGGGAGCGCGAGAGTAAGTCCAACCCAACCTTCCCTTCCTTATCCTGCGCACTTGCTGACGGTGGCAGCCCTCGAGTACTTCATGTCCCTACACCACTCACCTTGCTTCCACGAGGACCATGTGAGGACGCAGGAGGTGGCTGCCGGCCAGGAGAAGTTCACTTGTCCCATCTGCAACGCTTCCTTCCGTTCCGGCAAGGCACTTGGCAGTCATGCTCATCGGAAAGGCATGTCACTTGAGTCGCTTCTAAGTACGTCTCGCCACCTGGATCTTGTCTAACTTTACAGCGCACGAGTGCAAGAAAGGCTCTGGCAACAATCGTGCACAATCACTACCCTCAAGCCTCATTCGATCTCTACGCTTACCCGCGCCCAGCAGGTAGCTAGTACGCCGTTCATTCATACGCAGCGAAAGCACATATGCATGTATAACATTGAAGATACCATTACAAGCTGCAGGGCCAAATCAGCAGCTGTACAAGAAGCACAGAGCTGTGGGCTGTGGGAGCTTGTCACTCCGACCTTCGTTCAGGTCTGGAGCATCCCCATCTGCTCGCGCCTCGAAATCAGCAGTTTCTCATCAATTCTAAGATAGAAAGACCCCTTCTAGGTAGCTCTTTCTTCGCCATACCCGGTCTCGATTCCAGCTTCTGGCTGTTAACTTAAAGTGAGGTTCGAAGTCAGCGACAAGGGACGTTCTTCGAAGGCTGCCACTCGTTATTTTACTGAACTCAACACCCAGGTCCTCTCTTCTCCTCCCTGCTCTTGAATACCTATCGCCGACAGCCGCACCCTGCACCTCGTGCAAGCCTCGACCGCCGCCTTCAGAGATTTAGTAAGTCGTGCACGGAAGAGCGTGAGGTGATTCACAATCCGTCTGCATCGATGTCCACAGAATATCGGTCTTATTGCTGTCGGCCGGATTGTGGTAGATACGGCTTGTGTACGGCTCGCGAGTGTGGTGCCCATGCCGGTTTGAGGCGAACGTGATGGCCGTGTTGCAGGACTCCTCGTGGCAATAGAAGCTTTGCCTGTCGATGTCACGTTCGATGGCGACGAGGTCCACCCATCTCGTGATGAGCTGACTAGATGTGGTCCAGAGAGTTTATCCGTGAGAGCTCCATGGCGCAGGCGTCACAGTATCGCGACAAGGTCTCGTTTGATGAGTGAAGCAAGCGAACGTGTCGCAGCCTGAGGCGCAGGCGATCTTATCGGTTGGGTCATTCGTGGTGAAGGTGAGCGAAGAACCGTTTACCGAGCTCGGACACCTCAGCCCTTCTGGTGGCCCTAAGCACCTCATGGCGACTGCCATTCCCTGTCACAGGTTAGGTTTCCACAGGCAATGATCCCAGCATGCATTGCCTACCAGATGTCAGAATGCAGACTGCAATCGCATACGTCGCGCGTTCGGTAGGAGAGGATCAGTGCTTTGCAAGTTGCGCGATCATCGATCGGCATCTGGGGGCGGGCCGCGCCTGTGTTGTCGCGTGAATCGCGAGGGCAGAATCTCTGTGACAGGAAACGTCGAGGGAGTGTAAGTCGAAGGTCCGAATGTTCAAGCCGGAGAGTGAGACAAGCTGGTGGAGAGCACGACGGGATGCGTTGCGAACAGCTGGATCGAACATGCAGAGAAGACATCAAGTTGGCTGGAAGTGCAAGTGAACAATGCGCGAGTCATTTGCGCCCTCAGGGCACGTGGCTAACGGCGGCCAGGTCCGCAGATCATCGGCGACCGCAGGTGCGAAGCCGTCGCTCTCGGAGTTGAGGTCGAGAGGAAATGCCGCCGTACTGTCCACCGATGCATGATGCTCACCATGCCTGCGACCCTCACCGAGCTGTAGAATAATTAGTGCGGTGTTTGGGAAGCCTGTAATCAAAGTCGGCTGCCTCTACGTCGACAGCAGTCAGTAACCGGGACATGAGCTGGCTCACTGTGGCACATCACCCCGGCCCTAACCACTTCACCTCGAATCCACCTGATCTCTGCTATCCGTCAGTCCCAGCGCGCCCAGAGCGCTCGCGCTCGCCTGCACTAGGCTTAAGCTGCCTATATTACAAGTACATCAAACGTATGTCATCACAACTATACGGTATGAGACCCGAGACGGGGAGATGAGCAGCCAGCTTAGAGGGAAGTGTCAACGTTCTTAACACCGGCCTTCTTCGCGCGCTTGACGAGCTTCGCAGTGCTCTTGTTGCCTCTGAGACCTCCGCCCCAGTGCTTGCTGATCTCGTTGTGCTTCTCGAGGTAGTTGGCCTTGGCGGCAGAGACCAGAGTGGCAAGGGCCTGAGCGTCCTCGGAGCGGACCTCGGTCAGGGCGGCGACGGCGGCGGTCTTCTTGTTGACGGTAATTCCAATACGGCTCTTGTTGTTCACAATGACATAAGGAACGCCCTGCTTGCGGCAGAGAGCCTGGAGAGTCAGCGCTGCAGGAGGTGACAGATGTCGTAAGGAGAAGGTGGGGTGGAGCAGGTGGAGGTGGAGGTCCCACGTGACTGAGATGGAGGTGGAGGAACGGAACTAAAACTTACGGGGAGGAAAACGACGAGCTCGATGGGGTCAACGTCGGCGGCGATGACGACGAGCTGAGCCTTCTTGGCCTCGACAAGGGCGACGACGTGGTTGAGGCCGTACTTGACGAAGAGGGGCTTCTTGGAGTCCTTGGTGGTGGAGTCCTTGGTCTTGTTCTCGGCCTCGGCCTGGAGACGGGCCTTCTTCTCCTGCTTGGACTCAGGCTTGTACTTGTTGAGGAGGGTGAAGAGCTGAGTAGCGGTGTTCTTGTCAAGAACGTTGGAGAACTGAGCGATGGCAGGGGGGACCTTGAGGCGCTGGTTGAGGATGACGCGCTGGCGCTGGAGGCGAACGTACTCGGGCCACTTGACGAAGCGGGTCATGTCGGTCTTGGGGCGGATGTCACCACCTGGCGGTCAGACGAGCGGATTGTCAGAAGCACTTACCAATGCCGAAGGTGCGCGAACGCTTCTCGAAGAGAGGGTTCTGGGCGGTCTTCTTGGCGACCTTGGTGCCGTAAGGCGCCGAGGCGGGCTTCTTGGACTTGGAGGTAGCGGCCTTGGGCTGTGTAATTAAAAGGGGTCATTGAGACAACGTCAGCCCTGGTTCCAATGCAGAGAGAGGAGGGCATCACGCAGCTCTAAAGCATTGCTGGTCGTGAGACCGAGCAAGCTTGCACAGCTCGACCTGGCACGATGGCTCAGGTTGCGTCAAGGGGAGGCATTGCGAAATCTCGCAGACCCGTCCCCGTGCTGTCGATCCGAGGTCATTTCCGCGAATCACTAAGTGAGACACGATCGCTCGTGATCCAGATCCAGCACTGCGCGCCACGAAGCACAGAGGCGGTTCAGCAGCTTGAGAGGTTCGGCCTCTAGCATGAGTCACCAGACATCTCCGGGCTCGAGTGGACGACTTTCGGTGAGAAAAGTGTATGCTTTCGCGCACGACGCGTCGAGTTCAAGGCGGGAGCGTGATGCCCTCGTTGGAGGGAGTGAAGCGCACCATTTTTGGTTGTCGTAAGGTGGTAGACTTTTGATGGACGAAGGATTCACCTGTCTCCCGACATCCATCAGATATTCTGCATGCATGCACAACGGAGTTTGAAGAACTGAAATCGGCGTTTCAACGTGTGGCACTTGGGCCTTTTCGATGCTAATCGACTCCAGCCGGGTCCGGCCGCCAGGTCCCGTGGCCCGTGCCTGAGTGAGAGACTGTGTGTCTGGGTCGCTGCTGTGTGCACTCTCGGGCATGTGGTCACTCGGGCACCGGCTCCGAGCGATGTTGACGGCCTCGGAGCCCGTCAGTGCGGCTCCGGTGCAGTAGCATAGACTCGGTTGTGCGTCTACACGCATGCATCAGAAAATTTCTCTGCAAACCGTACGCGCGGCGCTGCCTAGCTCCGCCCCGACCTCGCTGCCTGCTTCAGAACGCCAGAGATGCATCGATCTTGAAGAACCGAAATGCCACAGCCACGTGGTTGCGTAAAATCCCGGCATGTCTCACCAAACGCCGCAGTGGAGGCCAAAGTTGGACGATTTGCTCCCGTCGTCGCGAAATTGGTTGGTGGTTTACGAGCGTTTCGAGCAACTTGGAACTTGCAGCCAGCAACTCGACCACGATGCCTCAGCAGATCACCGACATCAAGCGCTTCCGTGCGTATCGAACGAGTAGGAATCGACCGAGAGATTGTCCGAATCGACGTTGAAGGACCGAATGTTGGAATTGCGGAGTGACGACCTGTGCGGACTCGTGTGAACGAAGGTTCGGGCGGTTCAAGTTTCGGCATGGCGGACAGAGCATGGGACAGGACGGAAGTTTGATCTCGAGGGACAGACAGACGGACAGGCCTTGCGTGTCGTTGTGCTCGTACTCTGCGTGAAACGGACATCTCTCGGCGGACAGAATGAAGTGCGCATGGATAAATGCTGACCCTACAGTCGAGATCGCCCGCCGCAAGGACGCTACCTCGGCGCGCATCAAGAAGACCCTGGTCAAGCCCACCAAGACCGTCGCTGGTGCCAAGGCCAAGGCTGCTTCGAAGCCCCACACCCAGACCAAGTTCAAGATCCGCTGCTCGAAGTACCTCTACACCCTCGTCCTCCACGACTCTGAGAAGGCCGAGAAGCTCAAGCAGTCCCTCCCCCCCGGACTCAAGGTCGAGGAGTTCGCCGCCAAGACCGCTCCCAAGAAGAAGAACTAAAAAGCCTTCGGGATCAGCTTAGATGGGCATAGGTTGGGAGAGTTCTTAGGTGCATATGCATGCGCCGTGTACACTTCGTCATGCGAGCACGAGATTGCAGCAATCACTGACCTGCGAGTTCTGACTTTCCGCTCTAGCCACGTGGTGCCAACTTCATGATCGTCACGTGATGTCTCAGCGACACTGTGGCACCCGGGAGAACTGCAGCACTCCCAGCTTGCGCATTTTCACACCCCGTAAGCGAGCCACGCACGTTCAGCAAATCGCTGCTTCGAATGCTTCGGCCGACCCACTAACGTTCGCTTCTCGACGTGAAATCACGCACATGGGACGAAGGTTTAATCTGCGGAGGACACGGCGAAAACAGAGCTCACATGTTGCCATCTCGACGTCTCGCTGCGACATCTTATCGGACACTCGGTCTTGGCAAGGAGCTAAGTCTGGCTAGTGGCAGAGTTTAGCAGGAGACAACGCGGGCACCTCTATCTGCGCGCGGAAGAGTAGCGAAGTACGTGGTGCACCCTCAACTCTGTTATCGGTATAGCATGCATAAGTCTAATTTCTGGACCCACTCGGTGGGTCGGCACATCTATGGTCACGGAATGTCAAAGGTAGTATTACACGGTCGCCTCGGGGAGCTTCTTCGCCTGCATCTCTTGCGTTCCGAGGATCTTCTTCTCGTATGAGGACCTCGGGGTGGCTTGCACTAGCGTGTCGGGCGATTCGGCGACCTCGGAGACTACTCGCTCAATCGCGTTATCGGTGCGCTCAGCCTCTGCCTTCTTGCGCTCCTTCTCAGCCTGCCTGTCCTTGCGCTTCTCCCTCCACTTGCCGCCCCTGGCAACAACGAGGAATGAGAGCGGAAGGACTACCAGACTAAGACCGGAGAGAAGCACAAAGGTCCAGCCCACGCCCATAGCGTTGTACATTAGCTGCACAGTGGCAGTCCCGACCGCAGCGAGGGCGCAGCGCACCAGGTTCAGACTAGCCGACACGGCCCCTCCTCGCCCCGGAACTACGTCCTGGCCATAGATGGTGACAGTCGAGTTAAAGTTCGTGCCACACCCGATGAGGAATTGCAGGACGAGAACCACTGCGAGCGGCGCAGTGTACTCCATGGCCCATCCGAAGGCAATCGCAGTCAAACAAAAGCCAATGATGAAGGGCCACAGGCAGCGATGGCGTGTAAGCTCGACTCGGAAGTCGGGTCGGACGCGATGGTCACCGCCACACCGCTTCTCCTCGCGTCGGTAGAAGTAGTCGACCTGCTTGCCATTAAGGATTGTCGAGATGATGGTACCAGCCCCTGACGGAAGGTAGCAGAGACCGACCATGAGGTCATTGAGACCATACTTCTCCTTCAGGACAGTTGAGAAAATTGTGAGGCAGCAGTAAAACTCGACATACGGGATCGAAGACACGATGAACGTGAGGAGAATCTCAGGGACGAGGAGGATTTTGAACGTGCTGAGCGGATCGAATTGACGGCGCTTGGGAAGAACCTGCGGGACACCCTTGAGGCCCTCAGTCTCGAGACGCTTCTCCATGATCTTGTGCTGGTACCGATAAAAGGGGCCTCTGTTGATGCGCGGCGGCGTGACGGAGCCGTCCCCGACAATGGGCCTCAAGGTTTCAGGATACAGCCTGGACATTGTGAGCTTCGAATCATTCCGTGCCTCAGGGTGTTACGGCAATCGGTCACATGGACCCACGCGGAGACTGCGGCGGTACTCACAAGAAAAAGGGGATAAGCAGGCATCCAGTGAGGATCGTCAGAAACCAGAAGATGGCACGCCATCCGAGAGACTGGGAGAAGGCACCACCGAGCAGCGGTCCGATGGAGGGTCCCAGCATCTGTTGTCAACGGCCGTCCCTGATCGCCACGGTCCTCAAGTACTTACGACTCCGCACTGAAAAATCGACATGAACTTGCCTCGCTCGCGCGGCTCTGCAATGTCGGAGATCGCGCCGGCACCGATGGAGATGACTGCGCTGCCTCCTGTTGCCTGGAGAGCACGCATGAGAAGAAGCAGCCAGTAGGCGTTGGTCGGGGTCAGAGCGAGTCCAATGTTGGCCATGAGGTACAGGAACATCGTTCCGAGGTACACTGGTCGTCGGCCGAAGCTGTCGCTGGCGGCACCAAGGAAACTAGGCGTGATTGCCCTGCATGTCAGCCTCGAATGAGCAAGACGACTCACTGGAAGACAAGATAGACGGATACACCGAGAGCAATGTGCTCCTCGGAGTGACCGAAGGCATCGGCCATAGAGGGGATAGCTGGTACAAAGATGTTGGAACTGAGCGGGGAGATGATAGCACCGGCACCGCAGAGCAATGCAATGATCCACTTCATCTTGTTCGAGAAGGCAGAGTAGGGTCGATCCGGCAGTTCGATTTCGATTGTCTGTAAGATAGGTGGCAGGTTGAGTGGCTCCGGCGATCCCTTGACGGTCTCTTTTCCGTCGACGAGGGTAGAGGGCGTGGGCCAGTCGTATTCAGCATCGTTCTTGATCGGAGAAGATGGAGAGACCGGCGAAGACATCTTGTCATAGTGTAATGATCGCAAGGAGGGACAGCGAGTGTTGGGCTCGGAGGGAACGATGGTACCCTCCGGCGAGGCCAAGCCCGGCGCCACCTGGGCGTCGGCCATGCGAATGTCGATCTCGGTTCTCGACACGGTCGAGGACATGGTAGTACAAGCAAGGAGAGGAGAGGGGCACTGCAGAAGCCAGAGCCGCCCATAGCCATGCACTCTTATATCTGTCCCGTATCTAAGACTGCACTGCGATCTTGGTCGCGTTGGCCAAGAAAACTAGCTCTGGGGTGTCGGCGGCGAGGCGTGCGACGGGAGTCTAGCACACCGCTTCCTTGGCTCGCTGGCGCTGATAGCGGTGATCGAACCAGCCCAGTGCCGATGAGGGCATGCCGGCCGAACCAGACAGTCGGTTCCCATGAACCCCTCCAAACGTGCATAAGCACCATGCGTGGACTGCGTCTTCTTCGTAAGCCGAGCATAACCAAAGTCGGAGAGGTCGGAGCTGCGGTGTCTGCGGCAGACATTGCGCGACTTTGGGATACGTGAAATGAACGGGATATCTGCCGTTCAGCAGGCTCTCGGCGAACAAAGCGAAGATGAGCAGCTTGATCGCTTGATCCTGATATCCTGACGTGCTAGCAGCTGGGCTTGGCCGGGACCGCGATGCCTGCGGCGGCGCGTTGCCGCGCGCCGAGACCGTGAGGGTACAGCCTTGGGCCTGCGTGCTGCGTTCTGTGGCATGTGCCAGCTGCGGCGAGGGGGTGTGCCGCGCGTGCCGTTGTGCCGGTAGCGAAAAGATGAGACATGTGTTCTAAGGGCCGAACTCAATCCCACTGTAGCCTTTTCAGGGTAGTCACTAGTCTTCACTTGGGGCGGATCATTATTACGCCGAGAAAACCTCCATGTTGTCATAGCACCCGTCCTGGCTCTAGAATGTCGCCTGGCCGGGCTTGGCACGTTCGTAGTCTTCTTCGACGCCGAATCCGTGCCAAACTCTAAACCGTACCAGTGTTTGAATGAGCGATTTCGCAGCAATCACAAGATTCTCGGCGTAACATGTTGCATCTCTCTTCTCACATGAGGCAATTAAGCTCTGCTGTTCAAAGCGCCAAGTCGGCGGCCGCTATCCAGGCTCTCCCCGTCTGCGTGCCGATGCCGCAGGTCTCCATTCGTGACATTGGAGCTCAATGGCGCTCGTACCGCAGAGGTCGTGCCCACGGAGGCCAGCGGGCCTGAGCCGGCACGCGTGGACGCTGGGTTTGAGGACACTGCGGACACGATGCCAGGCGCTGGGCGCCGTTGCACCCCATCGTTCCCAGAGTACGTGGGTGGCAGTCTGCGCGGTGCTGGAATCGACTGCGGCACACTCATAGGCTCTGACTCCACGTCCACTGCAGAATCCACGGTCGGGGCATCTGCCACTCCACCGACCACACTAGCGCTATCCGCTGGCGCCAGTGCCGCTACCCGTCCTGCCAAGTCTTGGCCAAGCTTGGAGATGCCTTGAGACATGGCGTGCACCGCAACGCTCCGCAGATCCGTAGTACTGGGAACGATCGAAGTTGCCTCGGGTGCTGTTCGTGACAGGAGCCGTGGGAGCGCAAAGGTCAGATGGCGTGGGTAGACGATTCGATCTTGAATCACAGCTCGAAGCCTCTCCACGAGCAGCTGCTCGATCTTGGGGATGTCCTGGAGCTTGGCCCGCGAACCCAAGAGACTCGACGTCTTCAGGTTGAGTGAAAAGTCGGGGAGCAGGCACACGTGCATGTGCTGCTGCTCGTCTTTCGGGTCGTGAATCTGCACACTCAACTGGAAGATCGGTCAGTGATGCTGACACGGCAGAGGAACTTACAGTTCCGCCAAATGAGACCAGCTCAACCCCGATCGCGACAGGCAACACGGCAAAGCGTGGTCGCGGAAAGTTTATCAGCACAGCAGTCGAAATAGCCAGGGACACCGTGTCGGCGTAGTCGAGATCGACTTCAGCCCGCACACGACCTTCGCCGTCGGCTGGTCGGATCCTCGAGTTGGACAACAGGGGAAACGCTTTGCCCAGGTTGACTGACGTAACCTCAATGGGGTCCAGCCATGACAGCTCACGGCCAGGGGGGTTCAGCCAACGTTCGAACTGCTTGCGGGCGCCTTCCTCGCCGCCAGAGGACAGAAGATCATTGCGGTAGCCTTGCAGGACCTGACGTTAAAATCTCGGAGATCGGAGGGTTACCACAGGATTGGTCAACTTACCTGCGCTCCGAGAACGTTGATCCAGTCGGCCGATTCGGCTGCGTGCGATGACATGTCGTATCCTGTTTTATCCAGGAGCTCCGCAGTAGGAGGTGGAGGCACGGCGGTCGTCGACAGAAAGGCTTTCTGGGGTTCAGCAACGGAACGATCTAAATTTAGCTCACCTCTGCGCGCTCTTTCCGTCTCCTCAGACGCGCCTCATTGTCCTCGATGCTTGGAGAGCTGAAGACGACATAGCGAATAAACAGCAGACAGAGCAGAAGGAATATGCCCTGTCCCACTAGCAAACCTTGTGTGAATGTCCACGCTGAAGGAGTCGATTCGAGGCCCATCGCTTTGAACAATTGCTGTGAATCACCGGGAGGTCACTAGTTCAGTCGCAGTTTATGTTGACATCGCTTTGCGGGGTTTGAAAGCGTGGAGGATGGAGCGACGACGATGTTGTCTGGTCCCCTCGAACTCCAAATCAGGGGCTCGGCGATGATCTCATGCCATGTTTCGTGCGCGTTACGTAAAACTATCCTTCCCCGACGGAGTCGGAGTGATGCGCCATCTCCGCGTTTCGGAGACAGGGGGTGCGGACGATGTCAGTCACCCGGAACGCACATGCATGCGCATACATTACCACCAAGACCGTGCGCAGCGTATAGGGGTTGACCTGCGACAGTGCACGCTGTCGAAATTATGCTGAATCCTGCTGACCACACCGGCTGCGATGCCCTCCTACATTCAAGGTCGCAAGAAGGCTCTACGCTCCAGGTATCGGCCGTCAACAGGCTCAGAGCCTCTGCAGCGATACTGCAAGCCCCGGCATATTGTGCCTCTCGCTGGGGTTAGGGAGCGACGACAACGTATGGCGCTTGATCAACCCTGCCCTTGGGTGCAGACGGTAAGGGTATCCGGTCCTGAGTATCGCTGCGGCACTCATTGCTTGGCGCGCGACACTGCGTATCCCAGGAGCGAGTAGATAGTAGGTCAGTGGGACAGACTTGATACCTGCCATGTGCTGCCGCAACTGTGTGCTTATCGGGGAGGAGTATCAAGCACCTTGCGGACAGGTTGTAGCGTTATAATAAGTCGGAGGAAAGCGAGGGCAGGGGCGGGGCAGGTACAGCACAGTCATGTTGGAGGCTGAGGCGTGACTGATTTTTGGCGCCCAGTTTGAGGAATGGTGCGCTACGGTGAGCGGTGGTACGTTGGACGGGGAGGGACTGCGGGACCAACCGTGCTTGGCCAGGGCTATCCTGCAGGCGCAGGGCCCATGAAAGTGACCAACCCCTGGCTGGCCTGGCTGCCTGCCGCGCGCCGTCCGTCTGATGTTTGCAACCTTCATCCAAGCCCATCAGCCTCCATCGCCTGCATGGATGCAACCACCCGGCATCCCAACTTTGCTCTACCACCTTCCGTTCAACATCACATCACTCATCCAGCACTCTCTGCAATACAACCTCTCCGCATCACCATCTATCAGCATTCGGTCAACGTCAGTCGGCTCTTCACCGCGGTCCATCAACCGTTGCCGGCCTTCCTCGCTTCCCTTACGTGTTTACAACAATTCGACCGTGACACCAACGACGCCACCGCTAAACCTACGTGAACGCGTTGGCTAGGAGGCCAAACAGAAAAAGGCAAACATCACTTCCTCCTCTTTCCATTCTTTCCTTCGATTCACCTCCCGGCGTCACCTGTCTGCTCGGATTTCCGTTCATTGGAAACGGCGGACGACTCAGCCAAAATGGTGAGTTGGATGAGACCCTAAATGACCGACATCCTGTTAACATTGTCCAGGCGACCATAACAGCCCCGCCTAAGAAACGGTACCCAACGTCATTGTCGCACAATCGAGCTGGCCCGTCTCGACCTCCAAGACACATGCCTCCGAGCACCGCTTCAACGCCGGTATCGTCTTCGGTCGACGATGAGGTGCCCCCGCCTCCGGAACTGGCACCGCTTATGGCACAACGGCAGGAGCAAGTCCCTGAGCTTTTCTCCTTAGAGCATCTTCTCCGGCAAGCGGGCTACAAGGAGACGCGCGTCTTCACGCCAGAGGCCGAGAAGCTCGCTAATCGGTACAAGCGACAATTCAGTGACGAGCAAGCCGCCGAACTTGCCGATCTGTACGCCAGTGTTGGCCAGAAGCACAACATGGAAATTCGCCATATGACGCAGCAACATGTTCCTTTCCGTTCTTCCTCCAGCGTCCTCCGAAGCGTCGTTCTCCAAGATACCGGCGCAAACCAAGCCTTCAAGGACGGGAAACGAACCAACGATCGGGAAGAAGACGAGTCGTGGTGGGGTTCCATGTTAATCAACCGTGCTGCTGAGACGGTGGGCAAGTCGATATCGGCGATGAGCCCGCCGTCGAATGAGGGGTCGTTGGAACGGATCAACATTGGATTGGGTCTTGCCAAGGGCGGTAACGGCGTCCGGAAAGCCAAGTCGAATTGGGAGTTGACTCGACGACACTCAACATCAGGCCCAGACCAAGAAGATATCCCGCCAATTCCTCGTCTCACTCAGTCCGACAACACTCTCACAACTCCGCCTCGGCCATCTTCAGCCGCTTTCAACGCTTCGGCGCCGCCAGCGATCGACAGTGTCTTCACAACGCCCCCTAGACTGACGACGGGGCAGCCGGTTTTCGAGGACGATGAGGGCTTCGGGTGTCCTTTACCCATGGACTATGAAATTCATGGGGGAAGCGACGACGACATGTATAACCTGGGCTACACCGATAGCTCTGGGACAAACTCAGCCGCTAGCAGTCTCGGTACTCAAATCGAACCCCGGCGCATGTCCGCCTCTCCGCCGCTCAGAGACGCTGCCGACGTCCTTGCTGGTTTGGGGCTTGGTCCTTCCGATGTCTCAGACGCATTGGCTTCAGCTCCACCCGCCGATCTCGAGGATGAGGATGCCGATCCCCACGAGATCGCGTTAGCCGAGCAAGAGGCAGCTGCTATCGGACAGCGCATCTTAGCTTCGACTGTCGAATACGATGAGGACTCGGACGAGAGTGACGTGCTGTCCCCTCCTCCCCCGGCCCTGTCCATCGCCCCAACCAGGCGAACGGTGGCGGTCAGCAAGCCTCGAACAGCAACACTTCCTTACCCTGCGACCGCTTGTCCGACAACAGCGATTGCCGACGCAATGGGTGACCTCCTGACGGACCCGCTGCCTGATCGAACACCATCGGTCGTTGCGTCTGAAACGAAAGCAAAGCTGAGAGCGGCCCAATCGGCGCCGATGTTACGCAGCAAGTCACAGCCGTTCCTGCGCATCAGCCCTGCTGTGGTCGCTCCTCCGACCCTCCAGATAATGGCGCCCGTCATCTGCGATTCGCAGTCCGACATGGCTGAGGACCTGCCGCCGTTACCGACGCCGGCTCCGGCCCCCCAACCTACAGGTTTCTCATCTCTCGCGCTCCGTGCCAAGAAGTCTCTGAAAGCCCTTCGGTCCACATTCTGGGCCCAACAAGCTGAAGTACCACCGCCGCTCCCCACACCCGAGGACTCGTTCATCTCGAACAAAACACCTATCCTTACGCCCAGACTGGACTGGGCTATGCAAGGGGAGCATTTTGCTGGCTGGAATGATAACAAGGGCCACGGATTTGGCCGCCAACGCGACTCCATCGACACTATGGCTGAGATCGGAGACCCATTCGCCAACGCTGGCGATGTTGAGATCGATTACTCGAAAAGCTTCTTCTACAAACCGTCCACGCCGCCTGGACCTGGCGGCTCCAGCGGTCACCAAGGATCGCCAACGCCGGCTGGCAGAATGCGTAGACAGCGCTCGGTCAAGACACTGAGAGCGCAGCTTCTGCGCCCAGTCGCCGCACCTCCCGTGCCTCAGATCCCTCCGATGTACCGCAAGGGCAAAGGTCGACTGCCTACCACCCCGCCCCTACGCAACAAAAACACCCAGCGCCCGGCATTCGAGGTTCCGAAGCTCGCTCTGCACTCCCCGAACGCATGGGAGGAGGGACGACCTCCCGTGGAGATCATTCTCGAGGGCGACGAGTGGGACGCCCGCAGCATCGTTGAGAATTGGGGAAGCGGCATCCGCAGAGGACGCGGGAAGAGCCCGAGCTACTACGACGACGACGAGGACTTCTTCTTCTAAGGCCCAGCACTCGACCCGAGACCACATCACCTTCCCTCACTCCCCGCATAGCTTTCACGACACTTCATTCCCAGTTAACGAATCATGTCCTGTGCCATCACCAAACCATGTCGATACCAAGCACCACCCGTATATGCCCTGTCCATACCCACCTGACAGGCGGAGCTGGCTAATCAGTTTCTGTAAGGCTTTAATGTTATAATGTATCTCCATTTCATGCCAGCAGACGAGCCTCTCAGTCAAGCAGTTGATGACCTCCTTCGACGGTGCCTGGTGGCTTGCACTGACCAGATGTAAACTAGGGGGCGGGAGCGCAGCAGAGCCTTGATTTCGAATATCGGAGCATGATTGTTCGAATCTTATCACGGTCAGGGTAGACAGAGGCTGCGTAACGCCAAGGCGCCCAATGCCTATAAATTCATCGGACCTCATCGGTTGTAGGGCAGCTGAAATCGGTTACACTCCGCGCCGCACGCGATCACTTGTGCTATTCTCAACCACCTCTTCAACTGACTTCTTGCCCGCCGGCTGCGACGTGCAAGCCGTCATGGTCACCCTCAGCAAGGTGAAGGAGGTGCTGAAACGGTGAGTGTTGATCAGCGTTGAAGATTGCCGACTAATGGAAGGCATGCAAACTTCATTGGGCCAGGACTAGGTATGTCTCCGCACAGCCTTTGCCGCTGCTTCGTATGCGGTCGCTGACGTTCTTCCCAGTCAGCTCAATTGCGTACATCGATCCCGGAAACTGGGCTACTGATCTGGAAGCTGGTGCCAACTATGGTTACAGTGAGTGCAGGCGCGCGAGTGCCAGCTGACGTGAACCAGAACTGCTATTCATTGTGTTGATGGCGGGTCTGGCAGCCGTAGTGCTGCAGACACTGTCCGTGCGTTTGGGTGCCGTCACGTCAAATTCGCTCCCAAAGGAGACTCGTAAGCTTTTCCTGCACTGGGAAGCCGAGTACCCAAAGTACCGCAAGCTGTTCCGTGCCGGCCTCTGGACGCTGTGGGCGCTCGCCGAGATCGCAATCATCGCCACCGACCTGGCGGAGCTGCTCGGTTCTGCGATCGCGTTGAACTTGCTCTTCCCCAAGTTGCCGCTGTACGCCGGTGTTCTTATCACCGCAGCGGACGTCATGGTGATCCTGGTATTCTTCCGCTCAAACAAGGGTAGGCAGGGCATGATGTTCTTCGAGATCATCCTTGTCGCCATGGTTCTCGCCGTGTTTGTGTCGTTCATGATCCTGCTGAACCTTGTCAAACCGGACTGGAGGGAGGTCTTCCTGGGCCTTGTTCCCAGCTCAACGCTAGTTAAGCCCGGCGCCCTTTACATCGGCATTGGTATCATTGGAGGTAAGCTTCTGCCTAAGCTTCGCTGACATTCCAGCAACGGTGATGCCCCACGCCCTCTTCCTGGGCTCGCATCTCGCTTCGGTTGATCGCTTGAACATGCGCCCTGAGCTCCCCATGCGCACTCGGAAGCCGATGAACCAGCGCCTCCCCAGCATCCTTTCGAGTCTGAAGATGCGGCGGCGGCGACCGGGCAACACGTCAGCGGACAATGTCGAGCTGGACAACATGGAGAGAACCCTCGCGGCTGAGCCAGTTTGCGGATCCATTGCCGAACCATCAACGCCAGTGACTCCCGTGACCGAAGTACCGAAGAAGGACGACGACAGGGATGACGATGATGCCGAGTACCAGCTCGCACTGAAGCAGTACGAGGCCGATGTGCGCACATTCGACCGCATCCGCTGGGTGACGCTCCACGTGAACCACGCGACGGTGGACACGATCTACTCTCTGCTCGGGTTCGCGCTGACGATCAACTCGGCGATTCTGACGCTAGCCGGCGCAATCTTCTACTACGGCACCTCCGGCGTGTCTGCCGACGATGCGGACCTCGTGGGAGCACACAACCTGATCAGGGACTATGTCGGTAACGGTGGAGCGATCATTTTCGCCCTCGCTCTCCTGTGTGCGGGCCAGAGTGCGTCCATCACCGCCACGCTCGCGGGGCAGGTCGTGTCTGAGGGCTTCCTGCAGTGGAACATCAACCCAATGCTGCGCCGAGTGATCACTCGCCTCATCGGTGTCATTCCCGCTGCCATCGTCGCGAGCGCTGTGGGCATGAAGGGCTTGAACACGATGCTCGTCGCGAGCCAGGTTGCACTCTGCATCGTCCTCCCGACCGTCACTGTGCCACTCGTCTACCTCTGTTCAAGGAAGAGCGTAATGCGGGTCGAAGGACCCGTTCAGGAGCTTCCGTCGTCGCGACCGCCCTCGCCTTCGGGCTCCACAGCGTCTGCTTCTGCTCGCCAGCTTGGGTCGCTGGGACGCTCGACCGCCCCCGAGAGCGAGTGCAGGCCGTCGACACCGGCAGGGTCGGTGCAGTCCGCTCCTGCGGCACCCGCGCCGCTTGGGCTTCGTCGAGTCAAGCACTTCGTCAGCCCCTGGTGGATGACGGCGATCGGCTGGCTTCTCTGCGCCATTGTTATCCTCGCCAACGGTTACGTAATCGTCGAGCTTGCTCTTGGGAATGGATAAGGTGGAGCGACAGCCGAAGGAAGAGAATGGGAGGAGCATAGCATAAGCATAACTGTACAAATAGCGCATAGCAGCATTGTCAAAGGCATTATAGCATCTGGAAGAAGCATGCAAGGCCATCGATCGGTGTTGGAAGGGCGTAGAGCAGTGTGCGGGTGTGACCGAGCGGAGCCTGGAAGCGACGCAATTGCCACCGTAAGTCCACCGCTGGGCCGCTGTCGACAGCCGGTTGCCCGCTTAAGCACGCGTGTCGTCCGACCACATGCCGAACTCGAACTTGGCAACACTTTCCCCACCACACTCAGCACCATGGCCATCGAGGACGTCCTCCCGACAATCATTCTAGTCGCCGTCATCTTCTTTGCCTACCGATGGCTGACCGGTAGCAGTGAGTGGAGCGCAGAGGCCGGGGCCGCATGCGAGGGTCGTCTGGGTTCGGCGGCAGCACCACATCTACCGACCCCGATCACTCCGCGGCACCGACAACCCGCTCGAAACGCAGCTCGAGGCCATCGCCGGAAAAGCTACATAATTCCCCAGTGCTAGCTGACTCCCAGAAACGCCGGCCGACCCGTTCCACGGCGTCAGGCGCGACATGGTCGAGGCCGTGATCAGCGCTTTCCCCGATGTTCCAGTCGATAACGTTGTGTATTCTCTGACCCGGACGCGAAGTGCCCAGTCGACGAGCGAGATCATTCTTGAGCGCGGAACATTGCCAGCTGTGAGTGTCGCACTTTGCCTCTGGTTCCCCGTGACTCGCAGAGTCGCCTGCATCGCTTGGTCTGCTAGCTCCACCGCTCTCCCTTGGGGCTGCTTGACGAGCAGGGCGACAACCGGGTACAAGCTTTGCTTTCCTCGAACGTGACCAAGCTGACCCCAGCCCCCCACCGGCTTCGTGATCCCCGACTCGCTCCGTCCAGCGGCCGCCGTGCCCGTGCCCGCCCCGTCCTCGCAGTCCCAGCAATCCGCGCCGGCCACGAAACCGCAGTCCCTGATCGAGCGCTACAACCTCAGCGCCAAGCTCGACCAGGCGCCCTCCGAGGAGAGCGGCAAGTGGGAGGCGACGCGCGAGAACCGCGAGAAGGACCTGCGCGCACGCAAGGAGAAGATGATCCTCGAGGCGAGGCGGAAGCTGCTCGAGAAGCAGGCCCAGGCCGCGCAGGCGGCCAAGGTCGAGTAAGATGTAGCGGTGTAGTCTGTCATTATGCATTTGGAGCCTATCTACTTATCTATGGGTGTTTGTGCTCTGGTCCTCAGGTCCCTGTGTATTTGGGCGAGCGGTGTGTGGAACCGACTACTTGACCCCCAGCAGCTCGTTCAACCGCTGCAGACGCGGACCGAGCGCCTTGACGCTCTCGTCATCGATGTTGGCGACTGCGAAGCGGATCCAGCGGTCGCGCTTCATCTCGTCCCCGCCTTTGATGCTGCCCCACACCTTATCCTCCAGGTCGGGCATGAAGAAGCAGCCAGGCAGCGTGAGCACGCCCGCCTCGAGCGCAAGGGCGCGGCCGACGTCTTCGCTACCCACCTTCTCGCCCTCCTTCACGCCGAGCTGTTCCTGTGCCGACAGGAACTCCTCCGGGAACTCGACGTAGGCGTAGAAACCGCCGGAGCTGATCAGCTTCCACCCTGGCACGGAGTTGACGACTTTCTCGAAGATCTGCAGACGTTTGCGCAGCGCCGCGGCCGCCTCATCCAGGTCCTCGCGGAGTGAGGAGAGGAGGTCTATCAGCGCCAGCTGCGGGGCTCGTGGAGGGCAGATCTGCATACAGTCGCAAATGGTCACGATGTGCGCCAGCAGCTCGGGCGCGGCCGTGATGCAGCCAAGGCGGTGACCGGGGATACGGTATCCTTCTTTTCTTGTCAGCTGATAGACTATTATGGAGTTGTGAACACCACTGCCGACCTTTCCCGATCCACGCCCACATCATAGTCGCTGAGCCGCGGCCAGGGGAACAGAAGCGACTCACTGCTGAAACTACCAAGCGTGATCAGCGTCTCGCGCCACTCGGGCCGCTCGAAGAGGGTGTGCGGTTGCGCGCCGGCAAAGTCGCGGTACGTCTCGTCGAGCACGAGCGGAACGTCGAACTCGCGTGCAAGAGCGTACCACTCCTCGAGCAGGGAGGGACTGTAGATGGCTCCGGTCGGATTGTTCGGGGTGACGAGGACGATGGCGCGGGGTTTAACCTTGGAGCCTGAATCGCGGGCCGTCTCCAGGATTGCCCGAGCCGCGGGCAGCGACGGCGTGAAGCCGTCCTTGGGCGAGCAGGGGATGTATGCGGGCTCGACCTGCTGGAGGGACAGAGACATGGCGTGGTTGAAGTAGCTCGGGAGGGGGAGGAGCACGCTGCTCTCGCCCGGGGGACAGAGGAGCCTGTTGTTAGCTAACATCAACAATCACATAACTGCGACTCACATGAGCAGAACGAGGAACGCCATGTTGCATCCCGTCGTTATCCCAACGTCTGCGTCGCTGAGCTGCTGTGCGCCGACGCCGTACTTGTGTCGCAGCTCCTCGGCGAGAGCGGAGCGCAGCGCCGGCTCACCCAGGATGGGGCCGTACTTCGCTGCGTCGTGTGTACCGGCGACCTTTGAGAGAGACGCCAAGACAGGTTCAGCTGGCGCCGAGCCCGGTACACCCTGCGACATGTCCAGCAGAGGACCTGCCTTTGGGCTTGCAACGTACGAAGCTCCCCATGCCTTCGCCTTCGGGATCCTGACGTCAGTTGAAACCCCGAGTTGAGAAACTCACGGAGGAGCGGCTGTCGCGCGCACCGCTGGCGCAACGTAAGACAGCGCTCTGGACATGTTGGCTTGCTTCCAAATAAGTCCTAGGTTTTGTAGGTGCCAGAAAGTAAGGTCGCTAGTCGTTATCGCTGCTCACGGGGGCCAAAGGTGGGCGGAGGACAAGTGACCGACCAGCCGGCGGACTTGGCCGTCTGTTCCTTGACCATAGGCATGCGAGCTCACCAGGCACGCCCAATGACCTGCGGTGATGACGTGAATAGCGCGCAATCAGGTTCCGGTTCGGCAACCGCCCTCCACCATACCCCCAATTCCGCACCCTCCCCCGCAGCCCTGCATTCGCATCAGCCCTCCGGCCCACGACCCCCAACTCTTGCTTCCTCCACTTCCGTCTTGTCCTCCACGAAAAGGTTCCTAATCAGCTGGTGAGTAAGCTGCTCTTCACCTCTTCTTCGCGGATCCGGACAGTGTCAATTGGTAAGGAGGAAGAAGTCACTCGGCGCGTCGCTGCGGGCACCGACACCGCCAGCGTGGAATGCACTTTCCCATCTCGGCTCGGCGTTCTTCGTCGCCGAGCAGGAGCCGCACTTTGCGCACCTGTCCTAGCCTCCGCACCCCACGTATACATATAAAGAAACTGACATCCAGGTTACACCTCAGACCTACTCACTCATCCACCAACTCATCTAGCGCAATGTCTGCTGGTGAGTTGTGCCATACCCGCCTTGGCAAGGACTGACATCTACAGCCTGCTGCTCTCTCCCTCCCGTCCAGGCGGAGTACACCCCTAAGGGTTCGTACGGCAAGCTCGGCGGCATCAAGTCGTACGGCGTCGGTCCCACCGACACCGGCAAGGCCATCCTCGTCGTCTACGACGTCTTCGGCTACAGCCCCCAGATCCTCCAGGGTGAGTGCGTTGATCCCCGAGTTGCCTCGGTCTACAGGAGCTCAAGAAGATCCCACGTAGCTGACGCTTAGGTGCTGACATTCTGGCCTCTGCTGGCTTCCGCGTCGAGATGCCCGACTTCCTCCACGGCACCTACGCCACCGCCGACATGTTCGACGGCTCCGAGGCCGGCACTGAGAAGCGCAACAAGTTCTTCTCCGGCTTCCCCGGCAAGTACGACACCCAGTCTGACCAGATTGGCGAAGCTCTCAAGGACCTCAAGTCCCAGGGCTACAAGTCGGTCGGCACCGTCGGCTACTGCTGGGGCTGGAAGGCGACCGTCACCTCGTCGTGCGTGAACGACTTTGCGGCCATTGCCTCGTGCCACCCCTCGTTCATCGACCTCGAGGACGCCGAGCGCATTAACGTCCCCGTTCTCCTCCTTCCCTCCGAGGACGAGGACAAGAAGACCAACGACGGCGTCTACGAGGCCCTCGAGAAGAAGAACCCCGGCAAGAACAAGATCAAGTGGTACCCTGGCCAGCCGCACGGCTTCGCTGCCGCCCGTGGCGACCTCTCTGGCGGCAAGGCCACCGAGGCTTACCAGGACGCCTACGCCGAGCTCATCAAGTTTTTTCGCACCTACGTCTAAGCGTGATGCCAAGCTCTAATCTGGGTTGTCGAGACAGAAGTACTTATGCACAATCTCAATCAGTTTCCTTGTTGCAGCTGCGGCTAACAAACACCACTTGCCCGCATAGCGGCATAGCGATGCGCCTGTTCGACATCGAAGCAGCGCATGACATCACAGTTGTTCTTCGTTGTTATGCTTGTCGATACCTGACTCCTGTGCCTCATTCAGGCCCGTTCAATGGGCTGAGTGAATGAGAAAGAACTGCCCCAATGTGCATATGCAAGGGCAGATTTCCTGGTGGCTCACTGAATTCTGGACGTTGAGTGCCTTCAGGTGGACGCTGGTACGCTGGTGGCCAAGGACGGAATGTAATCTTATCGCGCCAGTGTAAACAAACAACCGGGGCAGCCCAAACACAAACATTGACCTAAGTGCCCTGTCAGACTTTCCCACCCATGGACGCAACGAACATGACAAAGGATGCGAAGTGCATAGATCAACAAAGTATGGGACTAGGTAACTACAATGGACACTGGATTCTACATGCTGAGGGCTGAGGGCTGGCGTGGACGGACGTGAGAAGCTTGGGAGAGTTATGAAGGGGGCGAGTTCTCGTCCATCAGTCCAGCCATGCGCTGCATGGCCGGCGTCTTGCCCTTGGCGCCCGGGGCGAAGTGCCGCTCCTTGACGTTCTTGAGTTTCCGCGTCGTCGGCGAGTCGTGCTGGTCCGTCGGCGAGACGGTCGGCTTGGAGCTGTCGGTCAGCTATTGCTCGCAGAGATCGCAGCGGAACAGATTATGCCAAACACCAGCCGGTCGGTCTGATGGACAAACCGTCTGTGTTTGCCACCGCCACCACGGGCACTCACTTGGCCTGCGCCATCTTCTTCGCGAGCAGCGCCTTCTGTCCCATGGCGGCGCCGGGGACGGCGGGGTCGACGGTTTGGCCGGGGATCACGTCGTTGGCTGGTTGTGAGTTACACACACCTTTACAAAACTCACGGTTAACGGGGCCAGAGACGTTGCGCTGGCGCTGGACGACGGCGGCGCGGCCGGGAGCGTGCAGGGGCTCGATGGTGGGGTGGTGCGACATTGCGGTCGAGTAGAGCGCTGTTGTAGGAGGACAGAGGTGGAGTATGCAAGAAACAGAGGTGAGGAGTAATGTTGCGATGATGGAAGATGCACAACGTTCGTTCGTCCGTTTAAGCTTTGGACGGATGCTTGCGGATAGACATGGAGCGGGTGGAACGCATCAGTAGTGTGTTGTCTGTCACACGGCGGCAACTGTGAAATGGCGAGTGAGGATTGGTCCCAAACACTCTCAAACATGAGCGATCTGGGGCCTTGCACGCCCTCGCAGATTGCATCCTTCCTCCACCCCTGCGAGAGTCTCGATTCACGGCCGCCCTAAGACCACTCTCTGCTCACTGCCCGCTCGCATGGTGACATCGACCACCTGCCGACCTGGCGGACGTAGTTTTGGTTTGTTTTGACGCCCCTGTGACTCAGAACACGAGCAGCGGACGCAGGCGCGGCCCTGCAAATCCAGGTACACCAAGCTCGCACTAAGGGCGGCGTCGCAGGGTGGATGCGCGGTGGCTGGTCGTTCGTCATTCGACGAAACACGTTGGACGGAAAAAGAGAAATCACGCGCCCGGGCGCTTGTTTTCATTGGATGCTTACATAAGCAGGAGGGAGGGCGGGCTGTCAGGTCCGGCCTTCTTAGTTCAGTGGCTAGAATTTTCCACTAGTAGTGTCTCGTCAGAAACTTGCTATGGAACGGTCACCCGTTCGATTCGGGTAGAAGGCAGTCACCAAGTGTGAGACTTTTTGGCCTTGCGTGCTGGAGCTGAAACCTTCCATGTCCGCAGAAGCCCTTAAAGGACGGCAGAGTAAACTCCCCCTGATTCTCACGGATGCCTCTGTCCCCTGTCCCCTGCGAATTTGCTATAGGCGATTGTGATCGTTCCATCGTCTCGACAGTCTCACATGACCTCCCCTACCTCTTCCCTATTCCTTCGCAATCACCAAGACGGCCTTGCAGGCCAAAAAGATGACCTCTGGCGGGGTCGAACCGCCGACCTTATGCGTAAAGCACGAGCTGTTAAGCATACGCTCTAACCAACTGAGCTAAGTGGCCTGAATGCTGCTGATGTCAGCTTGGTGGTGGCGCCGCCACGGGGCCGCTCGGGTGGGTGCGAAGGCGCTTCGGCTTGTCTGCACCACTGCTGAAGCGTCTATCGGGGCATGTATGCGTCAATTGAAGGGTTCTCTCTGTAGATGGAAGCTCGACGACACAAGGACACCTTGGGTTTCTTCGCGACGGGACTGTGCGGCCTGCCGTTGGAGAATCATCCGCCGCCGTGATGGTTCTGGCGTACCGCGCGCATCTCGCACCAAACCTTGGCGCAGAAGGGTGCAGGTATGCGTACGTCTATATGCCTCCCGACAGACAGTCGTTCAAGCGCACTTCTCTCCGAATTCTACGTGTTATGTCAGGCACCGACGACGCTGGCATACTATGGCTTCGCGTGGAAATAGACCTCGACATCACTGCTCACCGTTCACAAATCGCGTGCATTGGGAAGGCACAGGTCGTCGCGTGCACACGCTTACACAGCAGTGCCGAACCAGTCACATGGGTGTCTCCGATGTGTGGGAGCGAGCATTGTGGCACCTGGCAATCGATCACTTCATCAGCTGACGCGCCCGCCGAAATGGCTCTTCTGCTCTACAGCGTTCCCAGATGCACATGCAGGAGCGGACAATGAGCTCCGGAACGGACTCAGCGCCAGCGGCCTGCGCAGCTGTCAGCGAACACCCAAGGCGTTGTGGCGGAGTGGTTAACGCGGTTGACTCGAATGGTCTCCTTCGGGAGGGATTCTGATATCAACTTCCTTCGGGAGCGCATGTTCGAATCATGTCAACGTCGTCTTTTGCTGCTCTATAGAGTGCAGGAAGCAAGGCAGGTTCGAGGGCAACATCCTGAGACGATGGAGACGGTGGCAGATGGAGGATGATCACGTCAGCTGTGGTATATTAGGGCAATTTCTCATATTTTGAATAACTCGAGCCTCAGGTCACGGAACTGGGTCCTGACTGCGTCTACCTTGTTGCCTTCTGGAGCTTTTAGCTATCCCTGCGACTACCGCTCCAGAGGGCCTCATGTGAGCTGTGAGAGCTCGGTGGGACAGGTCCGATGATGTGATCTGACTTTCATTCCGGTGTTGTGGCGGAGTGGTTAACGCGATTGACTAGAAATCAATTTCCTTCGGGAGCACATGTTCGAATCATGTCAACATCGTTTTTGGAGCGTTTACGGGCTCTCGGGAGTCGAATCTATGTCAGAGACACATCGACGGATCGCGGAATACGCCTTCCGACCAACAGGATAATTTTCAGAATTTTGAATATTTTTACGATTGGTCCGAATTTCAAAACGACATGACCCTCTTTTCAGGGGCCAAGGTAGAGTGTGCAACGCACGGCTCCGCTGGGCCACAGCCAGAGACGCTCTACGATCTCGGGTCTCATTAGGGATGCCGGTTGTCGGCCCACAGATCGGCGTTGTGGCGGAGTGGTTAACGCGGTTGACTCGAACGGTTTCTCTTCGTGAGATGGGTTCTGCAATCAACTTCCTTCGGGAGCGCATGTTCGAATCATGTCAACGTCGTCTTTTGCTGCTCTATAGAGTGCAGGAAGCAAGGCAGGTTCGAGGGCAACATCCTGAGACGATGGAGACGGTGGCAGATGGAGGATGATCACGTCAGCTGTGGTATATTAGGGCAATTTCTCATATTTTGAATAACTCGAGCCTCAGGTCACGGAACTGGGTCCTGACTGCGTCTACCTTGTTGCCTTCTGGAGCTTTTAGCTATCCCTGCGACTACCGCTCCAGAGGGCCTCATGTGAGCTGTGAGAGCTCGGTGGGACAGGTCCGATGATGTGATCTGACTTTCATTCCGGTGTTGTGGCGGAGTGGTTAACGCGATTGACTAGAACTTGAACAGTTCGATCAATTTCCTTCGGGAGCACATGTTCGAATCATGTCAACATCGTTTTTGGCCCTCTATGCATCACCTGAGATGCCCGGAAAGGGGTTCCAAGGCGCGGAGGTTGTGTGAGCCCTTCGGGCGCGGGTGCGCGGACCGTTTACCCTGAATGAGCTGTGGCCGTCATTTGAGATGATCTGGACCCTTGCCGCCTTCGGGCTCCCCTTGCCGTGCATTACCGATCGTCTAGCTGTGACCGCCAGACACCAACTGCTGTGTCTCCAAGCCACCGGTGGCGCCACCTGCACAGCCCATGTCCAGGTGGAGCACAGCTTTCTCAACCTTTCTCGTCCGTACTTGTATCAATGCACGCGCTGTCACCGATGCCAGCAGCGCTTTTTTCATGCTACTACGGAATGACAGTCACACATTATTCCATCTGTCAGCCCCGCTCCCGATTCCCGTCGACATGTTCAGAAGCGGTGGCCATAATGAGGTAGGAGAGGAGGAGGTTGAGCTGCTTCCAACGACGGTATCTGCACGTCCGCGGGTAGACAGATTCTGGAGAACGGCAGCAAGAGGCTTTGCAAAGCCTCATACTACGAGTACGATCGCGCTAGTTGGAATCTTGGTTTTTGCGCTTCTTCTGCCTTCTCCTCTAACTTGGGGGACATCCGAGGCTCTTCCTCGGAACGTAACACGCCCTATCAATGGCACCCATGGCCATCGCCCTCCTAGTTCGGAATCCTCATCACTGCGGGGGACGCTGGAATGGGCGACTCAGGAAAACAAAGAGCTGATTAGCTCTATTTTTGTCCCCCTCCCCGTACGCGAATGCACGATCACAACACCTGCCTGGTTTGCTCCCTGTGCAGCGAGACGAATGCTGGTTCCAAGCTTGTACGCGGAAGAGTTGATTTATCCGGACTTCGGTCTTACCCTGCCTGTGTTTGTCAACGATGAGCAGCGCTCTCTGTGGCTGGAGGCTGCGGAGAAAGTTGACCGAATGAGGTATGAAGCGCGAGGGAAGGAGGAGTACATGCTGTACAGCGGCCAGCATGGGCAGAACTTTGTAAGTCATAAGAGTTGATTTCTCGCGCATGTCACCTAACCGCGCTCATAGGTCCTGCATAATGTCTCGTTCATCCCCCCTGGCATGGACAGCTGGGTGCCCACTGCGTGCGGAGTCGATGGTACCACTCTAAGCTCTCTTGCAGTTCAACCTCTACCTTCAAACTCTGAGCCGAGCACTTCAGCTATCCTCGTATCCACCCCGGACTCATGGTCGTTCCAGCATTTCCTCGATCGTGCCACGCACGTTGTCGGACAAGCAAGTCACCTCCTTTTTACCAGCCCCGACACTCTGGCTCTCACTGGTAGGGCAGGAAAGAAAATCGTGCAGGAGATGTGGACGAGGATGGGCTTCGCGGACGAGAGAGTCATCCACCACCCACGACAGAGAATGGAACTTGCACAGCTTGTGTTCGCTTGCAAGTCTGTTCTCATTCATCCCTATCTGAGTTGGCGAAGCGCTGAAATGCTGGGCATGCCGTGGGCCAAAGGACGGCGGCACCCGTTTGATACCTCGTCGAAAAAAGTGGTGAGTGTATAGTTATACAGTAATCACCGTCTGTGTTGCTCACACTTGAAGGTCATGTACATGTCACGGTCGGACGGTCGTGCCAACAACGGCGGCCGGAGAGTACTCAACGAGCCAGCGGTGTTGGCGGCCATCGAGTCGTTGCTGGAGACTCGGGGACGAGGGGAGAGGCTCCAGTTATTCGACCCTTCGAAATTCCCTAACGTTTCCGCCTTGATCGAAACTTTCTCGCGTGACGTCGCAGCTGTCGTCGGGCCGCACGGCGGGAGTCTCATGAATCATCGGTTTGCTGGACCAGACACGCTCGTCCTCGAGTTCCTCCCCACGACGCGCATGGAAGTGATCAACTTCGAGGAGACCAGCATGCTGAACCAGACATATGCCGCCATTGTGACTCCAGGCATTGGCGCCAGTCATGACATGGAAGTGGACGCGGCGGACGTCGTTAAACTGCTTTCGGAGCGACTAGGCAAGCCAGGGAAGAGCGTTCTGATGCCATATCAGTGGGTGAAGGAGTGAAGAGAGATTAGCTCCTGCGTCATGAATATCCTTTTACCTGCAACAAAGCTTGGCTGCTTCTCCATTAGTCTCCGGCTCGCTAGCCACTTTCAGCTCTCGCGAGCCTCGTGACTCGGGGCGTTCGGAACTCCGTCGCCGACGCCGAAGACCGTGTTCCGCCTTCTTAGTTCAGTGGCTAGAATTTTCCACTAGTAGCGGTGTCTCATCGGACTATGGAACGGTCACCCGTTCGATTCGGGTAGAAGGCAGAGCAGTGGCGCAGGAAGAGATCAGAGAGAGCTCAACCAATCGTCCTTTTTCGAAATTTTGCTGATTTCATGGAGGTGCCACTATCTAACGTGAGCGCTGGAGTATGTTCCGCTTTGTGGTACGACTGAATGAGTTGTTCCGTTGTTCCGACAGGCGGTCCGGCCACGTCCGACTGTTGCGGCGCTGCACGAGTGCCTCAGACTCCGAAGACGTACTGGGTCAGGGAGGCGGGGCGCGCCCGTCTGCCCCCTCCCGTTGTATCTTCCAGTTCGCCTTCTTAGTTCAGTGGCTAGAATTTTCCACTAGTAGCGACGCATGATCGGACTATGGAACGGTCACCCGTTCAATTCGGGTAGAAGGCAAACGAACGCGGAGCGTGGGAGCTTGAGACTGTCCCTAGCTCGGCTTTTGCTCTTTTACAGTGCACGCAGGTCTTTAGAGGCTGATGGAGAGGGCGTCACTGTGACTGCAGTCGTCCTGGACCGAATCACTGGGCCCCGCAACGGTGGAACGAATGGGACCAACCAGAACCTGGAGTGGCCGATGCGACGTAGACTGCTGGAGGATGGGCGTCAAGTCTGCCGTGCCGTGAGCAAGTTGACAGCAGTGCCAGGACTCATCCAGCAGGGCTCTCCCCCAGTAGTCTTAAGTGTGCCCTGATCAAGTTGCTGAGTCCTGGACCCTGTGAGGATGCGTGTCAAGTCGATAAGGAGTCGTTCCACAGTTGTAGTTGGCCACTGTGCTGCGCGGGCGCCGCTGACGGGCGGCCTGCATCACGCAAAGATTGTGCGACCGCCTGCTTCGTCTAGTGGTTAGGATTTTCCTTTCGTAGTCTTACAAGGGAACGGTCACCCGTTCGATTCGGGTAGTAGGCAGCTGCAGAGGACAAGAGCGCCTCGGCGACCTTTTTGGCACCATCGGCGATGGTCTGGAACACTTGGTGCGAGCCGTAGACCCGCCTGTGGCCCTCCCTCGGCCGGAGGGCGCCTGCTGCCGGAATACTTTAGCGTAACTCCGAGATGAGTTCAATGCCTCGCTGTAAGTATCCCAACCTTGCTCTGCCCCAAATGCTCTCGAGACGAAGACTGCGGCCTCGGAGATCCGCCTTCGCCGCGGAGGATCGTCGGCCCGCCTTCTTAGTTCAGTGGCTAGAATTTTCCACTAGTAGTTCGTGGCGTCTCGGCGTCGCATTGCTATGGAACGGTCACCCGTTCGATTCGGGTAGAAGGCAGCATGAGGTTGGTCGGGCCCGCCAGAGCAAGTCCAGCCCTTTTTGCAACGAGGAGGGGTGTCGTGAGGGCCGAAGGAGGTGTGGTGATCGGATGGACTTGCAAGTTGCCTGCAGTGCCACTCCTGCGCCCTCCCACACACATGTCAAGCCGTGTTGAGGCTCGCGCTTGTTTGACTTGCAGCGGCTCCTACGTTGCGTGCAGCAAGTGCCCATCAAGAACTGCTCTCCACGGCAAACCTGTCAGTCGTATGGACACTCTGAAGATCAGAAGCACCAGGGCAGGCACTTCTATAGGCCGTTGCCGTCCAAGAAGTCCGTATGCGGCGCCGGAGTCCGCCCTCGGAACTCCGTTCGGCGCCGAGGTGATCAGCGCTCGGCCTTCTTAGTTCAGTGGCTAGAATTTTCCACTAGTAGTGTCTCTTCGAGTCTTGCTATGGAACGGTCACCCGTTCGATTCGGGTAGAAGGCAACAGCGCGCGCCGAGGAGCCCGCAAGGGCTTCGAGGAGCTTTTTGAAGAAGTCAGAAGAGTCCAGTCGAATGGTAGAAAGCCATTGGGAACGACACGGGGGTGGTAAACCTTGTCGCTGCCGCCATGCCACAACGGCTCCTGCGGTCAGTGAGTACATTAGAGTGGTGTCAGTAGCGCAACTCTGCGGTCGCGAGAGCTGCGAGCCCGTTAGTGCACTAAGAATCCAACGCGTGTCCATATCCGAGGTCTAGTCTAAGTTTTAGTGGAGGAGGGCTCTATAGCCTGCTCCTCTTAGGCCTTGCGCTGCCCGGGAAAGACCATCGTCGGGGGAAGAGAGTCGACCGGAGGGAGGAGGGAAGAGGCGGCCTTGCGGGCGTTCTGCTGGAGAACCATGTCCATGATGACGATCGCAGCCATGGTCTCGACAATGGGAATGGCACGGGGGAGGACACAGGGGTCGTGCCTTCCGCGGGTGGCGAGGGTACCCGAGGTGCCGTCGTACTGGGCGGTGCTCTGCTCCTGGGAGATGGTGGCAGGGGGCTTGAAGGCGACGCGGAAGTAGATGTCCTCGCCGTTCGAGATACCGCCCTGGATACCGCCGGACCAGTTGGTGGTGGTGCGGAGACGGTTTCCGCCGTCGGGGTGCGCCTCGAAGGGGTCGTTGTGGACTGAGCCGGGGTACTCGGCGCCGCGGAAGCCGGAACCGATCTCGAAGCCCTTGGTGGAGGGAATGCTGAGCATGGCGTGGGCGAGGACGGCCTCGAGCTTGTCGAAGCAGGGCTCTCCGAGGCCGAGGGGCGGGTTGCGGATGACACAGGTGATCGTTCCGCCGAGCGAGTCGTTGCGGCCCTTGGCCTCACGGATCTTGGCCTCCATCTTCTCGCTCGTCTCCTTGTGCGGGCAGCGGGTGATCTCCTTGTCGACCTGCTCGCGGGTGACAGTGCTGAGGAGCTCGAGGTACTCCTTGCCGATGACCTCGTCGTCGTTCTGGGCGAAGGGAAGCGAGACGTTGCCGACGCTGCTGACGTAGGCGACAATGTCAACACCGAGAGCCTCCTTCAGGTACTTCTCGGCGATGGCGCCGGCAGCAACACGGCCAATCGTCTCACGCGCGCTGGCGCGGCCGCCTCCAGAGCTAGCCTTAACTCCGTACTTGGCGAGGTACGTGTAGTCGGCGTGCGACGGGCGGGGGTAGAGGTCGGTCTCGGTGTAATCATGCGGGCGCTGGTCCTTGTTCTGGACGAGGAGACCAATCGGTGTGCCGAGGGTGACACCGTGCTCGGTACCGGACTGGATCTGAACAGTGTCGAACTCGGAGCGCGGCGTCGTGATGTCGCTCTGGCCGGGGCGCCTACGCGAGAGCTGGACCTGGATGTCCTCGTTCGTGAGCTTGAGTCCGGGCGGGACGCCGTCGATGATGGCGCCGACCGACTTGCAGTGCGACTCGCCGTACGTGTGGACGCGGTAGTTGGTGCCGAAGGAGGACATGGTGATGTGTATGAGGTAGAGAGAGTCGGCTAGATCAGCAGAAAAGTTCGGCCTGCACTGCAGCCCGACCTCCGGGTGCTGCCCGACTTTTGGGATCGACTCGGCGAGCTAGGGCGGAATCAATCCCCCCGCTGAATTCGTCCGCTCGCGCTCGTGCTTGAGTGAGCGCGTCGCACCACGTGCAATCAGGTCACGTGAACAAAGTTGATCCATCGACGGTCCATCCACCTCAAAGTGACGTCTAGAAAGTTGGCCGCTGAGCACAGCGCATATGTTGTTGTTGCTGTCACTCACCCCACTCGATCACTATGGGCAAGCGACGAAGACAAAACGAGGAAGTCACTGAGGCTCCGGCATCCGGGCAAGTGCTTCCCGTCGCGGAGCTCGGGGACGACTTTAACGGCGACGCAGAGGACGGCGCTACTTATCTTGCTTTAGCCAAGTGCGTACTACGGTTTCCTACACATGAGCTGTCGCTCTCTCTATATGTTGTGAGGGGGGACACATCCGCAAGCTTCGTGTTTTGAATCGCAGTGGTAGCTGACATTCACAGCCGGGAAGCCGCTTCGCTCCCGTTCTACACGCGCGTCGAGCCGCCAGCCTCGTACTCGGTCATCGAGAAGCCGTCCAAGGTGACAGTGGAGGTAGAGCAAGGGCGACACCCAGCCCTGCCCAAGGAGTCCTGGGAGGTCGTGAACGCAGCGCATTTCAAGGCGTACAAGGCGCAGATTGCCAAACACTGGCCGCCGTCACCGGCTCTCGCGTGTCCCTACCCGTCACCACCGGATATCGAGGATGAGGAGGGATGGCGCGCATACATCGATGGCGCGGATGGAGGGGACGAGCATGACGAGGAAGAAGACGAGGAGATGGACGAGGAGGCGGCGATGAACGCGCCCCCGAAACCGGCCCGGCCACGGGAGAGGAGGGAGCCGCTCGTGTCCCTCCTCGCTGGGCTCGATACAGTGAGTACATCTCCCCACGCCGTCCTACTGCGGTGTGGGGGCTCGCTGGCAGGTGCAATGCCTGAAGCTGACATCAGGACGACACGCTCGCACTCCTGGGCCACTTCAACGCCTGGCTAGGCGAGACGGAAACGTTGTCCCCGCTATGGGCGCGGTGGATCTTTGCCCTGCTCTGCGTGCTCGATTCTCGCCTCGATTCGGGGCAACAGTCCCAGCTCCGCGACCTCGTGCGCACCCTCGCATCCGTTATCATGGTGCGCTGGGAAAAGGCGCTGGGCAAGGACGAGCTCCAGCCAGTCGCGTACAAGGAGGGCTTTTATGGCGTGCAGACCGTCGCCTCGAACGGGCCGGGAGAGAAGGAGGACGATAAGGGGGACAAGCCGCCGCAGTGGGCGCTCGGTGCTCGGTGGAAGAATGACCGGGACGCAGCGCCGCGCTCCGAGTCGCCGAAGCGGCCGCCAGACGACGATAGCGTCGACGCCGTTCTTGCGCGGACGTGGATCCTCATCTCTGCCGTCGTCTCGGGATGGGGCCAGTGGGATCTCATCGACGAGGTGAATGCGCAGGTATCCGCGCTCCCCCGTCACTCATAGTTGTATCATAGCACAAACCTCATGCAGCATTATAGATCAAAGTGATAAATATGTCAAGATGCATTGGTGATGGTTTCATACTAAGACAACAGTGTATATGATTATTCGAACTCGTAACCAAAAGCTAAGCTAAAGCTAGACGCTGATCGCCATGGTCATTGCGGGTTCCTGCTCCGTCTCTTTTCCGATCATCTCGGGCTCGGCGCGCAGGTGCGTCCGCAGAAGGTGGACTAGCCAGTTCGGGTCCCACACTCCTACGCCGATCATCGGGCTCTCGGCCGTACTGCTCATAACAGCGGTGCGTGCGAGGGACGAGCGCCGCGGCGCAGGTCGCTCGCGACTCGACACTGTGTCGCTGTTCGTGGGGACGGGGCTCGGCGCATCTCGCGGGTCGGGCTCCTGGAACTGCACCTTGCTCGGGCGGCGGCCAAAGTTGTATTTCGCTGCGACGTCCGTCGGCGTGCCCGGCGGCAGAGGGGATGCCGCGGGCAGAGGCGAGAAGGGCGGCAGCGGCGTGCCGGGCAGAAGCGTGGGCGAGGGCGCACGCGGGGTGGTGCGCTGCAACGCCGCAGCTGCCTCAGCAGCACGCTCCAGTCGGTTGATTTTGGAGGCCATGACGCACTCGTTCTGCGCACGGAAGAGAGAGAACGGCGCCCACTCCTCAGCGAACGAGCGCACCGCAAAGTCGTAGTTGGCGTAGAACACCAGCATGTGCGGCGCGGCCCAGCCGGGGTGTCCATTGACACCGGGCGTCGCGGGAGTCAGGGGCACGAGGAGCGGGTGAAGCTGCAGACGGGGCAGGATGTACGCCATGTCGTCCTGAGACAGCAGGTCGTCCATGAGCGGAATAATAGCACGCTCGAGCGCAGAGAGAAGGCGGCCAACACGAGGGCCACCGACACGAGTGCCTTCCGGGTTCATGTTGCGCGAGATGACCGAGAGCAGAGTCATGCCTTCGAGCCAGCTCGCCGCCTCACCAATCTCCTCGAGAGTACCGGAGAGGACCTCGTCGCGAGTTGCGTTGACCGGCAGACCAGACAGAGTTGAGAAGGTGCAGACCTCGCGCATGGGCAGCTGGGAGCGGTTCTGCTTGTCGAGCAGGATGCGGAGGCCATCGAAAGGCGTGGCTTGCACGACAACGACACCGGCGTACAGCGTGTTGGGGCGGAGAGTCATGCGCATGCTCGTGTCGACGAAACCGCGCATGTCCTCCAGCAACGGCATCACGTTGTTATACGGCGTCGACAGCGTCTTGTGCAGGGCGGTCGCAACGGCAGAAGGAGGTGCGAAAATGAAGTGCCTCGAAAGCAGGTCCGACTTCTCACGTACAGACGAGATGCGGCGCACGAGGAAGATCAGCTGGCCCTTCGACACCCGCTCATTCTTGCTCAGGTTCACCCAGCCCGTCGTCAAGATGTGATCATAGAGCACACCGAGACGGCCGATGCCGTTCTGCTGGCCGGTCAGGCGGACCGACAGCTGCGTCGCCGCGAGAGCGAAGCGCTCCAGGAAGCGGGCAACCGAGAGCCGCTGCGTCGGCTGTGAGTGACCCGAGACAACAGACTCGGCATTCGTGAACGTTGAGGGTCGGCGGCCGAGGGTAGGGTGACTGAAGCCCAAGCCCGACATCTCAGTCGACATGTCATCCGTCGAGTTACCCGTGAGCAGGTCTGTGACGGACGCGAAGGGGTTCATGGCTGACCAAAAGGGGTTACGCCACGACCACGACATCTTGAGGGACTGAACGAACGCGTCGTTAGCGGTTGTCAGGTCAAGCTGGTCGTGGACGTTCTTCTGGTTCTTCTTCTTTACGTCACGCGGGGTAAGGGAAGCAATGTCGCACATCGGCAGCAGACCGTCGATGGCGCTGACAAGCATGCGACCCTGTTCGTCGAGTAGAACGGACGCGACGACAATGCGGCGGCGGCGCGCGCGTTCTTTCCTGTCACGGATCGAGTTCACGAGGATGAAGGTAGCGACTCCCAGGCATGCCACGAACGCGAGTGCAGCGACAAGGCCGGTGATCGCACGCTTGTTGGCGCTTGACTCCGCACCTTTGTCGGGCCTCTTGTCCGCCTCCCAGCCGTAAATTGTGCCCATCATCGCCGTGTAGTGCATGCCGCAAACGGCGCCAGCAAGGATAAGGCCAACGACGATTTTGGACACCCAGGAGTGTTTGAGCTTCGGACGCAGCATGATGAACATGATGTAGAGCGCAACGCACACGGCGCCGGAGGCGATGACGACCGAGCCGACGACGTAGGCAACGCGGTAGCCGATGTATGGGATGTCGTTGATGGAGATCTGGCCGACGTAGTGCATGGCGGCGACACCCCAACCAGCAAACGTGCCTGTAAGGACAACCTTAACAATGTCGCTCAGCGTAACGATGTCGAGACCAAAGAAACGCAACGCCCTCTCGCGCTTCGTGAGAGGTGCGCCGGCCTGGATCTTGTCACGCAGCTCCTCACGCCATCCGACCTTGCGCAGGCGGAATGGTTCGTCATCGTACAGGACGTGATCGAGGTGATCGATGTGCAAGTCGATCGTATTCTCGTCTGACCCGGAGCCGTTGGCCTGATTATCCTTGGACGACTCGGACGAGTCGCGGTAGGGGCCACCGTTACTGTCGGCATCGTTCTCGGGCAGACTCTGGATCCTAGCCAGAGCCGTTGTAGGGGGAGCGCGCGGAAGCGGGGTGGCTGCAAGGGCTGGGTACGACGATCGGCGACCAGTCGCGATGTGCTGGGGCGGGGCGTAGATCTGAGCAGGCGTCGTGCTCTCAAGGATGGGTGCGTAGGGGCGGGGAAAGGTAGGCACGGATGACACGAGGGACGAAGTGGACCCATCTGATTTCGGGATCAGATGAGTCTGCGAATCCACGGGGTGAGGGGTAGACCTGGGCGGGAACTGGTAGCTTGTGGCGAACAGTTCATTCATCGGGGAAGGCGGGGTGCGGGACCGCGTGGAATTGATAGTGCCAAGCGCAGTATCCTCCGCGGAGTAATATGGGGCCAAGGGAGACTTGGGAAACGCAGAAGTGCCGCCAAGACCCATCGTCATGTGCATGGGCATGCCACGCAGCGAGGTGTTCGGCGTTGTGCCCGGTGACTCGGTGGCGGGCAACTGCGCTGCACCGAGGATCTGCCGGCGATCAAGCTCTGCGCGAACAGCCTCACGGCCCAGGCGGAAGTTGAGCTCATCCAGATCCTTGTCACGCTTCACGAGCGAAGACTCATCCAGAACATCGTCGTCCTCAAAGTCTCCAAAACGAGACTCTGGTGGAGCATCTCGCCCCAAGAGCTTCTGATACCATGTTCGGCGCGTCGTTGACGGAGTTTGGCTAGAAAGAGACCAGCCGCCGCTCATGCCAGCTTGGGCGAAAATGGTGTCCACATTCGTTGCCTTGAGGTGAGGGCGCTGCGCCTTCCAGCGCTCGATCGTTTCGTGCCTTCGCAGCTCCAACGAGTTCCTCCGTCTGAAAATGCGCGGGCGCGAACCCAGACTGACGTCCGTACCCATGACGAAGAAGGCGAAAATCATGGCCAGACACGATGCCACCATGGACAAAACAGTGTAGCCGGCCGAGTAGGTGAGGTAAAGCGCATGTCGCTTCGGGTCGAGGGGGTGGTAAAGGGCGAGAGCTTGGTTGCCGACGAAGTGCATGGCGAAGGTAGACACGGCACCGAAACATATGCCTGCGGCGGTTAAGAAAGCAATGTTCGAAAGTCCTCGGTTGGACGTTCGACGAATGAGTAGCTCGAGGGTGCAGAGCGATCCGACGAGCGAGATGAAGTACGAGAGTACGATGAAGCCCGGGGTCATCTCTTGCTCAAGGACAACGAAACCCTTCGGAAAGTTGAGGTTCTTCGGAAGCGCGTTGACTACGGCCTGGGCCTCCGGCATACGGCTCATGTCCATATCAGGCCAATCTGGGTTGGCGCTCTGTTGTAAGAAGCCATCCGAGATTTGGACGAGACGTTGTAATCCGCGCAAAGTCGCGAGCAATGCGGATTCAGTCAAAGTGGAAGGAGGTGAATGTTGAGAGGGGGAAGCGAAGGGGGTCGGGTGAAGGAGAGTGGGGAGGGTTGCCGTAGCGGCGGGGTCAGTCGCAGTCGAGCTGTCCGGCAGCGGTCGTGCTGCGGCGAGATACGGTGCCGTGAGGGCGAGGACGAACGTCGCTGTCGAGGCAGCTATCCGTGCCGGCCGCCGCGGTAGCCTCATCTTGGAGGACGAAGCGACTGGCTGCATTGCGCCGTTGCAAGCTCGACGCTCGCGGTCGGGATAGTGGTGCCTCAGCGGTTCCTTGCGATTGTGTGGAGAAACGCTGTGTGTCAGTCAAGAGAGTCATGGAGATCCGAAGATTTGGAGCGTTGCAACAAAAGGCGCTGCCGCATTCTGGCTGGCGCCGGCATGTGCTGGGCACTGGTCCACGCTGGTATGTGGTTGCAAAGGAGAGAAACAGTGTGGCTGAGGAACGCTAGGGTAGAGAACGGTGGCCGGGCAGGGAATGAACGCCACCAGGTCCCAAATGACTTACGAAACAGTGTTGTGTTATTGCGCGGCGCGTAGGCGTGCGGATTGAGTAAATGAAGGGCGGTGACGACTGACGGTTGATGGCAACAGTTTGACGGCGCCTCCGGCTTGGGGATTGTGTGTGTGGTGTTTGCGTGAAGAGAAGAAACGTCAGCCGCAGAGTATGGTCGGCGGCGCGAGAAGAGGTGCTGGTGGCAGCGGAAAGTGCCGTAGTCGCTGTCTATATGCTGGTGCCGCAGTAGTGCTGTCACAAGGCTGGTCCGAGCCAAGGAAAGGTCGATGAGCGAAGGAGATCGGAGCTAGTGTGCTCTATCACGCGCCCAAAAGCTCTGGGCGGTCGCCACGATCCCGCAGTACGCAACTTGCGCAGCTATCCACGTCCGGTCCGATCGTCCGGAGCGATGGCAGACTAGTGTGGAAAAGATCTCAGTCCAGGAAGCGGTTGAGGAACCAGACGGCCCGTGTCGAAGTGCAGTAACGACACGTCTGGGCACCTGGGAACACGGGCCGTTGCGATCGAGAGATCGAAATGGGGGCGGCGAGGGGGTTGATGGGGGGAAGGGCGTCACTTCGTGTTTGATGGGACGTGCGCGACCGTTCAGGTGGGTGTCAACAATAGCCAGCTGGTCGTGCTCGGGCCTGTCCACCTGGGAAGCTAACGGTCGGCCGCGGATGGCGGAGCTGGTTGAAGTGGTCCAAGCGCCGTCGAGGTGACAGTTGAAGGGTTCAAAAAGCAAGCCCGATGCGTCAGGTGTTCGGAGGGTACCGCCGGCGTCGAAGCGGGGGAAGGAAAAGGTGGATATGCTTGACGCTCGAAACGAAGGCGGGGCGGAGTGTGTGGATACACGAGAAAAGGAGGAAATGGCGATCGACGCTGTGTGCCGTTGAAAGTCGACAGCCGCGGAAGGTGTGTCGGCGTGATCGGGATCGGGTTCGGCAGAACTAAAGGGCGTGCCGGCGTTGAAGAGGGAAAAGCGGATACACAGCGAACGTGAGCGTGTGATCGTGTATGCCGTCGAAGTAGGTTGCAAGGTGTGGCCGTGCCAGAATGGAAAAGGAAAGAGTCGAGCAGCGAAACAGAGAAGGACAGGAAGGTGGAAAGTGATCAGATCGCGCCAGCGGGTGGTCGCGGATTTGCTGGATCGCCGGGAAGTCGGTGGATCGCTCGTCTGCGGTGCGCTCGCTGGGTGGTCGCTGGGCGATTGCGATTGACCCAGATTCGTTCGAATGAGATTCAGATTGCAGATTGCGGATTGATTAGACTGTGATCGCTTAATGAGAGCTTAGGCGCTTAAGCTCAGAGCCGCGCGACAGAGTGCATCTGTTGCTACCAAGGAGGCATAGGCAAGGTAAGGCGAAAGCGGCGAACGCGCGCGGCAGTCGCAGAGCGTAAGAGCGGTTGACCCCTGGTGAACCGAATTCAACTTGTCACGTCCGTCTGCCGCCCTTTGTTCATGGCCGTTGGCTACCTGCAAATAGAAAGCGTGGTAGTCGCTGGAGCTATTGATTTTCCTCATGCCCTAATCCCTGCCCTAATGGGTTTACGTTGCCATGCTGTACGACACATGCGTTGGTGTGGTGTGGGTGCAGCAAGTGCGGAGCATGCGGAGGTTTGCGTTCTTGTAATCGAGAGTAAGGTACAGTGGAGGGCATGGAGTGGTGCAGAGTACGACAGGTGCGGACAGAGCCGGCGGGTCATGCGGGTCAACCAGCGTGCGGCAGAAGGCAGCAGCCCCAAGGCCCAACGTCTGTCAGGGAAGAGATCGAGAGGGATCGAAGGGCGTCCGGCAGCGCGGCATGACACCTGAGGTTCCCGGGGCTCGTCCATGCTCACGGGGGGTGTTCGATTCCTGCGATCCCTCCCTCCCCTTAGCTCAGCTGGGGCACAGGCGGACCGCCAGCCGTAGGATGTCTTGCGCCGGTCTCAGACCAGAGAGGTTTGGAAGGCAATCCAGGGTTAAGACGTAATACATATTAGTCTGTGCCCTGAGCGCCCTTGGTTTTCCTGAAAGTGATCGAGCGGTTCTCGCGTGGCACGGAGGCACAGACGCAAGAGCCTTGTGCGCTTGAATGGTCCTGCCAGTTTAATTACGGCGCAACTCCTGCTCGCTCCTGCCTCGCATTGGCCTGGCAGACCTGGGATTGCATCTCTTGTCTCAACACAGGCATGTCCGGATACAACTCTGAACCCTCACCAGAGACCCAGCACGGACAAGCGATCCTGGCCACTGTACCGAATTGGGACCCAAACGTCCCGCCCGGCAGGCCCTGCGCGTCAGCATGCCTCGGGGGTTGGCACGCAGGTTGGCCTAGCCCGGCCTAGTGGATCGCGCGGTAGTCACCTCCCCTTGTACTTAGCGCCGATGTGCCCGGTGTGGCTGCTCAGATGACCGCCTCGCTACCATGGCACGTTCCAGACACGGGTTTAGCGTGTCTGCTGCGTCGTCGTCGTGCCACTCTTCGACTACTACTTAAAGACGAGGGAGGGATGCTCGTCGCATGGCCCCAGCACAGCAAGTCCACTTTAAGGTGTACGCACGACTCTGAGGTACACGACGAATTGTGGACCGAGGCCACGAAAGGACTGCAGGACCCGACCCCCGGCACAGTCTGGGCATGGGCTGGGCCCAGGAACAGCAACTCTAAAGAGTTACCAGGCGCGGGCGAGGGCACGGGCGATGCTAGGCGGGCTGATGCATACTTGCTCTTCGAGACTGACTCTTCCACTCATAACTCTGACGAGGGACGCATCGACGCACCGATGTTCGACATTTCGACCGACGATTCGTAGAATTGCTGGCCGGCAGAACGGTTAAGTGGCAGTAGAAAACTGGATGCAGAGGATATACGGCTCCGCCAACCGCGACGGGACGGCCACAATTGAGTGGTGGGTGAAAGGAGACCAAATGGCACTCTCGTACTCTGTGATCTGCTTGGCCAACCGTCGGTAACCGTGCTTCCGTGATGCCGTGGTTCCGCACATCGGGGCCGCACGGAAGGGATCCACACCCATCATGTTCAAGCGGCGAGGAAGGGAGAATGTCCCGTGGACCGAATAGAGTTCTGTGACCTGGTCTAAAGAGCAGCGTCCCGTTCCTGATGACCCAACGTACGTACTCTCCGTTAATATTGCGTTCCCTGCCTGCGCGCGGCTGCGCGGGCCTGCCACTCAACTGCGTTCCCATTTCCATTTCGCCTCGACCCGGATTGACCCAGCAATCTCAGACAGTGACGGAAGAATCGAGGGAGGGTCAGTATCGGAATATACTCGCCACGAAGTCACCGGGTCGCCGGGGCCTCGAAGATCGAAGCACTGGGTCATCGGCACACCGGTGTCTTGCACTCAAACTCTAATATCGGCCTGGGCGCACCGTCTTCCGCTTTCTCCGAACTATGCACCGTATCGAGCAGAGGGATCGGCGGGGGTAGAGAGGTGCGGCGGGGCCCGCAGAGGTACAGAGGTCCGCTTGCCGACGAGTCAAAGTCTAATCATGCTGAAGTATCGAAGTTCCAAGCGAGGGCATGGCATTGCAAGCATTCATCATTGCAGAGTAGAAGAAACGGGCCGACGAAAGAGAGGGAGCCTCGGGGTGGCGCGGGGAATTCTCGGTGCCAGTTGCGTAACCACTCGCAGCTCTGGGTGCACGTACTCGGAGTGGAGCACGGTGCCCATTCCTCGCTTAGGAAGCCTGGGAGTTGCGATCGCCATTTTCGCTGCCATTTCGCGGACAAGCATGCTTTCGATCGAGACTCCAGCAAATGAACACCTGCGTCAGTTTGCTCCCCAGTTTGCCTGTCGACCAACCAACTCTATCGACGAAACAGGGCCATGCAAGAGGACCCAAAACACTCATCACGACCATCAACGTCAGGACAGCCATTGGACCAGACAGGACCAGATTTCAGGACTCGAGCACCGAAACAGGTAAATGCAGGAAATTGCCATGCAAGTTACATGAAGGCCACGATCGCGATCGGACTCCGTGTCACCCGATATATTGTAGTCCGAGGCAGCAGCGATGCAGGATACGAGGTCCAGAACAAACGTGAACATCACGACAGAGTGAAGTTAACACTACGGCGACTGACTGACATGTGGGCTTACGGCGAATGGCCATCGCTACGAGATCACGAGATACGGGGCCCATGCCGGCCATGCTGAGAGGATGCTGTCATGTCAGTCCGACTGACTGTGCGAAGGGGGTCAGTCCGACAGTCCAGTCCGATGCGCGCGAGTCGACGGACACATGTCCGCCATCGCGGAGCAGGGTGCAGCAAGGGGAAAAGGTCAGTAGGAGATCTCATGTTGTGTCTCACGAATGTCATTATCCTTCATTAACCATGCGCATCTGCGCAGGTACCCGCGATGCACCATGCTGCGCTCATCCGTCAATCTGGCAACATGCAACATGACAGGCCGAGCCTGGGTTCGCTCCCACGCACTGGTCCACTGGTCCCTACGGACCATCGTCCTGGACTCTGTAACTCTCATGATCAGGACAGTTATCCTGCAGGTTTGGCAGGTTTGCAGGTTTGGGCAAACTGTAACACGGCCTCGACCAATGATCGACGAGTCCTTGCACCGGTGCCGCAATGTCGCACTTGCCATCTCGCCCAGCTCGCATCTGTGTGCTCGGCGTGCATCATCTCCTGCGATCCGGCGGAACCTGACCAGTGTCCGCTGCGTACGTGCTTCACCTATCATCCTGTAATTGTCAGAGTACGGTGCAAGGCACACTCTGGCACGGCCAGCAGGGCCAGCAGGGCCAGAAGGGCGGAAAAAAGCACAGGCACCTTCACTCGTGCATTTCAGCATTACTGCGACCCATCCGTGCCCATCCGTGCCCATCCGTGCCCATATGGCACCTGCTCTGTACTTCTGTACCTCTGTGCCTCTGTTCCTTGAGATCCTCGAGATCCTCGTGATCCTCGTGCGCGCAGTCCTGCGTACCTCACTTGCACCACTGTTCCTTAATATACTGACCCTTGGGCACTCGGGCAGTCCTGAACACCACACGGGATCCTATGCTGTCGCAGCGCCACGACGCATGAGGGAAGTTAGTGAGCATGATTGATGCGATGCCTTGCCAGCCAGCTATGTCAGAGTGCGATTGAGTGCCGCCACACAGCCATGCACGACGGGAGGGGGAGCACAGACTCGTGTGTGATCGACCGGGCGGCATTCATCGCATGTCGTCGCATGTCGTACTTCCGATCACCCCAGACACACTGTGTCCCAGGCCAGGCCAGGCCAGGAGGCATGGCCTTACCTGCACAGCCAAAATGAAATTAATGCCCCGATTACCACTCTCTGAACGGCAGCGGACTGACGTACGCCGTATTGTGGCGATACGTACACCTGTTGTAGCAGTGAAGGGGGGGAAACAGGCAGGTTTACGCTTAATCCGATCAAGATGAAGGATTCGAGGTCACAGAGAGGTGTCACGCTGCGGAAGATGGTCACACTACCGTGTGCTTTGCGCTTTTCATCTCGGTCATTGGCCCTTACCCACCCTCCTTCGTCCTTTGCTGAACTACATGAAGCATGCACAGAAGAGTGTGGAAAGTATCGGTCTCATCTCATATATGGGCTCTTAGTTTGTTTTCTAATTTTTTAATGTAGAACTGGGGTACGACGGGACTGAACTGGGAGAGACGGAGCGAGGCGAGACGGACGGGGGACTGTTCAACTGTTATCAATCGACTTATACAACATCATTCATTCTCGGATACGCGCGGGCACAACGGTGGGATACGGGGATAAACTGGGGGATACGATGGGGGTTACGGGGGGCAGCACGGGATGGGGAACTTGAGAGAGTCGGGTTGTTTGTGTGGTGGGACAACTACTATCGCAGGACTGGGATAACAGCGGAACACGGCAGATGCGGCAGGGGTAGTTTCCGGAGCAAGGGGTGGTTGGGCTGGTAGGTTCGCAGTCGTTACGAGATTTGTCGTCTCCGACTGCTGTAAGCAGCCGGCGGATGCGTTTCGCTTGATGCGCATTCCGGTGCTCATTAGTTGCACAGGAAGCGGCGGTTCAGGCAGTGCTGCGTGTGTCAGTTGTGGTCCGCACATGAAACGCAGATACAAATCACTCACGAGATCACGGCAGAACGTCGGCCAGGTGTACAGGATACGCCGAGGAGGATCGGAAAGCAGCGCAAGTGCCGACGGGTCGAGTACACCCTGCGCACGCGCCTCGCGCCGCTTCCGCTCGGCTTCCTCCGCCTCGCTCCGCGCGAGCTCGACTTCCCAGCCGAACAGCTCGTGGAAGAAGCGCAGGTTGGGCTGGATGAGGACTGATTGTCAGCTACAAGCGGCCGATGAAAGAGAAGCTGCTTTGCTCATCGTACTCACCGTTCAGTCGCCTCGCTCGCGTCATCAGGTAGGCGTCAATGAGACCAAGACCCCTGTACTTCATGAGGTACGCCATCTGCTTGTCAGCTCGAGTGAACTTGGGGGAGCTGCGATACGTACCACAATACTCGCACTGCGCGACACGCCGACACGGCAGTGGACGAGAACGCATCCACCCGAGGCGCGGGCTTGCTCCATCCACTCGCACGCGCGAGCGATGACAGGGCGGAGCGGGTCGTTGCCGTCGTCTCTGACATCGGTGAGGTCGAGTCTGAAAGTCAGCTCACTTCTTCGCGCCAATCAGCTTGTGGCACTTACACCTGAATTTGACCAGCACGCGCCGCATTCGCGAGCGTGTTTCCACCGACCCAGCCGTGCAGCGGGTCGCAGTCGGGGTGGCCGTCGAGCAGGCTCTCGCCAACACTGACGACGTGCGTGATGTTTAGCGACTTGAGCATGGAGGCGTTGCCGGCGTGCTCGAGGTTGCCGAGGTAGAGGAACGGGAGGATGCGGCTTGGGAAGCCGTCGAAGCGCTTGTCGTCGAACCACACGCGGGACTCCGGGGCGGGCTGGGGCGGCGTAGCGTCGTTGGCGCGCCGCGACGGGGTGCCGCGCACGCGGTCGCGAGTTTCCCGCTCCTGTGGACGCTCTGGAGAGCGTTCCCGCTGCCCAGGGCCCTCCTCGTGCTCACGTTTCCGGCCATCGGTGCGCTCCGGCGACGTCGGAGAGGACGGGTACCGCAATAAGCCAGTCCAGTTCTTCCAGCGGCTCGGGCTCGTCGTCGGCGAAGTCTCCTCGCTGCTGCTGCCATTCGGGCGCTTGGCGGCGCGTTCCCTGCGCTCCTGCATGAGGCGCGCCTCAATACGGTGCAGCAGCGGCCTGTCGGTCGGGTACAGGAAGAAGCTGCGCTTGGCATTCTGCTGCAAGTGTAGGTACGCCTCGGGCAGGGTGCAGCCGAGGCTCGCCATGATGAACGAGAGGACGAGGATCGAGCTTTCGGTGTAGCCATCCTGGCAGTGCACGAGGATCTTGCGCTTGATACCTGCCTTGTCGCGGCCATCGATCAGCTTGCGCATAAAGTTGACAAGCTCGATCACCTTATCCGTCATGGTGGCCAAGTTGCGGAGCTGGCCGCTCAGGGTGCGGCAGGAACCGGCGCAGTCCAGAGTGACGTAGCGATGTTCGGCAGCGTGCTGCTGCGCATACATGTGAGTCTCGTCGGGCGAAGTCGCCAGCTGCTGCTGCTGCTGCGCAGGCGGAGACTGGGCAGACGAGTTCGAAGGCGATAACAGGTTGCGCAGGGCAACTGTGGCCGGGCTCGAGGACCAGTGGCCCTGCTCAGCAGCCTTGACGCGGTCGAGGGCAAGCAGGGAACGATACGCGAGCGCCAGAAGGGCGGTGGTCGGCATGTCAGAGCACTCCGACGCCCTGACACAAATATCGAAGGGCACAGTCGCACCGGCTCCATCGTCGGCTCCACCGGGGACGTCCGTGTCGTTACCGACCCAGAAGCCATCGAGGACCTCGGTCGCGTGAGTCATCGCACGGCTCTCGAACGCCTCGCGCTCGAACAGGTCGACGAGTTTCGAGTTCTCGGTCGTGTTGCCGTTCGAGTCGATGTTGACGAGGTCAGGGCAGAACTTCTCGACCTTGGTGAAGGGTTCCACGAGAACCCAGACGCCGTACTTGACGGGCCTGTCTAGACCCTCGCCGGACTCGCGCCCCTGCACGTGAGAGTAGAACTCCTCCATGCGTTGCTTGTAGAGGTCGGCTTGGGCCTCGGCAATTGACTCTGCGATGTCAAGCGCGCCAGGCGTTACGCCGTGACGAGTGTAGAGGATGATGTCCGAGACGGTGCAGTACTTGATCTGCTGGATGTGCAGGTTGCGCAGGTTGATCTGGTTCGGCAGACGCGCGGGACGGAAACGACCACGGATGCGGTCCTTCTCCAAAGCAGGGGTGCGGGTGTAGCTGGGGCGACGGCCAGGCTGCGAAGGGAACATCGGCAGATCGAACACGTCCTGGCAGTGGATCGCGTTCATGAGGATGCACGACGGTCCCGGGTCATCCTCCGAAATGTAGCTGCTGGAATCAGAGTCGGATGAGTCATCCAGCTGCACCTGGGGAGCAGTGGGGCTCTTCGACTGGCAGGGGTGCATGGCGACCTCGGACGACGAGGGCTCGCCGCGGTCGTTCAGATCGAGGTCAGAAACGATGGCCGCGGCATCGCTGAGCTTGCGCTCAGTTGCCGGCGGTGTGACCGGACCGAGGGACTCGGCAGTCGTGGTGGGGGATGAGGAAATGCCGGCGTTGCTGCTGTTGTAAGATCCGGCCCCTCCATCCTCGTCCTCGACAGGAGCGAGGCCTGGCTCCTGGCTAGCCTTCAACGAGTTGATGGGCATAGCCGGGCTGGTGGTTGGCGCCGCCTTGTCCTGCGGGTGCGGAGGCGCAAGAACGAGCGACAAGCCGCGGTAAGGAGGCGGCTCGAAGGGTGGGCCGTAGCCGAAGAAGGCGCCCATCTCCCTGCCCTTGGCTCCGTCATCGCTGATGCCGTGCAGCCACGGGAACATGACTTGCGACGGGGTGTCGAGCAGCGAGTGACGCTCCAGCAGAGTGGGAAGCTCCTCCATGCCGACGAGGCGGACACCGGGTCGGACCTCAGGACGTTCATCCTCCAGGCCCCACTTCGGCATGCCCCAAACACCCGAATCATCGCTGGTCGGGAGACCAAGTTCGGGCATAGGAACTTCTACTTCGTCGATGTCCATTTCCATATGTCCATCATCGCCGAAGTCAGCTCCAAGAGGTGAGGACAGCGGGGATACGTCGTTAGATCCCGGAAGTTCGATGGGCGCCTGCAGATCCTGTGTGGGGGGTAGTGTAGCTAGAGGGTGGGGCCGACGGGGCGTCGCATCCGCACTCGCGCTACCGTTCTCATGGACATGAGGAGCGACTGGGAGGTGTGAGTGGGAGTGAGACAGCACGGCTTCGGAACTCCGACAGCGTTCCATCCCAACACTAGACGCATTGGGAAGGGCGGCAATATGCGTGGTCGTGACCGGGGTAGGCGGGGCGGAGATCGTGTGCAGGGCCTGGGCCAGATGCGAGGGTAAGTGGGCGAGGTTGTTGTTGTGAGCAAGCTGTCCTGCGGCTCCGGGGGGAGGCGTGGCCGGGCGGGAGTGCAGCCTCGCCGAGGCGGGGGGAGTTGCACTTCCGAGCCTTCCCGGAATCGGGGTCGAGGACCTCGACGCAAACGTCTTGTGCGCCGGTGAGGGCGGCTGCGGTGGGAGGTGCATGACCAACGACATGACCCTTCAGAGAGGTGATTCCTAATACACTCTGGGGTGCGGGCTCGCGAGCTCTACCGAGTGTGTGGCCGGTTGGTGTCGGTGGCAATGAGAGGCCAGGTGGTGAGAGCTGCGGGGGTCACCTCGGTAGGGTCGGTCGTCGGATGCGATTGCGGATGGAGTGCGCTGCGGTCTGTCGTCTGTCGAGGCTGGGGAATTGGGTGGATGCGAGATTGATGTCAGCTGGGTTGGGGGAGGCGGGGGTTGCTCGGGGAGGGTCGCGTGAGGAATGGAGACCACGGGGCTAAGGGTGGGCCAGATACGGTGGAGCGGAGCGTGAGAGGCGGTCGCTGCCTATTGTTGTCGGCGTCTTGGGGGTATGTGGATGGGTTGAGGACGGTATAGTAGATCTCGATGAAGGCGGCGGAGATGGTAAAAGCGGCAGCACAGCAGCTACGAGACGAGGCAGTTGGTGTGTGTATGTGGATCAGGTTCGGGATTGGTAAGGGGGGACAGAGAGCAATGATGGGATGGAGGATTGGATCTACGTCGCGGGTTGCGGCTTGGTGCGGGGTCACCGGGGTGAGCGGGGTTCGCAGGGCCTTGAAGGGATGTGGTTGGTGAGCGATAGGGGTTGATCTCGCTTAATCGCCCAGTGACGGTGTCTAAGCCTCAGCCTGCCTGCGCCCGGCGATAGGGAAAGGGCACGGATAGGGTTTGACAGTGGCCAGGCTTGCTTGCAGATGCCAGGCGAGGGGGTGGTTCAGACCAGTGCAGGGAAGACGATGGGCAATGCAGGATACGTGCGGTGGGAGTATTCAGCAGCCCTATGACTGAATCACAGTAGTGATGGCCGACCGCGACCGAAAGACTTGGTGCCAGACACCGCTGGTGTTGATCCAGACGCAGGCGCAGGGCTTGGGGCAGGCCAGAAGCTAGCCTTGATCTCGGTGGGACACTGGGATGGCGGAATGGCAAAAGACGGCAACTCGGCAGTACGGCACCACTGCAGAGAAGCGGGTAATGCCAATTGCGGGCAGCTCGTGCTGGTCAGCTGGGTGCGGAGTGTCCTGGACAAGGTCGGGCTCGTGGTGAGAAGCGCGGAAGCACGGCCAGAATCCTGACGCGAGATGGTGGCCAGGTCGCGAGCCAAGCCATGCACCAAGAACTCGTTCCTCCCTGTTGGAAATGGTGGTGGACCAGTTAAGCGCAAGCCACTGATGCACGCTGGCACTGGCGAGCTGGCAAGTGCAAGGCTGGCGTCGTCTGCGTCTGCGCGTCTGTGAGTATGCGTAGGCGACTACAGCGAGCGAGTGTGCATGATGTGCTGGGAGGCTCGTATCGCATCAGGCCGATGGGATGCCTGAAATGCCTGAGATTGCAGGGTCCAGGCCCCGGGCTCGGCTCAGATGCGCGCTGCGCTGCAGCTCAGGTCCGCCCCTAACCCCCTGCGCTCGCCGCGATGCCGTTTGCTGCTGGCTCTCCAGTTGGCTGAACGCTCCGAATCTCTCCTCGTCCCCGCGGGGCCGGTCCGTTCAGGACGTAGCCTACGTGCGCTGTGTCCATGCGCTGCGGCGGCTACATCACATCGCTGGTGCCCATCCATCCACCGAAATGTACGACGACCGCATGACTTGAAGCATGCAACGGTGAGTTTCCGGAGAGACAAACGCCAGGCACCTGTCGCACAGGCTAGCGGATTGGCACTCTGGCGCCAACGAGCCCTGGGCCTGGCGGCCACCAGGCCGTGCTCTCGCTGCCGATGTGCCAATCTCGCCCAGCACCATTTCGTATCTTGGGCGAGGATCTGGCCACATGACCAGCAACGCCCCAGACGCGGTCATGTCCGACCAATCAGCGCCGAGTGCTACACACTTCCACACGGCCCACCCACTCAGCAAGGCACTCCACTCTCGTACATCATCCTTTGGCTGCTCGCATGCAGCGCTCGGCCGTGTATCCAGCGATCAAGGAAGGCATTGCGTCTGTCAACAAATCCTGAATTCGCTCGACTTTTGAGAAGTCCAAGACGTCATTACGAACCTTACTCCAAGTCGCATTTCACGACTCCTAACCGATCTCATTAACCCCGCAAAGCAATTCCAGCGATCGCGCCTCCCGCCCTATGCCTCCGTTCTAACTCGCCGAATCCCACAGAAGCGTGGGCAATCGTGGGTCCCTCTCGTCGGACTTGCTTCCGGCCAACTCTATCTTGGGGTCGAGTACTCGCTCTACGCGAACACCTGACCTCCGTTCTTCAGTGGACGCCAGCCTGTGATGAGACATTGATGTCTTCGCTCCTGACTGAATGCTTGAATGGATCGGTTTGACCCTTACCAACGCGATGGGCAGACCCCGTGATCTCAGCCACCTGCCCTCACGCGCGACCAGAACACTTCTACGTCGATATGGGCAACGGTGGAGATCACTTGAACCCTATCATGTGGCCGCAGCACGGTAAGAGACGGCGTATCATACATCATAATACATGTGGTGGTGCCTCTCCTTCCGTCTGACGTTGAACCGTAAATAGATATCATGACACCGCGTTATCTGCCTATCTCTGAGACATGGAAGGAGCAGTGGTTGCGGACTCCTTACCGTTTCCGGCGCCGTCCGTCGTGATGCAAGAAGCGGTAGGCCTTGGTGCCGTTCTCCTCGCCGAGGATGCGCTTCACCTGCTCCGCGTCCATCTCCACAAGCTCCCGGATGCTTCCGACGTTTGCCATGACGTGCCGGAAGTTGTGCCCGTTCACGCCAGGGATGGCACGCAGCATCTCCACAGCCACGGCATTCTCGACGTGTGGCTGCAATGAATCAGGACCGTCTGCGCTGCTCAGGCCCTTCTTCATTGCCGTGTCTTCGTCGGGCTCATCGTGGTTCAGCTTGAGATCCGACAAAATCTTGACGGATTCGTGTGGCGAGGACGACCAGATGATGCGCAGTCGAGGGAAGTGCAGGGCAAGCAGGGTCAGCTTCGCCTGCAAGTAGAATGTGTCTTTCCACTCGTCGACATCGCCACCACGGCCAGCTGCCTCACGGCGCGCGTCCTCCTGTGTCTGTCGATCCGATCAGCACCAAGCTTCCCAACAGATCATTGCAGTGCACTAAACTCACCCGGATGCCGAACTTGTCTTCCTCAAACTCAATCAGGAGAATGCACGTCTCATAGTGTGCAGTCATCGCCTCGCATTGCGTATGCCTGGTACCGTCAGCAAAAGCCTCCGACAAGGGATCGAGAGTTTGGTGAATTGAGGAATGATTCTCACAAGCGTCCATTAGCGAGCGACTGTTCCAGGTCGGGCAAAGCTTTTCGTTCCACACACATCTTGGGGGTCAAGATGTAGTCTCCAACTGTGAGAGTCGCCGGCACAACTTTGATGCCGGCGGCATCGATGAGCGATGGCAGCAGTGCGCCGAACTCGCGAATATCGACAATGATCTAACGTGGTCAGTACGAGGTTTCCCCAGCATGCTCACCTGCGGCGCCGGCGCTCCATCGCCACCGCCAGCATTACGACTAGAGTACGTCGTTGTTTTGCGACTAATCGGGTCCGTCATAGGTGCTCGGGGATCATTGTTGAAGATCGGTATGACCATGCCACCTCTGTCCTCAATCAACTTCTTGAACGCTTCAGCTTCGCGGGCCACAGTTGCCAGGAAGCGGTCCTCCTCGAAAGAGTTCGTGTATGTCATCTGGTACACGCGCAATGAGAGACCAGGATTGCAGTTGCGGTAAACCTGAACCAGTCAGTATATGTAAACTTCGATGGTTACCTCTAGACGTCGGATGAATGCTAGATTCGGCTCGTACATGACGACGAACCGCGGCCGCAACTCCTGGAGGAGGATATCATCGTCCTCACCACCATACGGGCGGATAATGACGCTGTCCTCGGGGGCCAAGAGGCCATAGTCTGTCGACCAGTCCTCCAGCAGCCCTTCTCCCTCCATCCACCGGTGAAAGCGCGGCATGAGATCTTCTTCCTCAAGGACACCAGCGCGGGCAAGTAGGCTGGCGGTTGCGTTTTCCGCTAAGGGAGGGGCCGACGAGGCTTCCCCAGACCCCGCCCCACTGTCTTGGGGCTGAAGGCTCCTGTAAGTCAGCGCTATATATCAACCGAACGTACTCGTTTATCGCCCACTGAACCTGAGCATCTTCCAGGGACGTGTCATCGCTGGCGAAAGCCGATAGCTCCTTCATCGTGTTCTCCTTGATGGTGTCCTTCCGCGACATTTGCATCGGGGCGCCCGCTCGTTGCCTCCTCCTCTTGTAGGAAGGGACGCCTCTCCGGTACTCTTGCCTCTTCTTCTCCATGGCTCCCTTCGACGCATCGAGCTGATCTGCATTAGCCCCGTTTGTGTATCGTGCGGGGTTGGCTAGTCGGTCGCCGTTCTTCTCGTACTGCCAGTTGCTGAGGAATAGCGTCTCCATCATCTTGCGACCGCCGCCTTCAGAGAAAGGTGGATCTGTTGGCTCCATGGTCGTCAAATACTGGCGCAGCTGAAGACATGTCTGGTCAGAGTGGCACATCACGAGCACAGTGTTGGTGCCAGGTTGGTCTGATCGTTAGCTAAGCACCATGCTGTCCACTCACTGGCATGCGACTCCGAAACACTGGCAATGGTGTCTTCAATCTCCTTGAGTACCTTCGCCAGCAGCACCCACTTGGGCTGTTCTTCAAGCACTGGTTCATGGCCCTTCCGGACCCTGGTCTCCACCCTCGATGATAGATCTGCGTCCAGAGAGAAAACCACAGGCCGGAAGACCGGAGGAGCTTCGACCGTCGTCACATCCTGCAGCTCGTCGTCCTCGTCGTTGTCATCAATTTCCAGCTGTCTCGGCTGCGGTATCGTCTCCATCTGCGACGCGACCTCGACCATGACCTCGTCTTCCTCGGTCTCGGGAATGCCACCTATCGGACGATCACGAGCGGCCTCGAGCTCGCGGACGGCTTCCATCTCCTCCTCAAACTCTTCTCGAGCACTTTCACCGTTGCTGGTGGCATTGGACTCCCGATGACGCTCGCCATCTGGGATTAGAGTGCTTGCTGTGCCCTCGATCGTAATCTTGGGTTTCGAAACACGCAACTGAGACGCCGAGACCAGTTCAGCGGCGGCAGGAGCATTGAACCAGTCGTGCAAATACTGTTGTGGTCCAAACGTCTTCTTCTGCGCGAGGAAGTGCTGCCGTTGAAGCGTGTTGATATACGCAGCGAAAGTGGCGGAGTCATACTCGAGCAGCCAAGTCTGCAAGTCACGTAGCTCTGCAAGAGCTTGGACGTGAATCTTCGTTTTCATGCCCACCTTGTGCCATACCGGACGCAGCCGCATATACACGATGGTGTCGAAGTTCTTGAACTGCGCGTTCCGCACCGTGAGGTCTTCGAGATCAAGATTCTGCCTGTTAGCTTTTCAGAAGCTGGGCCAGCTTACCAGAGAATGGTCGCGCTTGAGCTCAACGAGCATTGCTTCCATGCACTCCGTAATCGCGTCTTGACACCGTCGCATCAGCTCCGTCATCGGCTGGTACATTTCCACGACTTCTGCCTTCCTCGATGCAAGCGATTCCTTTACGGGCTCAAAGAACCTGTCATCAGTACGTGTTGCGCCCGTAAGCTCACCTAGGCCAGAGCATGACACTATTCATGTTGAGGTTGACAAGCATGTCTTTCAGCGGTGACAAGCCATGAGCGAAGATTTCCGGCTCGTCCGAGAAGGCCTTGCAGAAGCCGCTCTGAGGTCAGTCGGCTACAGCAAGCGTGCGACTTACTTGGTTCTTTCTCCGGTAAAGGCGCACGGCAAACTCCTCCAAGCTTCCTCGCTTCACCCTGATGGTTAGAGCTGTTCAGGCGGTAGACATACGTCTCAGAATGAAGAACCACGATGCCGGTGATCAACTCTACAGGCACAATCTTCTCTGTTTCGTCAGCCAAAGCGCAGAGCGTTCGCTCACTCAGTAAGTCTGTGACAAGAATTTTGCTCGTCACAGAGTACAGACCGCCCCCTTTATACATGGCTTGTCTGATGGTGAGCAGTGCTGGGACAGAGAGCTCGATGCTTACCGTTCACTGATGCTCATCTCGTACGTCAATATCCTGAACCCAGGATCGCGCACTCCCATAATGCCGAGCTCATCGCCGATTCCTGCCTCATCTTCTGGACGCGCATTGATGACGAGAACAAGGTCTTCCTTCTTATCGTAGGTCTTGAGGAGTGCGCAGACGATCTTCAAGTCAGCTGTCATAAGCTCTCGTGAACTCACGCGACGCAATCCGAGTCCCTTGGCGATGATGAGGAGGTCGTCCTTCTGCGGCCGGCATATCTCTCGGATAATCTGCTTGTGAAAGGGTAGATAGGGGATGTGTCTTCGCTCGATGCGCTCCGACATCTCTGCGACGTGCGGCGGCGAGATGGGGAGATGCAAGGAAGGCGAAATAAGGCCAGTTGAGTCAACTGCCCAACATTGCCTCGAAGACGTCACAGTGGCGCGCCTCCACCGGCTCGCAACCTTCCCACGCTCGCCGTTGTTTTCATCCATCTGCCGCTCGCCGCTCGGCGGCACTCTTGAGGCACGTCCGGCACCTCCGAGATTTCGAAAAGTCGAGATTGGCCGTCACCTAGACCATTGCACTCTGTCACCGCCGCCATGTTCGCCCGCTCGCTTCGTTCCGCCGCCCCCGCCGTGCGCGCTCTCCACACATCGGCTCTTCTCCGTGCTGCTGAGAAGTCTGCCGCTGAGCTCGCGCTCCGCGATGCTCTCAAGGCTGCTATGAAGGCTAAGGACAAGCCCGCCGTCCACACCATCAAGACTATCCTCAGCGATGTCACGAATCTGGCCAAGACTGGCCCGAACCCCGACCAGCCGGCCACCCAGGAGGGTGTCATCAACACTATCCGCAAGGGTATCGAGAAGCGGGTGCGTGTGGCCGAGCAGTATGGCGTGCTACCGGACCGGTTCCTCTTTTGAGACCGACTGGCAGGCTTCACTGGCCCTACGTTCGGTGTGCCGCCTTGCAGCTGTTTCGCATGGAAGCTAGCTGACCGCAGAAATCCGCCGCCGCCGAGTTCGACCCCAACTCGGAGCACGCCGCCTCGCTGCTCGCTGAGGCTCAGCTCCTGCAGTCGTACATGCCCGCCGGGCCGTCGCCGGAGGCCGTCCAGGCCATCATCGACGAGATCGTCGCGGGCCTGCCCGCCGATGTTCGCAGCGGCCGTGGAGCGACCGGCCAGGTCATGAAGGCGCTCTGGGAGCGTCTCGGTGACGCCCGCGCCGCCGTCGACAAGAAGGACGTTGCTGCGCGCGTCCAGGCCGCGATCGGCAAGTAGAAGAATGTACCCGTGCGAAAGGTGTATCGGGTACAATGTGGCATGGCTGTCTATGTACTGTACTAAATATGAAAATCTACACAACTCTTGAAGATAGGAGTTACTCCTGCATCGCTTCAGCCGTCTCGGCGAGCTCGGTGGTGGGCTTGGAGGGACTCTCGTACCGTGGCCGCTTCTTAGACTCGGCCGACTCGGATGTAGAGCTAGCGGCGTCGACGGTGTCGTGTGCCGCAGGGTTCTGGCGCTTCGGGGAGAGCGAGGGCGAGCGGGGTGGGTCCTGGGCCTGGGTACCCTCAGGCGCAAGTCCGATGTCCTTGAGAACCTGGAGTGCGGCCCAGACGGCACTGCGCTGATGCTCACTGACCATGTTTCCCTCAGCCACGGCCTGCAGGTGGCGATACGCGGCGGCCGCTTTCTTTCCCTGCAGGAGCTTTCCCTTTCCGCTGTCCTTCGGTCCGCCCTTCTCCTGTTCCTCGTTCAGAGGCGCGTCCTCTCCAAGCGGGTAGAACTCACCCGACGCCGAGAACCGCATCCCGTGCTCCAGAGGAATGCCGCGGCGCTCCAGGGCCGCTCGTCCCTTCTGTGTCCAATATTCGAGCGTCTCAGCGTTCGAGAACCAGTGGGCGAACGTAGCGTGCGATGGGAGCGTGGAAGCCGACACCTCCGAGGACTCGATCGCGAGCTCAGCAGAGGGGGTGAGAATACCTCCGCCACGAACGAAGGCGGGGACGTTCTTCACGTTCCGCATCGACTCCAGGATACCGATGACGGCGAGTAACGTGGTGTCGAGCCCCGGCTCGTGGGTCGGGTCGACAGCAGAGGCCGTGGAGGACTCCTGAGCGGGCGTGGCCTCCTTCGCTTCAGCAGCCTCGACCTCAGGTTCCGTCTCGGATACCTTCAGAGACTTGGCAGTGCGCTCGGCCAGCCTCATTATGGCGTCTTTCGAGTCTTGGAACTCCGGCTTGTCGTACTCGGTAATGACGATCTGCGACCACGGCTGGTAGACACCCTTCAATGGCGAGTCATCAAGAAGCACGACACGCTTCTCGTCGAACTTGCCTAAATGTTCGATGACCTTACGCAGGTCCTTTTGCGTCTGAACCTTCTTGACTGAACGATCAGTTCCAAAAACTCGTCAACGAATCGCTGAACTCACAGTAGTTGTCGCCAAGGGACATCTTGTCGCGAGCCCAAACGCCGAGCAGGTGGCTCTGCTCACTGAGCGGCGCTGAGTTACTGTCCATCTGTTCTTCCTGCTTCTCGCTCTCGCCGTGTGACTTGTCCTTCTTGGGCTCAGGCTGGTCCCAGATACCGCGCGAATAGACCGGACCGAAGGTCGTCTCGACCATCTTGCGGACATTGTGGGGTTGAGCGGAGCTCCAGACGAAGACTTCCCACGCGCGGCCATCAGCATCGGGTCCGAAGAGATATTCGAGGAAGTTGTGCAGGAATGGTCGAGGGTAGGCGCGTCTCTGCTTAGCTGGTCCGGAGGAAGCGCGATAGACGAGCGCTCCGTTGAGATCGAGGACGAGCAGCTTCGGCTCGACATGGTCGCTGTACACATCCTGCTCAGACGAGAAGCCAACGTAATCGTCGGGCGGGAGGATTACGGGAACGCGAGGTGACCTCGGCGCACGCGGAGGTGAGGTACCACGGCGTCCTCCTGCAGGAGCGAGGGGCGCGGGAGCGGGTGCCCGATTGGCGAAGAGCGCAGGTGGTGGCCGACGAGCACCGCCGTTACCGTTGCCAGCATCCTCTTGCCTGCGCTGCCTCAGCTCCCAGGGAGGGATTGCATCGGAGCGGGGTCCGTCACGCGGCCCCCAGTTGTCTCTTGGTGGGGGCGGACCACGCGGACCGTCCGAGTAAAATCGTGGACCAGGAGGGCCACGGAAGTCTCTCGGCGGCGGCGGGGGACGCGCGTAAAACCGGTCGTCGAAGCGAGGGGGAGGAGGGCCAGGGCGGTAGCTGTCGTAATTGTCGAAGGGGCGAGGTCCATCACGGTATCCACCGCTACGTGTGCTGTATGGATGCTCGTAGCGCGGGTCGTAACCAGGTGCGCCGTAGCCTCCATTACCGCTAGGAGGTCCGTTTCTAAAGCCGCCAGGCCCGTCGTGTCTTCTTGGCCGTACCATCGTAACAAGTTTCGGTATCCGACGAGGCAAAATCAGCATACAGTCGAAAGACGGGTTACGGGTGGATGAGTTGCCCTCTCCTTTGATCGAGGGCGGAGATGGACTGACGTTGCAAACCCGCGATCGCGAACGGAACAACAGAGTTAGAAGTTTTGGGTGCCTGGGTGGCAATTCAGAATCGCGTTTCATCGGGACTGAGTGGAGGTCCAATCAAACCAATACAACCTTTCTGCTAATGAGAGTTAATGACGGTTTTCAAATCGACCAATCCAAACGCGCAGGCCTTTGTGGGTGCTCACAACATGACAAACTCGGGGTCAGCTCCGCCTTGTACCTTGTACGAGCGCACGAAGGGATGGGGACAAGTGAATACGTCGCATACAAGGAATATAGAAGACATAGATATGACGATTACGGTTACAGGCCAGGTAAGCGATCGAGACCGATGCATTCGGCGAGCAGGCCGCGTTTCATGCTCGGCCAGTCAGCGTCGTCCGGCGGCTCACAGTACTGCCACTGGTCGTCCATGTAGAACGTGAGCCAGACCTCGAGCCAGGGAGTCGACAGGCGCTTGATCATCTCAAGCGAGGAGAGTTTCTGGGGAGGTCTTAGCATTGTCTCGGCAAAGAAGAGCAGTATACTCACAGGCCAGTCGGGGTTGGGGTCACGCTCAACCGTGGGTACAGGCAGCAGGGTGTGACCAGAGATGTGGCGGGAGCGGTTCAGCTTCCTGGCGGGTCAGATCTTCCGTCCACTCCCATAACGCATGGCTCACTGAAGAAGCTTCATCGTCCTCTTGCGGAGAAGTTGCTCTATTCTGTCGGCATTCTCGAGCAGCATAAGCTTGACGACATCGGATACGGGATCAAAGATGCGTGGGTCGCGGGGAATGCCAGCTTCCTCCAGCTCATCGATGAGAGTGGCGACGCCGACGTCCAGCATCCACTCGTTGATGCGGTAGCTGGGGAGAAACTCGAGGATGTTGCCGGTTGGCGAATCGACAGACGTTCCCATGCTGAAGATGAGTGATTCGGCCTTGGCGACAATCGCATTCTCGACGGTGCCGTAAGAAACGGAGACGAAGCGATGAATACGTTCCGCCATAATGCCGACGAGAAGCTGTTCAAGCTCGTTTGCGGGATCCTGTGGAGGAGGAATCTGATAGCGTGCTGGGAGGAGCTGAGACTCGACGCTTGCTAGGTTCACGAGCCGTGCCGACCGCCGCCGCGGCCGGGTCGGACAGAGGCGCTCGATTGCGGCGGGGTTGATATCAATCATGGTGGTGTCGAGGTTTGGGGAAACATGGAAGAACGAGCTGTGTTGCGTTGTAATATGCGTGGCGCACAATGAAGAGGGGCAACAGTCAGCGCGCGGGCGGAAGCATGAGCACAGGAAGAGGTGTTGGATCCGATCGGCTGCTCGACAGTAACATCAGTCAGTGGACCGTACAACCGCAGCGCCCTCGTCAGCGACCATCGTGTGTGAAGGGGTGACGAGCATGGGGGTGGGAGTGTATCAAACGTCTGTGAAAGGCTGGATGCACAGAAAAACACAAACGATGGGCTCAGTCAGGAAGACGTGCACTCATACGCCTCGCTGTCATGCATTATATACAAACTATGTGATTACAGCGGTCTGATGGGGAGAAGTTGGATGAAGCGATAGAGAGCCTGTGCACCTCAGCCACGTCTCAGTGCGCTGCACTCAGCTTGCCTCGGCGTCTGTGGCATCCGAACCCGTGACGCCAATGCACTGCGCCAAGGTATGCTCCTTCTCGTGACGCGACGCGGGATTCGAAATCAGAGCGGCGTCTGAGGCGTAATAGCCCAGCCACCGATCGAGCTCAGTATCACTGATCCGCTTGAGGGTCTGCAGGGAGTCGAGATGCTGGCAGTCAGTCTCGTGTCGACATGCTACCAGTCCACGAGCGCGTGCAACGGCTGTGCCGGGACTCACTGGCAGATCGGAGTCGGGAGCCCCGCCGTCCTTGGCGAGCACGGGTTTCAGCTTGCAACCCAAGGAGTGCAGGATCTTGTTCTCCTCCCTGCCATTGTCAGCATCAATATCGTCGCAGGCGCTCAGTCACTGTGACTCTCGGGTCTCGGATCGACCCTGCCAGCCCCCGCTGAGATCCATGATCGTCAAACACCCGACCACATGCACTCACTTTGTCAAGTCGATGGACATGGCTCGCAGTCGCCTGCTGAACTGGCGACGACGGGAAAGAGTCTGCTCGTCTGTCTCCTCCCTCGCCTCCGGAATGGTCGGCATCGCTGGGCTCAGTGGCGAACGAGATACGCTGAACACCGCGCGCTCCGCCCGCCCGTGCACAAACACGTCTTGCCAGATGAGCAGATCTGAGGAATCGCCCATGAAGATATCAGACTGCTGACAGGGGACGAGCGGCTGGTCGAGAATATCGAAGGGCGGGCTGGTGGCAAAGATGGAGTAGGCAAACACCATCTTGGACAGCTTGGACAGGTTTACCGAGAGTGAGTGACGATGGGTGATGGTTTTTGGTCAAGTCCGACTGGGTAAAGCAAAGTGTCTGCATGTCTGCATGCAGGCGCCCTCTTGCTCGCACTCATATACTCACACTACGGCTTGGATGTGGAAGTGACACACGCCGGCCTGTCACCCATGCCGCGCCTTAGCAACAGATTGTCATCACAGACAACGAGCCCACCTTCGGAAGGCACACATAGCGCGATCGCACCACGGTGGCGCCGTTGTAGGGCGCCGAACAACATGTGATAGTGTGAGTCTATGTTCACTCATCCCTATCTACTTCTCAGTCTATTCTGCCTCATGTGCTGGGCCGATCACTGTCAACTGATTCGTTTTCGATCAGCAGGTGACGTCGTTGGCGCACATAGATGGTGCTAGCGGGAAGCACTAGTCTTGGTGATCCAGGCTGCGATGAGTTCTAATACGCTGTTCGTTCACTTCGTTAGATGGCGCCAATACCAGGTATGGCTGCATACACTCTAGTCTAAAGGTTGTAAGCCGCGACAAGCCGCTCCATTCTCAGCGCCTGTCGGCAAAGGGGACATTCCATCTTGTCCAAGCCGCCTAGGCATCCCCAACAGAAGATGTGACCGCACTCCGTCACGGCGACCGTACCTCCTGACCCTTCACCGGATCCGCGAGGCTCCAGGCAGAGCGTACACTGTCGTTCCGGCAGCTCTTGGGCTTCGATCGTGAGGTACGTATTAGGCGCGTCGTAGTTCGTCCCGGGAGTAACAACGACCGAGTTGTTCGGACCACTGACCGGGATTGGTCCGGCGTCGGTCTTCTCTTTCGGAAGGATACCGGCGGGGATAGCCGCTCTAGGCGCCGACGAGGAGCTGCTCCTGAACTTAGGGAATAACCGATACAGCAAAGGCAGGGCCATGATGAGACCCAGCGGCTCATAAGACGGTGCGCGATTCTCGGGTCGACGAGGCGGGAGATCGGAGATCTATTCGGGTTAGCTGGCTCCAAGTTTGGTGCACTCACGTAGGTCAAACCGGTAAAGCGTCGGGCAGCCTCATAGAAAGTTCCTCTGAACATGAAGAGCACCAGGTGGATTTCCGGCAAGCTCTGGCCGAGCGGCGACTCCAGGAACTTCGCCAATCGAGCCTTGACTCGAGCTGCAAACGAGTCGTCTCCCGGTTGACCCTTCAGATAATTCAACATGGAGGGAGAGGTAATGATCGTGGGGAGTAGGAGGAAGATAATCGTAAACAGCCGACGCTGAAATGTCAGCCCACAAGCATGAGCAGACTTACACTTCGTGACGGCAGCTGCTTGGTTCGTCGACGCATGGGAAGGATATCGGTATACTCCTCTCCAAGAGTCTGCTTTCCACGGCCAAAAGTCAACAATAGGTACGCTGCGCGCACCGCGAGGTCGACGATCATCTGCCGGTGGGCAAGCCATCGAGTGCCTGCACGTTAGTGGGCTGTTCTGACCTGTAAGCCTAGAGCTCACCTGCAGCAGACCGGAGGAGCTCAGAGACAAGCTCAGTCAGGCGTGAAACTTGAGTAGCATCGCGCTGGTATGATCTCACTGAAACGTCAGTGTTGATGTCTGCCATACAATGTCGGAATGCACGCACGGATCTGAGCCTGGGACGCCGGGTCGGGTTGAAGTCGGTCATACGGGTCTGGAGGCGATGCCCTCGTTAACGGCTGTGAAGGCGTCGCATGCGGAACGTTAGCCGCAACAGCTCTTGTGCTGTCCATGTCGGCGGTGGTTGAAAGCGATGGAAGGAGGAAGGTAGTGGTAATTGCTGACAGCTCGGTCGGCTTCGACGCCGATAGTAGCCGGTCCAGGACCTCGGCGGAGGAGAGCGTAAGCGGAGTTAGATTTGCTCCCGCCAAATCTCGAACTTGGGTGGCAAGAGTTCATGGAGGCGGTTGCAGCCAACTCAGGTTGCTGAAGCTGACCAATTTTGCATCCACAGCATCCACGATACCCAGCGCATCTGAACGCGCAACACCCGAAAATCGATATCCAAAGAGGATCGCGAGCGCAAATCGCGCGCTGACCGTCTCTCACCATGTCGACTCTTGTGGATTACCCGACCTTTTCTGAGAGCCCGTTCTTCTTCGACAGGCGCAATCTGCACATCCCTCAGGAGGAAGCCAAGCACATCCAGGTATGCACCTCCGTACGCTGGTTTGACCGACGCTGACGGCTCCAGGATCACTCTAAACCGACTGTATCATATTACTTCCCGAAGGATGTAGGCAACTATCACTATGGCGTGAGTAGACGCGAAGACGCGCTTTTGAGCGATCGGGACACCCGCTGACAGTTTAGGAACGGCACCCGATGCGTCCGCATCGTCTGATGTTGACTAATAACCTTGTTCTAGGCTATGGGTTACACAACAACATGGACATGTACAACCCGAGGAAGGCTACCGAGGACGAGCTGCGCGAGTTTCACGATGCGGATTACGTCGAGTTTTTGAAGCGCGTGACGCCAAAGAACGCCCAGCAACTCACCAAGGATTATACGATGTATAATATTGGAGACGACTGTCCTATCTTCCACGACCTGTTTAACTTCTGCAAGCAGTATGCTGGCGGATCACTGGCAGCCGGCCGAAAACTCAGCCAGGGCGGCACCGACATTGCGATCAACTGGAGTGGTGGATTGCATCACGCGAAGAAGGGCGAGGCGAGTGGTTTCTGCTACGTGAACGACATTGTGCTAGCCATCCTCGAGCTTCTTCGCTACCATCCTCGCGTGCTCTACATCGACATCGACATCCATCACGGTGACGGTGTGCAAGAGGCATTCTATCTGTCGAACCGAGTCCTGACCGTTTCGTTCCACAAGTACGCCGTCGACTTTTTCCCCGGAACAGGCAACCTGAGCGAGATCGGATCCAACCTCGGCAAGCACTTTGCGATCAATGTGCCCCTACTCGACGGCATTGACGACGAGAGCTACATCTCGCTGTTCAAGAGCGTCATGGAGCCCACTATCACGACGTACCGGCCATCAGCAATCGTGCTGCAGTGCGGCGCAGACTCGCTCGGATGTGATCGTCTCGGAACATTTAATCTTTCGATTGCGGCCCACGGCGAGTGCGTGCGGTTTATCAAGACCTTCGGTCTTCCTCTCCTTGTTCTGGGCGGCGGTGGCTACCGACAAAGCTCCGTCTCGCGATGCTGGGCGTACGAGACAGGCGTGTGCAACGGTGTCGAGCTGCCGAAGGAGCTGCCGCCGAACAATTACTACGAGTTCTTCGGCCCCGACTACTCTCTGCATCCACCATTGTCTGGTCACATTCAGAACCTCAACACGCGGCAGTCGCTGGAGCGCATCCGCGTTTCTATCCGCGAGAAGCTGCGGTATCTGAATGGCGCACCGAGTGTGCAGATGCAGGAGATTCCGCCGGACCTGCAGGGTTTCCTCGAAAGTGAAGAGCGGAAACAGGAGGAGGTCGATGAGGAGATGAACAACGGCACAGCGGGCGAGGACCGAAGCGACGGCCCGCAAAAGCGCAACGAGTATTTCGACCTCGAGGTGGGCGGTGACGGCCACGGTGCAAGTGGAGTCGAGCAGCAGACTTCGCGAGGCAAACGGACAATCCGATTCTAGACGGCGCCTCGCGACTTTCTTTTTCTTCTTCGGTTGGGATTCTTCGGATACGGATACTGGAACCAGAATAATTGTACTACTGCCACACCACTACTGTTACTTGACTAGTTAGCATGTATCAATCTCCAAGCACCTTCTGCTGATATTTACATTTCATACTGCAGACGTAGTTGAGGCGTGTAATGTACCCAATCGAACTACCGAACTACTGATCTTGGCGACGGACAACCCTCTGTCTATGTCAAGTCCTTTAAGCCCCTCCGCCCATACCTGCAAGTTAGTCATGGCGGCGACAATGACGACTCACCGGAAACACCAACGACATCGCGGATCTTGGCAGCCTCATTCGCGGTGAGCCTGTTCTTCATGCTCGTAAGGAAGGTGTCGAAGACGTCGTCGGCGTCACGAGCATGCTGGAACTCGTCGTGGCAGAGGGCATGAATCTTCTGCCAGAATGTTGGGTCCGAAACGACAGAGTGGAACTTGGTGCTCTGCACAGGCGAGGGCGGTCCGCGGTTCTCGTACAGGTCTCCAGGCTCGCCTCCATCGGTCGTGACGGTGAGCTGAGGCGTAGGCGGCTTGTTCCGCGCATGCTTGGCATCTGGTGTGGTTGGGTCCGGCGTCTGCAACGGCGACAGCGTGGGGTGGTCGCGCTTCGCACCAGCACTTCCGGCCGCAGCTCCAGCGGCAGCACCGGCACCAGCTCCAGCAGCGAGGGTCTCGGACGGGGAAGGCGCAGGCGCGGCAGCAGGCGGGGAGGCACCTCCCGGCTTCGCCATGAGCATAATCGTCGCGCCATCGGTCAGGTCGTACTCCTTGAGCAGCTTCGAGTCCGCAAGCACCTTGCCCTTCAACAGCAGTCGCTGAGCGTCGGCAGGCGGGCCGCCAGCAGCATTAATCTGCTTCTTCAGATCCGCGACCGAGTCGGACAGGCTGGCCTCTACGTTGAGCTTGAGTGCCGGCTTCAGCGACTTGATGTTCAGGTTGACCTTCGAGTCTACAAGTCAGCTACCCGGAACCCGCTAATCTCACCTCGCGGGGCGTCAACATCCATCGCCTCGGGCGGCGGGCGGACCTCGGTGTGGACGACACCGACCTTGCGGGGGCGGGTGGACAGGGGCGGGCTGTAGTCGGCAGCATAGTTGACTGGTCGGTGCGAGAGCTGGTCGAGGTATCTCCGGGCGAAAGCCTTCTCCTCTCCCAATCGCTCTCCAGTGAGGGGCGTGTCCATGGTGTTGGTCGGTGATGAGGTGACGGGGTGAGATCGCAATCGATGATGCTGGACCTTCCTTCCGGCCAGATCGATCGGGATCGGCATAGCCTCGCAGCCCTTTGCTCCCGTTACTAATAGTCTTTAACCCTTTCATTAGCTTCTGCAGGCTAATGACACAGACGTCATCCGCTAATCTATCCATCGTGAGGCACGTGATCCCGGACCTGAGATTTCGATATTTTGATTTCTGGGTCGCGAGCAAGTGGGTGGCAACAACCACCCCCACGAGCAACAGACAGCAAGCATGCCGCAGCCTCCGGGAGCCGCGTGGGATAGCCTGAAGCCGGGACTCACCGACTGGATTGCGGAGGTCATCGCGCAGCAGGGATGGGAGCGCATGACACCCGTTCAAGCGGGAAGCATCCCGAGAGCGCTCAAGAACCAAGACTGCGTGGTCGAGGTGAGTACAGGGAGTTCGATGCCGACCAGGGTTTCGAGTTCCAGCTTAGCTGGTATTACAGAGCTGAGGAATTAGGCTGTGACTGGTTCAGGCAAGACGCTTGCTTTCGTGATTCCTGTCCTGGAGCGCCTTGTCCGCAATGAGCACAAGTACAAGAAGGGAGAGGTTGCCGCGCTCGTGATCGCACCGACTCGGTAAGCTCAGCTTTCCTGTGGAAAAGCTTAGCTGACGACCAGCGAACTTGCTTCTCAGATTTACGATGTGTTCAATCTTTTCCTCAGCTCTATCCAACCGCCAGAGCCTGAGGTCGAGGAAGGGGAGACGCCTCCGCCGGTTGAGCCCGCGCCTTACTCGCTCCCCACGCTCGTGACCTCGGGCACGGAGAAGCCGTACGACACCTTCCTCGAGCGGAGCTCGAACATTATTATCGGTACCCCCGGACGACTTGCGAACTTCCTGCTCGCTCCCCGCGGACTGAGCGCCGTCAAGGTGTCGAACCTGGACGTGCTGGTGCTGGACGAGGCGGACCGATTGGTGTCTTCTCCCGACCACAGGCGTGACGTCGAGCGCATCATCAAGCATCTTCCGAAACAGAGGCGCACGCACCTGTTCTCCGCGACCATGACGGATGCCATCGAGGACCTCATCGGCCTTGGTCTGCGCAATCCGGTCCGTATCGTTGTCAATCTTAAGGACAAGCGCGCGAAGAAGGAAGGCGAGGAGCGCAGAATCCCGCTGGGTTTGCAGAACACGTACACCGTCTGCGAGCCGGCGGATAAGACGCTCCAGCTCGTGCGCAACCTGAAGCGTGAGGCTGAGAAGCACCAGAATGCCAAGTTCATCGTGTATTTCTCGACCGGCGCCGCCGTGGACTACTTCTACAGGGTAGGTCTCATCTCAAGCTTCCGTGTGTTAGGGCACTCAGCTGACCGTCTAGGTTCTCTCAAAGATCCCACAGCTGGAAAACTTCAGTCTGACGTCCCTGCACGGCGACCTTCCTCCTCGCGTGCGCGATCAGGCGCTTTCCGCCTTCACATCACACCCTTCGTCACACCTCTCACCTGCTGTGCTGCTGTGCACGGATCTGGCTTCTCGCGGCGTTGACTTCTCTGACATTGACTGCGTCGTGCAGTACGACACGCCGACGGACCCGAAGACGTTCTCGCACCGTGTCGGTCGAACAGCCCGCGCGGGACGAAGTGGCAAGGCGATCCTGTTGCTAACAAAGGGGCGGGAAGAGGAGTACATCGAGCTCTTGCGGGTACGCAAGATCCCGCTGGTCGGTGTCGAGCCCCTCGGTGCTGATCTCGAGCCCCGCACCGTCTCTGAGGAAGCGAGTGTCGAGGCGGAGCGCGTCGACCCAGCAAGCCTGGAGCTGATGGAGGAGATCCGCTCCCTGGCACTCCAGGACCGCGACCTGTTCGATCGTGGTGCCCGCGCCTTCGTGTCCAGTGTTAAGGCGTACTCGAAGCACGAGGCCGGCTTCATCTTCCGCGTCGCCGACCTCGACTTCAACGCGATGGCGATTGCATTCGGCCTGCTCCGCCTCCCTGCCATGCCGGAGGTGCGCGACTGGAAGAAACGCGACGCCAAGTTGAAGGAGAAGTACGAGGCTGCGGTCGCTAAGGACGCTGAGCCCTCCGAGCCGGCTGAGAAGAAGGAGGGCCAGGAGGAGGAGGAGAAGGAGCTGCCGAAGTACACACCACCGGTACCCTTTGCCGAGGCCGAGGTGGACTGGGACACGTACGCCTACGCGTCGAGGCAGCGCGAGGCTGCCCGCCAAGCTGAGCTCGTGACCAAGGCTGCGAACCGCGAGAAGGATGCTGAGGAGCGCGAGAAGCGCGCCAAGAAGCGCAAGATCGAGAAGGAGCTGCGCTCCGCTTGGAGTAACCAGAAGGAGCGCAAGGTCGCTCGCCTGGATAGGCGGGAGAAGCGCGATCTCAAGAAGAAGCGCGAGTGGGAGCGGAAGCAGATCGAGGCTGGAGAGGAAGTTGAGCGCGCGGATGTGCAGCTCAGCAAGAAGAAGAGGAAGGAACAGGCCGAGGAAGACGAGGATTGGGAAGGTGACTACAAGGCTCTGCGACGAGAGGTCGATGAGGAGCGTACGTCCAGGAAGGGCAACAAGAAGGACAACATCGGCGGCATGTTCGACGATCTTGATTAGAGCGCAATGAGAACTAGAATACCCTGCATCCACTATGTACCAATACAATACAGTGTCTACTTGTCCCTTAGCTTCTATATGGTCATCTGGCTGTCAGTTGTGCAGGTAAGGCAGTGCCAACTCACGAAGTGCTCCGATTATCGCCCTCCCCACTCGTCACGCTCGTCATTCCATCCGTCTTGCGCTGCAGAGTCAGTTGCCGTCGACAGTTCATAACTTACGAATAAGGTCCACGGCGTCCTCGCGGCGCATCACTGGGCTCCGGCTATCCCGCAACTCATCCCAGGCGTTCTGATCCGGGGAGCCAACCTCGTAAGGGCTGGTGACAGGCGGCGAAGCATGAGCAGGGTGGCTAAAGTAGTCGGTGTAGTCCCTCGACTGCCGCTGCTGGTGTTGGGTCGGCTGGCCCCATCCACCCACGATGTCGTCGTCTGCGTAGCTCACGGGCTTGTTCGATGCAGGGCTCTGGGCTGCCTTGAATGACTTCTTGCTGGACACCGAGCTGCGATTCCGCTCACTGCGCCTCGGCTTGCGGGGCGTAGGCTCGGCCATCTGCGGCTGCTCAGAACCTGAAGCTCCAGTGTCTAGACCCAGCTTGTTCGAACTCTGGCTAACGCTGTCGCGGTCCGCCCACGCCCCGTAAAGCTTCTGCTTCTTCTGTTCCGGTTTCGTCTCCTTGACCTTGCCCTTGCCCTTCGAATCGCGTCTGCCCCACGGCATCGGCGGTAACGGTGGCGAAAACGGTCCCGTGTTCAAGTCGCGCGCAGTGACGACTCCGCCACTCCTTGTCCTCCTTCCAGCTAAGATCTCGCCTTCCTCAAATCTCCTCCGCCGACGCATGTTCTCCTCAGACACGTCGACATTGGGGAAGCCGGTATATCCGATGTGACGAGCTCGAACGTATAAGGCGTCCTCCGACTCGCTCGCCGAGCTGAACTCAAGGCTAGGCGCATCGGACACATCGCTGTCACTGTCGCTTCCGACTCCGGAGACGGAGTAGCCAACGCGGTGCTGAGGCAAGAGAGGCGTGCGCGAGTCGACTTGAACCCGCTGGTCCTCCTGGCCTGGGACGTTGATCCAGTACTTGGTCTTCCCTCCCTTGGAGTATCGCAGACCGGCGCGAATGCGCTTCGTCCTTCCCTCCTCGTTGTGCAGCCTGCCGTCGGCAGCCTCGTAGGCTTTGTAAGAGATGCCCCTGGCACGGAACGTGTACTTGATGTCCGCCCAGACATCCTTCAGTCCGAAGGCGTCCCGGAAAGCGAAAATGAAGGGAAGTCGGGCGACATGGTTCAGACGCATATCGATGTAGTCGCTGGCCTTAAACGCGTATTGCTGAAGGTTAGTGGGACCAAGACTCAAAACCTACGTGAGCGATAGCGAAGAACGGCATCTCGATGCAGATAAGTGAGTCGACAATCGCCATAGTCATGTGTTCCGGATCAGTGTACACTCCGACTGACAGTCAGTATCACGGCGAGATTCCAAGCTCACCATGCTTGATAGCTCCCACGGAAACGAGGAAGCCGATGAGAACACTCTGCCAGAATGAGAAGAACAGGATGCCCTTGACACAAAGGAACTTGGCTGCGACGTCAGTTGCGGGGTCCTGTGCGAGTCGACTCACGAACTGGTCTGAACGGCTTCAGGTCGTTGTTGACCGCGACCCAAAACATTGCCAGGCAGCTGACCGTTAGTTAAAATCCAAGTGACTCGGAGCTTTGCTCACTAAAGACTAAGACAGATCGAGACGTTGTAGATGACAGTAACCCAGGTGTATCCCGCCGTCCAAGAGAACGATCCCTCATGGTACGTGCCAGTCGCCTTGCAGAATGCGACGAGGAGGACGAGAAGCGGCTTGACCTGAACATACTCTGCTTGTCAGCTCTGCCAGGGAATTTCAGCTGTGACACCCACGAAGCACGCCTCGCTTTAGATTCAGCAGCGTCCAAGGGTCACTTGGATCCATCGGTCGGAGGACGAGATTCATCGGGAATGGGTGAGGAATCGGCGGCCGTCCGCGGAGACGGAGAAGCAGCTCGCGCTCGCCGCCGAGGTACGTGATGAGCAGTTGGAGGAAGGCGTAGATGACGAAGGCCTGATGTCAGCTCATCGGTCCTTCTTGACGAGCTTGGGTCGAGGAAGACCGATCGCCGGTGGAGGTCACGATCGGGGCGCCCGGGCCTTGTGTATTGGTCGAAACTTCTCGCCCAACTCACTTCGTACAGGTCGCGGATGGCGTCGATGTAGAACGCCGCGTTCAGCGAGTACAGCGCAATGAGCGACGAGCACGCATATAACGGTACCCTGTGTCTGTTAGCTACTGCGCTACATGCGAATAAGCTCACATGACCATAATGCGGACGACGTTGCGCTGCAGCTCCGGCATGCGATAGTTCTTGAGCTGAAGCACGATGGAGGCGATGCTGACGACGGTAGCTGCCTGTCAGTTCCGCGACTTATTCCACGCCAACTTACCAACAAGCGTGCAGAAGCCGCACACATCGAGGAGCCACCAGGGGAGGTTATCGCCAGCGCCGCCGGCGGGCACCTCGGCTGGCGCCGGGGTCGACATTGTTTACGCCCGTCGATGGAGCCGCCACCGTAGGGCCGGCTCGATGTTTAATCGGGGAGAGAGGGTAGGTGGCGAGCAGTGATGGAGGGGACTGCACCTCCCTCGTCAATGTCAGCGAGGGGTGGGTGGACTGCCGCAGCGTTGGGCGTTGAGGACGATGGAGCAATGCGCGATCCAGACGGAGAGGATTCAAGGACGCAATTACCAAGCCCCGTCCCCCATGCGGTCTTGCACGCCTGCGCGTGTGGTACGGGCTGTCTGGGCTGACCGGAGTTGCCCCTTGCGTCACCGGCCGGACCGGGCTGATGTGGGGTCCCGCACTGCGAAATCGCGTCCTCGAGTTTCGAGCTGGCCCGTTTCGGTTGACGTGTTTCCGCCTTCCTCGCCTTCCTCGACCACAACGACGACGACGACGACGCCGAGGCCACAATGAGCATTCCTCAAGCAGCGTCCGAGGCGGCTGCTGTTGTCGCCGAATCGATCCCGGGGCCAAAACACTTCGCCCTCACCCACATCGTCTACCCGCCCTCGAACAAGCTCGGCATCCCGCTCGCCCTCCTCAGCCTCTCCCCAATCTTCCTCTTCGTCGCCTACTTCGTCCTCGTCGTGTTCGGGCGTCGGATGAGCTTGTTTCTGCTTGCTGTTGGAAGTGTCGGAAATGAGGCGCTCTCGCTGTTCCTGAAGAGGATCTTGAAGAGCCCGAGACCATTCCCGCACCTTCCCCATGTCGGCCACGGCTACGGTATGCCCAGCAGCCATACGCAGGCTGCGAGCTTCGTCCTTGCCTGGGGTATTGGATACTGGCTCTCGATTGAGGCGCGGTACGACAACATGCCGACGGACGCGAGGACAAGAACGGTCCGTAAGGTCAGGACAGGGACCTACGTCTTCGGGCTCTTTGCTTGGAGCATTGCTGTCGCTGCGAGCCGGTAAGCTGATGGTGCTGCATTTCAGCTCACTCCAGAATCATGCTTCAGTACCACTCTGCTCCTCAAGTCGCTGCGGGGTACATCGTCGGCCTTGCCGCAGGCGCCGCATGGTACTTCCTCACAGAGCACGTTCCGCGAACCTCGCCCGACTCGCTGCCTGGGAAGATCAGGCAGGGGCTGCAGTGGCTCTGGACTGGCGTCGGTGGGATCGGCGGGTGGCAGATCGGTGGAGCCGAGGGCGGGTGGGGAGAAGGCTGGGTGTTCGGCGTCGACAAGAAGGAGGCACCAAAGTCTCAGTAAGCCTTAGACATCATAGATGGTATGCAACTGTCCTGCATGGAAAAGGTACAACAGGTTGAGCTAGAGCTACGGGAGCGGGTAAGCTACGAGATCAAGAAACGTATACGTGCTTGTATACCACAACTTTTAGACGTGAAAACATTATCGTAATTACTTGAAGCATGGGCACAGCGGGTAACTAGGCCGCCACATCGACCTGTGGTGCGGTCTCACTGACACGGGAGCGTGTTGAGCGGGTGGAGACGTTGTCGAGGGTATCTGAGGTGGTCTTAGGGGTATGCGGCGTGGGGGTCGAGGGTGTCTTTGGTGTTTTGGGCGTGTGTGTGCCGTCCGAATCTTCTTTCGCCTCGTTCACATCGTTCGTCGGCCCTTGAGACTGCGCCTCAGACTCAGTCTCGTGTTCGGCTTCTCCGTTCGCCTCGTCGTCCGTGGCAGATGCCAATGGCTCCCCACTCTTAGAGGGTGAGACAGACTCTCGCTCGTCGATGACGCTGAGCTCTCGCCGCGCCCGGAGGCCACTGGCGACGTCGTCCCACACACCACGCTCACCCATGGCATCCACGATGCAAGGCTGGGCAGAGGCGGGAGCAGACGACCCGAGGCCGAGCTTTGAGGGTGAGCGAGGGTCTTCCTTGTTGACCGAGTGCTGGTGTTCCGCCTTATCGGGGGACGATTCTGTGGAACTGTGGATCGAGTTGGACTGGGAGTTCAAAATCCGCGTCAAATTCGGAGTGGGCGAGGCGGGGGCAGAGTCGAGGCGCAGCCTGTAGAGGGTCAGCCAAGTTCAGGTGTTCAACTCACGGTGACAGCACGCTGAATATGCGACCTTCCTCCTTCGGCGGGCCGTACGCATCAAACGGATCAGGGATTGAAGAGACGATGGGCTCCAAGATAGGATCACTGGCCTTCCCTGCAATCTTCTCGTAGAAGTCCAGCTGAGAGCGAATCACGAATGCGACTTTGCTCAGCACTGTGTCCCACGTCTCCTCCTCCGCCTCCAGCACCTCCTCGTGATACTGGAGCTTGATGCCGTCCAGCTCATCGACCTGGCGCTGCAGCTCGGCAAGAGCCGTTCGGAACTGACTCAGGTCGCGCTTCTTTCGCCGTCCGATCTTCATGTTCTCGGCTTCCGTACGGCGAATTTTCTCGCTCTGCGCTTGCAGCGCCTTCTCGTACTGCGCAAGCCGATCAGAGGTCATGAGCTTGTAGTTGTCGAGAGCCTCGAGCAACGGGATCTCAAACTGGCGGTAGACTGTGTCGGCGAGTAGTTGCTCATGGTTAGAGATCAAGAACTGCAAGCCCCCAGCCCCTGCTAGAGCCGCATTTGCTTCGCGACACCCCTTCACGCTTGATGATTAGCTGGGAATTGGTTTCCGCAAGGACAAGTCTCAAACTCACCGGGAGCATGCCTCCATTGCTGACGCGAACGCCGCTGTTGCTGATGACATGGCCAGGAGCGCGTTACGGTACGCTTTCGCCGCAGCCATGAGCTACGCAAGGTCAGCAACGCTCCTCTGGCCCGACATAGTAACAACTTACATCCTCGAAGCACGCAATCGAAGCTCGAAGATCCTTACGAGAGATCAGAGTGTGAGACTCTGAGAGGTTGACCTTGGAGCCAGTCGTCGTCGTGGAGAACTACCTTGTCAGCGTTTCTGTAGTTGTGACGGGCTCGGAGGTGTCTCGGGCTGTCACTCGTCTCGCCACCGTGGAGGCTCGGAGTGACGGCCGTTGCACGTGTGGGCGGCGGAGGGCGGGGCAAGGCGGACGTACCGTGGGGCTTGGCGGGCGCGGCCACGCATGGGAGAAGCTTGCATTGCTCTGCATTGAGTCGTGGCGTGTCCTATGCAGACTCGAAGACATGTTGGGGAGTGAGGGTGATGAGGGAAAAGGTTGAGGACGATAGGTGTTGTTGTTGGCGGATCCTTGAATCCTGGGCCGACCGACCACCCGTCCAACAGATGCCCTTGAAGGCAAGTCGGGCACCAGGCAGGATAACAGAGCTTAACAGAGACGGAGCACGCTGTTCAGGGCGTTTCAGATCACGCTACTCTGCCCTTACGTAAACATGCGGGGCCAACACTCCCCTGAAGTATCCTCAGCTACTACTGGTGAGTGAAGGGTGTGCGATAACGAGGAAGCAAGCGAGTGCCCTTCTGTGGATTCTGTGGGTTCTGTCAATTGCACGACGGCTATAGAGCGATCTGATCCTGCATATTCAAACTATTTTTCAACCTAGACTCTGTAACCGATTCCACCGCCCGTCGTGGCGCCACTCGCGTACGTCTTGTGGCCTCCGTGCCAAGGTCGAGGAGGAGGGAACATGCCCTTCATCGCGAACGTCCAAGAGCCCACTACCGCCGGCGGTTCAGGCTCGTCATCCGAGTCGCCATCGCGGCCGTTGGCGCCCGTGAGCGCCACAGAAGCTGGACGCGCCTTACCGGCTCCCATGCCAGGGTGCGAGGGTGGCATCATCGACATAGGGCGTGTAGAGGGCGATGCACGCTAAACGTCAGCGCATGCAGGAACCTGCAGTACTCACAGCTGGGCTGGGATGCGAAGGAGGTGGCGGAGTGGCACGCGAAGGAGGTGCCGAGATCTCGGGAGTTGAAGCGTTGGAAGACGAACGGAGGCGACCAGCCGCAGCGAGAGCTCGTGCAGCCGGACTTCTGCCGACAGGGGGCGGAGGAGCGTCGTCTTCGTCGTCATCGCACTCCTTCCGGCCGGTCCAGGCGGGGGCGGAGGCGGAGGAGGCGGGGTTGAGCTAGCGGACACAGTCCGAGATGCTCCGCCACTTGGCCGCCTGGGAAGAGGAGGCGCAGGGGGCTCGGGAGAATCACTGCGACGCGGCGGAGGAGGGACCGAACGGCCGGGCAACGTAGGAGGGGTACGAGCAGGCAGAGTAGGCGGGCCGGTGGGGCGAGGGGGCGGTGGGGGTGCACGCTACAGGTTAGCTTGATGCACATCGGAACGACTTACCGTAGAATGCGAGTGCGAAGGAGGGGGCGGAGGCACCGAACGACCGCCGCCACCTGGTCTGTTCGGCAGCGGAGGAGCGCGGTTCGGAAGAGGGGGAGGCGAAGGTGTCGACTGGTTGGGCCTCGGGGGAGGAGGAGGGACGCGGGCAGGGCTGCCTGAAGGGCGTGGAGGAGGAGGCGGAACACTCCTTCCACCAGCAGAAGGTCTGGGAGGCGCGGGAGGAGCACGCCCAGGAAGAGAGGGCGGCTCTCGCTTTGGAATCGCTGGCGCGCGCTACTCTGCCCTTACGTAAACATGCGGGGCCAACACTCCCCTGAAGTATCCTCAGCTACTACTGGTGAGTGAAGGGTGTGCGATAACGAGGAAGCAAGCGAGTGCCCTTCTGTGGATTCTGTGGGTTCTGTCAATTGCACGACGGCTATAGAGCGATCTGATCCTGCATATTCAAACTATCTCCCTTTTGCAATCATCCCCCTGTCTCATCGCTCAGTCCTCTTCTCGACTGTGAAGGAACCCTCCGTCGAAGCAAAGGAGGGACAGAGAAGAGTAAGTGCTCGTGCTCGCCGTTGCGTGCTCAGTGTCCGCGATGGTGACATGCTCGGCCCGACTGGTTGGCTGAGACACCGATCCCGACCCCGACCCCGTGGGGATGTGCCTGTAAAGCCTTCACGTGTGAGTGACGAGAAGGAGCTGGTGGGGCAGGGGGAGCGGCGCGTCCATGCGAGGGGATGGGAGGCGGTGCAGGCGGAGCGCGCTTAGGTGCACCACCGGGGACAGGCGGCGCGGGGGGCGGCTTCGGAGGAGCGGGTACGTGGCGAGATGGCGCCGAAGGTGCGGGTGGGGCTGGCGGAGCGGGCGGGGCAGGAGGAGCCCTTCCTGGTGCCGAGGGGGTGGGTGGAGGCGGCGGTGCCGCGCTGGGCGGCTTCGGCGGAGCACGTCCCGGAATGCTGGGGGGTTTCGCCAAGCCTGTGGGAGCGCCTGGGTGTTAGTCGTCAAGAGCTAACATCGGCGTCAAGAAGCACTCACTATGTCCTGCGGGGCCACCTGTCTTCTTCAACTTCGGCATTCCTCCTGCAAATAGACCTGCCAGCTGCTGCGCAGGGTTGTCGGCGGTCATTGGGTTCGGAGCCGGAGGAGGACGTGCGGCAGCACCACCAGCACCTCCTCCACCCCCGCCGCCGCCGCCCCCTCCTCCGCCGCCACCACCACCAACACTTCCGGCTACAGCTGGAGCTGAGCGGTCATTGGTCTGCGTCTTCTTCAAACCCTTGCCGGCTGGCAATGTCAGTATCGTCCTTGACCCCTTTCTGGGTATAAGCTTACCTTGGATCTGTTGGAGCAGAGCCGCGTTCATAATGGCCGACTGGTCGCGAACGTCGAATGTGACAAACTCAGCAAGGAGATGCCTGGAGCGGTCGTCAGTCAAGCGAGTGCCGTTGCAGATGAGTGGATGTGAAGTAGAAGACGTTTGAATGGAGGTGCTGGGCAGCCATCGTCATCGCCTCCACGGTGAACGATCGGCCGCACCCCGCGTGGTTATATGGGAGGTCAGCATAAGTTTCATCGTAGGGTGACGATAGCGTCACCCGTTTCAAGTCACTGGACATCAGTAAGGTGTTGACAACAACACTGAGAGCTGAGGCTCGGCCTGCTTTCCAGATCTCTAGTTGCCCTTCCCATCTGTCGGCTCCCGAATAGTAGGAGCGTTTCATCGGCGACATGAACTTTTCTCCTTGTAAGTCTTATTGCTGTTAGAGGAGGTCTCTGACGCCAGATCAACCTCCACCTGACTCTCCCGCCGATGACGGCGCGACGCAGTCATCTGCTTACAAGGGGAAGGGCAAGAGCACCGCCAAGCCGTGGTTCACTCGGTGAGTTGGCATTTGCCACTCGTGCACGCGTGAGCTGACTGAGTGCTCTCACGTTTGCCACCTATGTCGACCTGTCACGCAACTTAATGCCTCTCTGTCCAACATGACCGCTATCAAACCGTGAAAACGATCTGATCGAATCACTTGGCGACTCTCACATTGTCTTCAGTGAGACTTCGGGATATGGAAACTCGTACCAGGGGGGTGCAGCGTCCTCGGATCCTACGGTCTCTTCACAGGCACTGTCCAACGACCCGGAAGCCGATATCTACGGATATGGCAACAGTGAGATTCCGGAAGGTCGCGTGAACGCGTGGGAGAGCCGATTCGGATGGAGGATTGACCTAATGGCTGCGGCCGCTTATATTGGAGGCCCTATCACTGGTGAGTCTTGCCTGGGTGAGGAAGGGTGAAAGCTAATAAAACAGCATTAATTTTCCTCATCCTCGAGACGCAGAACGACTATGTTCGCTTCCACGGTGAGCAACAGTCGCACGAAGAAGCTAATGAGCAGCTTATCAGTCCGCCCTGCTTACAACACCGCTTGTGCTGTTCATGATCATCACCAACATGCTGATCCCGCTTCCCGCCTTCTTGCGGACGCTTATCATTATTGTTGGTGTCGGAGCCACATTGTTTGCAGCGTACCGAGCCTGGAAGGACGCGCAGGAGGGTCTCAGCCGCTACTGGCTGCCTTACATTGGAGAGCGTGCCGAGCGCTGGGTCAACGAGGAGTAGGATGGTTGTTCATGCTGTTTGGTACACTAGATTTCATATTATACGATGATTGTGAGCACTTTGCGACTCGGACGTACTGCTGCCCTAGTTGAACGTTCCCGCAAGGCGCGATGTGCGTTGTGCATTGCGTATGCCTAGTATGCCTCGGTGAAGCGCATCACTATTTCGCTAGTCGCGTCCGATCGCAGCATAGAACGTTGACACCGAGACAGCACGCATGGGTCAGACAGCGGCGCAGCCGCAAGGGTCTGCGATTCGCAGCACTGAAGGGGCTCAGGTGGGGAGAGCCGCAGTCAGGACTCAGGCACAACGGCGGCATGGCGCCGGGCATCAAAGCGCACCAGCGCTGTGCCTGACCACTGCACTTTCTGCTCCGCACAGTCCGAGGTCGACACTTGCGCTATCGACTTTCTCCTTCCTCACATCCTTTACCCGTTTAACCTCACCTTTCCCGTCAAAAGCTTCACGGAACGAATCCTCATCCGAGTGGTGCTTGCACAACACTTTCATCCTCGCCGCCGAGACCTGGCATAAACTCGTTCACCATGGCGTCATTAAGACCGCCTCGCGTCCTGGTGAGAGAGAGCTGAACTTGTCTGTCGCTGAAGAGATCCTGACTTCGCAGTCGTTCAAGATCGGCCAGCGACATGTAACTGTGCCCACGATTCCCGCGATTATCGCTGGCGTAGTCACCCTCTTTCTGGTGTACACGCTGTCGACCCCGAGCTCACCAGTGTCAGTGGACTCGTTCACGCCGCACCTCGCGACACCAACAGAAATTCCGGTTACATACTACTCGAAACCGGGCATGAGCTACCTGGAGTTGACGTCGAACCCTCTGTATGGACTTCCGCGGACAAAGTCCAAGTTCCTTGTTGAGCCGGAGCAGTTCCCGCCAACGCCGCTGAAGAAGCACCTTCCTGATGACTTCAAAGTGCCCGACTACGTCCCGAAGCCTGTGGGCGTCAAGGTCCCCGGTATGCGTGTCCCCAATGCCATTCACTATGTGTATGGATTGAAGCCTCCCAAGCATGGGTACAGTGGCGAACAGCTGCCGTACTATGCTTACCTCGCCATGAAGAGCGCCATCACCCGTCTGAAGCCTGAGAAGACCTTCTTGTGAGTGCGCCCCTTCTTTGCTCTGCTGACCCCAGCTACTACAAGTACAAGCCCGTCGGACCGTTCTGGGACTTGATCGAGCCCCACCTCACTCTGATTGAGATTGACCCCCCTGAAGACATCTTCGGGAACAAGCTCACCCACTTTGCGCACAAGGCGGACATCGTGAGGCTGTATGCCCTGAAGGGCTCCGGTGGCATCTACCTGGATGTCGATGTCTACGTGTAGGTCAAACGTCAGCAACTGCGACTAACTTGTCAGGATTCGTGACTTCGATGACCTCTTATCTTATCCTACCACCATGGGTATGGAGCGCAGCCCGGACTCCCGCAAGGAAGAACTCGACGCTGGTGGTCTCTGCGTAAGCTCTTCTATCTGGGTTGCGCCATGCTGACCGCAGAATGGTATCATCATTGCCGAGCCTGAGTCGCCCTTCGTCGATCGATGGCTGAACGAATACCACTCCTTTAGGGATGGAGGCTGGGCCGAGCTCTCGGTGCACAAGCCGTGGGAGCTTGCGCGGTACAACCCCGAGGAGATCCAGGTCCTGAACCCCCGCGCGATGTACTGGCCGATGTGGCACGGCAACGAAGTCGACAAGACGCACACTGAGAACGATTATGACTTTTACAGCACCGGCCAGTACACGTACCACGGCTGGGAGTCGCTCGCGATGAAGTACCTTATCGCGCTGACCCCGGACGACATTCGCAAAGTGGACACGAGCTTCCACCGCCTCGTCCGACCGTAAGTGAAAGCCAGCTGTATTCGTAGGGGTCTAAGCTGACATGCAGACTCGTAGGTCCCGAGGACGACGACGCCTATGCGCAGTGGGCGAAGGAGCAGGCGAAGCGTGATCTGGCCTAAGCCCGTACCTCCGACTGTCTAACAATCTGATGCATGGTATAGATGACTCTAAATTACGTTTTGACTATCATTACTTATGCCCACTCAGCCTTCATAACGTTAGCGAGGCGACGAATGCCCTCCTCCATGTCCTCCTTGCTCTCAAACGAGTACGCAAGACGGAAGTATCCCTTTCCAGGCTCGTTGTTGGAGCTGGGCACGCCCTGTCCCTCGTAGGGAGTGAAGTACCAGCCAGGGGTGACGAGGACGCGGGCATCAACCAGCTTCTTCCAGAACGCCGTCTCGAACTCGTGCTCCTTGTCCCTCCTGTCCGGTCCGTCGCCGACAAACGCGGCGTAGCCGGGGTGCTCGTCAAAGTGCACCGTGCACCAGATGAACATGCCGCCAATGGGCGGGGTGAAGCTGAGTACCTTCCTTCCGTTGATGGTAGCAACCATCGTCTCAGCGGAAGGAGTGAGGGCAAGCTCGCTACTAAGCGCGTCGAGCATCCAGTCCCTGCGGACGCGGTACTGCTCGCAAAGTCTAGCACACCACTGGAGGTATCCCTCGGTTCCCCAACGGGCGAGCGTCTCGCCAAGGATGACCTGGGAGAAGCCCGAGGGCTGCTGGTTCTGCACCTCGGTTCCGCGGAGGAGGCGCTCGATGAACATGGAGTTGGCGACGAAGAATCCAATACGCAGTCCCGGGGCGAGCGTCTTGCTGAACGTCTCGAGGCGGATCACACGTCCCTCCGTGTCGTGGATGAGGAAAGAGCGCGCAACCTTGCTCATGAAGTCGGCGGGCGGGGTAGCCGACTCATCAGAGGGAGCCAGCGGGTCCCACGCCTCAAACTGCAGCATGAAGTACGGGTCGTCCTCGACAATGACTAGGTCGTACTTGCACGCGGCGGCGTAGATCTCCTTCCTCCGCTCGGCCTGCATGGTGGAGCCCAGCGGGTTCTGGCCAACAGGGACAAGGTACATGACGTGCGGCCTCGGTCCCTGCGTAGCAGTGTCCCACGCATCGAGGGCGGCGCAGAGAGCATCGGGACGCATGCCCTGGTCATCCACCGGGATCGGGAGACACTTGACGCCCTCCGGGATGAAAGCGGCCTGGGCGCTGGGGTAGATCTGCTCGTCGGTGATGACCGTCTCGCCGCGCTCGCACAGGAGCGTCACAATCTTCTGCCACGCGTCCGTCGAGCCGCAGTTGATGAGCACGTCCCAGTCTGCGTAGGCCGGGGGCTGCACCGCGGCCGTCAGAGCCTTGCACATCTCCGCGAGCGGCTTGAAGCCCGCGGCACCAGAGTACTGCAGGTCGCGCTCGAGGAAGGACACATTGCCCGGCTGCGCCTTTCGCGCAATGTCGATCGTGATGCCGTCGGATGGTGGGACGGGGTTTGCCGGGTCGAGCACGGTGGAGGGGTGGTAGACGGAGGTCGAGAGGGACTGGAAGGGGAAGAGGGAAGGGTGAGGCAGACCACCGGCGAGCGAGATCATACCGGGAAGGTGCATGTAGGTCAGGATGTCCTTCAGCGGGGACGGCATGCGCGAGCGAGCGACAAGAGAAAGGTGGTGGGAGAGGTCGACGGCCTTGCCCTCGGCGGGCACAGGAGCCGGCGCCGAGACGGCCGCCTTCAGCGCGGCAGTGCCATTGACGGCGCCATTGCCGTTGGCGGTAGCGACTCCGTTAGGCTCGAGGGTCATAGATGTGTTTGCGGGTTTCGGTGTGCTGAGCGGCTAAGCGAAAGCTAAGGTCGAAGCTACTAGCTGGTAGCGTCTGAGGTAAGTGTGAGTGATGAAGTGCGATGTAAGCGAGGTAGAGTGGGCAGCAGCAGCGGTGAAGATTCAGAAAATGCAGGCCAAGGTGGCCGAGGTCGGTTACTTATAGCGCAGGTGTCGTATATCGAGCAGTCTCGAGTCAGTTCCGAATTTGACTGAGTCAGGCGTCCATTCCGCCGTTCGTTCAGAGATTTGCCAAACCTCCCTTGGCTATCGCAAGTCCACTTGCACCTGACCGTTACAGCATGTCGCAGGATAACAGGAAGGTACGGCCGGGACATACGCGCCCGGGGCGCCTGCAAGCGCTTGGCTCTGGGTGGTTGGGCAGGAGGGCGGCGAGAGGGTGGGCTATCGACCGAAAACCCTTTCGACAGGGCCAGAAACGCCAGGAGGGGCACGGAATGCCACTCTTGTCGGCTGCTCGACAGGGTCGAGTCGGCCGCAGATCGGCCATGTCCGTCGTCCGTCTCGTCCGTTTTTCAGTGCTCTCGCAGGTTGCCGCGGGGATTTTAACTTCCTCGGATCTCAGCAAACTTTCTCGGTCACCATTCGGGCAACAACAACGTGCGGGCAAAAAAAACTCGGAATATGCAAGGTCCGACTGCCCTCCCTTGTCAGTTGGCAACATCATTAAACAACTGACACGTCTATTTATCCGAGAAGAACAAGAATAGTAGTCTCCGGAACGTCATACATCCGCACGAAACGTGCTCTAGTTGGTGATACATAAAGGGTATGTCTAGTCGAACACAATCTTGGTCGCCTTCGGTGCGTTCTTGAGCTTCTGCTCCGCCTCCTTCCTCCTCCTGGCAGCCTCCCAGGACGGGTGGTTCTTGCCCTTCTTCTCGTCTCCGCCAGCGCCGGGACCAGAAGCGCCACCGGCCGTGGCAGCGCCGGGCGTGCGAGCGGGAGCGCTCGAGCCGAACGTGCCGCCCGGCTTGGCGAGAACGGGCGCCGACTCGGGCGCAGGACGGTACGTCTTGTACCCAGAGTCGCGGGACGGAGGGACAAAATTGGATCCACCGACGCGACCCTCCTTCTTAGCAGCCTTCTTCTTCTCCTCCTCACGCTGCTTCACAATGTGCTTCGCGTTCTTGCCGTACTTCTTCTCCCAGATGCTGGTCGTCAGTTCTGCTCAGAGCCTTGCAATTGATGGCACTCACGCTTGGCGCGCACGCTGTCCACGGCGGTTCTTCCGCGGCGCGGCCTTGTTGCCGATCACTCCGTCTGGGTCGTAGTCCATGTCGGGGTCCGAGTCACTGTCACCAGCAGTGAATCCAGCAGCAAGCGAGGGAAGGAACATGGATGTACCGTCAGGTTTCGGTTTCTCAGCCTTCGCGGCCTTCTTCTCGGGTTTCTTCTCCGCCTTAACAGGCTTCTCGGCCTTCTTGGAGACCTCGGCCTTCACCTTCTTCGCCGGGGGTCTCTCAACAGCAACACTGCTTCCGCTGCTGCTGTCCGAGGCAGAGCCCGCGTCAGAGTCTCCCTCAGAGCCAGATGACCAATCCTCCCCGGCACCGCCCCTCAGGTTGGCGAGAGCGGCGTAGTCGGGCGCATCGGAGTCGGAAGCAGAGGCGATCCACGCATCCTCACCGGTGCCTTCCTCGCCGCCGACGGATCCAGACTCCCAACCGTCCTCGCCCTCCTCGTCATCCTCATCACTACCCTCTCCACCAAGGTCCCCAGATTCCCATCCGGCAGCGTCCGCGGCCTTCTCCTCGACGACAACTTCATCATCACTGTCGAGCTCACCGACGACGTTGGCCACGTCGTCCTCGCGCTCGTCGTCGCCTTCAGAGGCGTCGTCGCTGTCTTCGTCGGATTCGGGCTTGGCGTTCTTCTTGTTCTTCTTCTCCTTCATCTTGTCGAGGTTGAGCGAGCTTCCGGGCTCAGCCAAGCACCACGAAACGATGCCCTTGACGCCATCGGCGACATTTTTGGCTGAGCAGAGACGGTTCTCAACCTTGGCGATGACTTCGGGCGTGGCGTTGCTACCGCTCGCCTTGACTGTCTGTCCACCGCCGATGACGGACTCGACGTCAGACGGCATACCGTCTTTCTTCAGAAGGTAGTGCTTGCGCAACTTAAGCTTGAGATGGTTCGCGCTGAGGATGTGCAGATCAACGGCACCAAGAAGCTTGAGCTGCGTGTCAAGTTCATCGGCCTCGGATGACGAGCCCTTCTTCGAGAGGAACTTGATCTTCTTGATCAGGCGCTGAGACTCCTCGCGCTTTGCTTGCTTGAACAGCTGGTGGAGCTTCTTCAGAGCCGTAGGCTGCGGTTAGCCATTTGGTCAAGGAGTTAGCTCACAGTTCGCTTCTTGAGCTTCTCGAAGTCGACAGCGGGCTTAGCCTCCTCGGTAGTGATGGCAGTACTCTCAGCCTCGGTCGGTGCCACGAGCTCTGCGTTCTCAGGCTCCGGAGCGACAGTCTCCTCAGTCTCGGGCCCAGTCGATTCAGCAACACCGGCAGCCTCAGCCGCAGCTTTCGCCTAGTCGTTAGCAAGACATACCCTGCAGGAAACTTACAATAGCAGCCTTCTTGGCCTCCTCTCTCTGCTTTCCAGTGCGTTTCCGCTTCTTGGTGGTGACCTCAGCCATGGTTGTTGATCGTTGATGATGTTGTTTAGGGCTGCACTAGCCTGAATCTTGGTAGACACCCGGACGACTATCGGAAATTTCAGTTTCCCACGGTCACATTCCCTATCCAGGCACGGATTGTTATCTCAGCCTTCAGGAGGCGATGCTTGATGCAATACGTCAACATTGCATGGTGATATGATAATACAGCATGTCTAGTGCGGCAGAGGAAGATTCCTCGCCTCTAAGGCTTCTTGTTTCTCGCGCTTCTTGCGCTCCTTTTCGGCAGCCCTCGCTGCGGCTCGTTCAGTCTTGTTCCTCAAAGTCTCGCTATTAGCTTTTTCTCCATATAGAGACTCACCAATGCGCCGTGTTGCGCCGCACATCTATGGTCAGCTTTAATCTCTTGCTCGTCGGCTACTCACAACAGCGATGCAATCTGACCTGCATTCACTTCATCCAAATTCACGTTCTTCCCCCTGATAATAACGGTGCCGTCCGCCTCGGTCAACCCTTTGAACTTTCTCAGAAGCTGCACCTGCTTCGGCGATGCGGGACGTGATCGCCACGCAGCATATCTTGACAATCTGCAATCAGAGTTTGTGCACGCACCGCACTCACTGGTGGGCCCTTTCGCGACTCATACGCTTCTCAGCGAATGTGTCTGCTGTCGTGAATGCCCTGTCGATCGATTCGGCATAGGCGATCTGTTGCTTGCTGGAATACGGCGATTTGGTACGAAGTTCTGTGGGCAGCTTTGCAGTGAACGTGATGCTAGACAGCTGCTCGTGAGGCTCAATGGTGATGAAACCGTATCCTGGCAGTTAGCTAGATGAGCCAGACACCGAGCCCACCCAACATCTCAAGGATGTACTTTCCGTTACCGCAATGTACCCAGGCATTGTTCGACAGCTTTTCCGTCACAACAGCGGCACTTGTGGGAGCCGACAGGCTGAAGGGGTCGTCACAGTCGACAAGAGTGACGGAGAAGTTCGGCTGTAAACTTCCCTCACGGGGCGACGGAGCTGAAACACGTCAGCCGGGAGTTTCTAGAGGTTCGGCTCACCAGGCGTCCCGTTACCATCGCTTGGTCTCTCCTCATTGTCGTACACTGGAACGTCATCGTGCGACAATCCGAACAGAGTCGGCGCAACCCTCATGCCAGAACTTCGAGACACGTTGTCCACGATATCAACCAGGTAGCAGTCCTTCTTACCCGTTGAAGGAGAGAGACGCAAACCCCTGCCCACCTGCTGGTTAGCTCTGTAATTGTTACCTAGCTCACCATCTGGGCAATGAGGTTTTTGCTCTTGGACGGTCGGGCGAGGATAATGCAGTCAATCTTGGGTCAGCTAACGCGGCAAACCCCCTTAACGTACCTCAGGTACATCCGTCCCCTCCGTTAAAACCTCACAGTTGATGAGGACAGGGAAGTCTCCGCTCTGGAAGGATTTCAGAGTCGCTAGTCGGTCGGCGCGCGGCGTCTTGGAGCTGATACTCTGGGCCTGCACTCCTGCCATCCTGAACGCCTGTACCAAATCCGCCACGTGCTTCAAATCAACAGCAAAGACTAGTGTCGAGCGCCGTTCCTTCGCCCGGTATAGCCACGTCCTAACGATGAGCGAGTTGAGTTCCGGCTTGTTCATGTGCTTGGCAAGGCTGCTCGTGCGATAGTCCCCAGCCGAAAGGGCGACATCATCCAGGTCCAAGTCGGCATATACGGCTGTGCTCTTCACAGGTGACAGCCAACCATCCTCCAGCATCTGTGAGACTTCGCGGTGGAAGACGATCTCCTCGTATACTGCGCGCAGAGCGAGTTGGTCGTGTCGAGAGAACGTCGCTGAGAATCCGATGATTGGCACATTCTGTCCGTGGTTAAACGTGGAGAAGGGTCCCGTCTGCTGCGGCAGAACCACCGCGTCATTAAAGTAATGCAGCAAGCGGAGATAACTAAGAGCCGCGGAGTGGTGTGCCTCGTCCACGATGACGAGCTTGAATTGTGATGGATCGAACTTGTCCAAGCGGGCCGGATTGTTCAGTGTCTGGTAGGTTGCTATTGTACTGCACGGGTCAGCCGCTCCTGGTCGACGTAAGGGGTAAGCTCACATGTCTGCCGACCCGGACGCAACCCGCTTGGCTTGCTCGACCTCGACCGAATACCCAGGGAGCAGGGTTCGTGCTGCGTTCTCCGCCTGATGAGCGAGTTCGACACTGCCGACGAGGATCAAGACTTGATCGCCTCCGTTTCTCGGAGGTATTCGCGGGATGAGATTCATGAACATTGTCGTCTTCCCGGAACCTGTCGGCGACGAGACGCCTATACGATTCTTGCCTTCCTCTAGCGCTGTCACGCACGCGCTAATGGCCTCCTCCTGATACGGTCGCAGAGTAATGGGAGTACCAGATCGGCTCCCATCCTGTGATTCGAGGAGGTTCCGCTCTGCTATCTCTGCGGTAATCTCTTCCGTACTGTGATCTTGCGCATAGCCGCTCTTCGATAGCCGGGGACGAGTGCGAGCGAGCGCGTCGAGGGCCCTGGCTTTGGCAGCCGGGGGAGGATAGGCGAAGAGTGTTCGTGACAGGTAGAGGGCCTGTATCCGCCCTCTGAGCTGCGGAGCAAGGGTTCGCCTTCCAACGAGTCTGAACATGGATGATACAATGTCTGGAGTGAAATCAGCTCCAATCTCGTCAACTTTCATGTCGGAACGCGGAGCCCCGCATGATGACGGCTTGTCAACAACCCCTTTCTGGATGGCAGATGGGCTGTCGCATCTCTGTTCTTCGCTCTCGTTGCATTCATTCCTTCTTGACACCTACGCTCGCACACATCACGCGGAGCGAGCGCGGGGTAAAGTGAACATTAATGCCGCAGCTCCGCTGTGTACTTCTGCAGGCCGGGCATGAGGCACGTTTCCGCAGTGCACACAACCTTCTCCTCCTTCACGTCATCACACTTATGTATGTCCAAAACGTCACCTCGACACTTCGCCTTTCTTTCTCAACACCGCTTCGATGTGTCCACAGCGAGCCTCGACCTCCCTCCGCTTTCTGAACGCCTAAAACCGCCTCTTGGAGGCGAGATGGCCGAGTGGTTTTAAGGCGATCGCTTGCTACTGCGCAGCAAAGCAGCGGTTGGGTTCTCCCGCGTGAGTTCGAATCTCACTCTCGTCGTAGGCATCGTTTTTGGAGCCGCCGGAAGTCGCTGGGAATGTCGAACGACTCGCTGAATGTCATCTTGCCAACGGCTTACCTTGCAAATGGCTTACCTGACCGACGGCTAACCTGGCAAATGGCTTACCTAATGAACAGCTTACCTGACAAACGGCCGACCTGGCGGACGGGTTACCTGGGAAACGTCTTACATGGGGAACAGTCCAACTATCAAACAATCGCGGGAAGAGGAGGACGTGGGCGCCTCGTCCGTCTCCTGCGGACGGGGAACCTCAAGCACAAGGGCATTTCGCAGAGGAGGGAAGGTAGAGTGTAGGCGCCCCTGGCTGCACCGCTCGGCCTGAACAGCGAGTCTCACAGGGAAGGCGAGAGGAGGAATGGGGGCGGACCAGCGACAGTAAGGGATAGGGTGCAGGGACCTGCCACATCCCACACACAAGGCATACACTCCTTCACCCTTAGTGGCACCAACTGAACGCAGACGTAACAGCAAACTGGGCCTTCGGATCGAGCACAGCAACGTAGAGAAGCTAAAAAGGTTTCGACACGAGTGAGATTCGAACTCACGCGGGAAATCCCAACCGCTATCTAATGCAATAGCAAGCGATCGCCTTAAAACCACTCGGCCATCGTGCCACGTGATCTCGCCCCTCTCGCACTAATATGTAAGGGGCCCCGCGCTATTCGCACCAAATTCCGCATCAATCAAATTCTCGGGCGGTTTGCTTGACGCGGTTGTGGCTTAGGTGAGGTCGCAGGCGCTGAGCATGAGCGAAGACAAGCAGCATAATGTTCAGAGATAGTGGGGCTGTTAACAGATAATATAGTAACATGCAGAATGTACAAATGTGTCTACCTCCACCCCTCCGCGACGCGGACGCCGACGAGGCGCACGACCTCTCCCACACCGCGGACCTTCTCGCTGAGCGTGCCCTGTTTCCTGGCCGGGATCTTTCCCCGCCCTCCGGCCAGTTCGGCAAGCATGGCGCTCATGATCTCAGCCTCCTCGACAACTCTGGCTGCACCGATAGCTTGCCCCCTCTCCTTCGCGAGCTTGGCGTACTTGGTCGCGGCGTTGAAGGTGTCTCGCGCGCCGTGCTTGCCCTCCTGCTCGAGCGCGAGGGCGGCGTGCGCCTTCGCACGTACGAGTGCTGCGCGAGCGCCGAGCTCACTGCCGAGGCGCGGCCAGAAAGCGGCGACCTCCTTGTCGGCCTTCGACCACAGCTCCATCTGCAGCAGTACTTCGGACAGGGCAACGATGCCCTCGTCGTGTAGCGGCCACAGGGCCAGAGACTGAGCAAGCTGAAGCGCGCTCAACACCATGGGCAGGATCAAGTGCGCTGGCGTGTGCTTGTCGAGCATGCTACGAGCCTGCTTCAGGCTGTCGCGGATGTGCTCCTGTGCAGGCAGGATGCCGCGCGATTCCGGCGTCGCCTCAAGGTCGAACTTGTCCCTCACCAGACCACCAGGTCCTGTCCGTTCCGGCGCCGGTGCTCTCAAACCAGCAAGTACGCTCAGCGCTGCTGCATCCTCTTCCAGCGTCGCCTCCTTTTCCACAATCGACCACACGACGCTCGCCCATCGCCTGTAGTCCGTAAGCGAAAGGCCCTCGAGAACTCCGGGATCAAGGAGCAGGGCAAGAGCCTCGTCGAACTTGCCGGTCGTTGCTGAGCGCTCAGCACGCGCGAGTAGGATCGTTATCCGGCCTTCCTCCTCGAGATCAGGGGCCGTCAAAGCCATACTCTCGTGCAAGTCTGCAAGTTCTCCAGAGCCCATCATGCCCCACAGTCCCGCTTGAGCCTGATGCCAGGCGGACATGCTGATCATGCGCGGGACGTTCTCTTCTGTCCCGGCTTTCGTCGAGTTCAGGGCGGTCCACAGCCGCCGATATGCCATCGGAGCAGGCTCACCGAGGTCGACCGCCGCATTGATTGACCACAGTTCATCCGACGGTGTCGCACCCTTCGCGAGCTTTCGCTCTGGCAGTGGTCCCCCCTTGACACGCGGGACCTCGTTCGGCGCCCATGCCGCCGATCCCACCTCCGTCGTGAGGCGGTACTTGAGGCTGAGGCAGAACTCGAGGCACGTCTTGTCGCCCTGCTGTCGCGAGAGACGGATGCCCTCCTCTACTGCTTCGCGGGCAGCATCCAGACCGCCCGTCGCGTATTTGAACGCAGCAAGGTTCAGCAGCGCGTGCTGGTGCATGTACCTGTCTGACGAGGGCACCTGGTAGTCGTAGAATTGGCGCAGGGCGAAGAGCGCGCTTCCGTAGTCGCCTGTCTGAGCGGCGGCTTGATGTGATGCCATGGCAGCGACACGCTTGTCTCCTCCTTCGCGCACCTCGCGGTTTAAGCTCATTCCAACGCGTCTCGGCTCGCCGCGGACGCCGCACCACTCCGCCGCGTGAGCGGAAAGCACAAGCGTTTCGTGGAACGACATCTTGCGCAGCTTTATGAGTAGTGTTCGGAAGAAGAGGCCAAGCGGTGACCGGCGGTCGAGGGGCTCGGGTCCGTCTATTGGCTCCTCGATGTCCTCGCTGATGCGATTGCGGATCTCGCGCTCGATCGTGTCAACAAAGGCACAGCCTTCCGTCACTTCGTGAAACTGTTCCGGCTGCCGTTAGCATGGGAAAAAGGCCTGTAGCTCACGAATATGTCCATCCAGCTCGCCCCAGCCGCGGCCTCCTCGGCCTCGGCGCTGACGATCTGACCACGCGACATCCGTTTGTCGTTCAGGCGCGCGACAACCACGGCTTCTTTCACTATAAGCCGATCGGTTTCCGCCTTCAAACTGCCAAAAGTGACAGGAGCTGGGTTCACCTGTCTGTCAGTCACAAGCCTCGTAGCGCAAACGCTCACCTCAAGAACCTCCCGAGCGACTATCTCCAGAACGGCGGCGACGAATGTAGGCGAGTAAACATTGATCGGATGACCATGATCGTTTACCGGGGTGGCTTTGACAACAAGCCAGGCGAGGGCGAGATGCAGTGGCAACTCTGGTTCGGGCAATGGACCGAGCGATGCTGGCGGTGCATCGCGTGGCCGAAACGGCGAAAACATGGTAGAATGAGTGGTTGAGATGTGACAGGCGAAGTCTGGAAACAATGACAACAAACGAATCGGGCCCCGCAGTTCGTGCACCTCCATCAAAACATCCGTGGCTGTCGTGCGAGATCTGTCTTGTGTCCCGCCGCCGATTCACCGCTCCTCACGGGCGTCGCACAGATGCGACGATGCACAGACCTTGTCAGTGGGCCAGCAACACTGTCCCAAGCACCTTATCTTTGGGGTACCTCTCACATGCAATTCATTTGGCCACTCGCTTCTGATCGCCATGCATCCACCACGTCTTCTACTTTCTAGTTGCAGATTCCCTCATGCGAAAGACAGCCCTACGCAGCTCAACCAGATCTGCGGTCAGCTTAGCCCGTTCCGCGAGACAATCTCTCACGCTCGTAACAGATCCTGTCGTTGCACTTGAGGCCGCACTCGAGACCTTCCTTCTCGCTGATTATGATCGCGCATTTGCCATCCCCGATTCGAACCCTTGGCGAGTCAGCTGCAGACTGGCTCTCACCTCACCTCCCGGGTTTGACGTCCTGCGCTGCTTTAGCTGCAGTCATGGCGGAAACATTGGTATGTTGGGAGGTGAGGAAGTGTACGCGTTGGGGATAACATCGAGCCATATTTCCTGTGTCAGTCATCGGTTAGTCACACAGACAATGAGATTCCGATGCGGTGTGATAAGCAACGGGGCGCGCCGGGGCAAACGGGGCGAAAGTGTGTGAAAGGGGTCTCATATTGTTACAGTCTAATGTTATGGAGGGGTGTATGTGGTGTTGATGAGTTGGCTGATAATTGGTGGTACAGCAAGCGTCCATGTACAAGATCTTTGTGGACGGTGGTCTAAAAGTATGCGTCGGTTCTAAAAACGCGCTTGTCGCGACCCTCGTCACTGTTCTTTCGCGAGAACAGGGGCGTTGTAGATCCGGACATGTTGGCGATTTGGTAAGATGAGACTCGAGATTCGAAAAAGTTCGCTTTGCCTTGCAGGGAGATGAGCTCCATCCAGTCGAACGGGTTCGTTGAGTGGTAGATCTTCTCGTATCCGAGCGCGACGACAAGGCGGTCAGCCACAAACTCCATGTACTGGCACATCGACTGTACGTTAGCTCGAGCCGTAGATCTGAGACTTACATCGGCGTTGATACCGATCAGGGCACATGGGAGAGCGTCCGTCAAAAACTCCTTCTCAATGTCCAGCGACTCTTTCACGATCTTGTGAACTTCCTCTTGCGAACACTTGTGTTTGAGATGGCTATACAACAGACAGGCGAAGTCGGTGTGTAGGCCCTCGTCTCGACTGATGAGCTCGTTCGAGAACGTCAAACCGCCCATGAGACCGCGCTTCTTCAACCAGAAGATCGCAGCAAACGATCCAGAGAAGAAGATACCTTCAACGCAAGCGAAGGCGATCAGACGTATCCGGAAAGGTACATCGTCGGTGATGTACTTCATCGCCCAGTCGGCCTTTTTCTGAATACAAGGGATGTTCTCCATGCCCTTGAACAGAAAGTCCTTTTCGTCCTTGTCCTGCACATACGTCTCGATCAGGAGGCTGTAGGTCTCGGCATGAACTTGCTCGATCATCGTCTGGAAGGCGTAGAAGGCACGAGCTTCGGCGATCTGCACCTCCGTGGCGAATTGCGAGATGAGGTTCTCCCCGACTATTCCGTCGGATGACGCAAAGAACGCCAGAATCCCTGACAGTGTCAACCATACGCCCAGAAAAGCTGTGTTTACTCACGAAGAATGAAGAAGCGCTCTCGTTCGTTCATACGCTCATTCCAGTCGTACAGGTCCTTCGCTAGATCAAGCTCCTCCGCCGTCCAGAAACTCGCCTGAGCTTGCTTGTACGCAAGCCAGATATCACGATACTTGATCGGGAACAGGACAAAGCGGTCGCTGGTCTCGCGCAGAATATCTTCTTCCTCCTCCTCAGGAAACTTGCGAGTCACTGCAGAGGTGGATGGAACCTTCTCCGACTTGGCATCGCCGTTTGCATCGGGTTCCTCGATCACCCTCTTCACCTGCATCTCAGGTAGTGGCGACGAGGCAGCGAGGGGCGACTTTGCAATTGTGCCGTTCCGTCGACTATCGTCGACCTCCAGACGTTCCATTCTCTTGTCTATGTTCAGATGGTCATAGAGAGGACGCTGGGTCTGGTTTATGCGCTCGATCTCCTCGGTGTCGTACTTGCTGGTGGCTGTAGATACGATCGATGAGGAGGATGTCCTGCGGGAGAGCGGAGTTGAACGGGACAGGAGATGCTGGTGGGGGTGCGATAGGTGAGCGGCGGTCGCCATGGCGACGAGGTGGGTATCTCAAGTGCGTGCAATGCTTGCTGCTCGTTGATTGACGTTGGGGAGATGGGGTAGCGATGGAGCGTTTCATTCACTCAATTTCTGGCCATGACTTCAGAGCTCCGTCATGTCCAGTCATCTCGGTGGCAAATTGTGCCTCGTGGGAAATGTCACGTGATGCTGGACCTCCACTTTCCATCCGCCCGGGGTGACGACCCGAATGCGCCGAAAATGGACTTTTGCGGACTGCAACCATCGTCACGAGCATGCTGCGAACAACGACTCGGAGTACGCTCACAAAAGCGCGGTTGGCGTATTACGCTGCAGCGGGCCGATCGATATCAACGACGCCGGTCGTCTTGAAGGAACGAGCTCCGCCCCCCGCTCGCGATTGGGGTAAGCCACCCCCTCCCCGCGATTGGGGAACGCCGCCTCCTGCCCGCAACTGGGGTTCACCGCCTCCCGCTCGTGACTGGGGAAGCGCTCCTCCCAGAAATCGGCGCCAGAACGATCGACAGACCGATGGCTTTGACAATGAGTCTCGCGGCAACCGCGGCAGCAATAGGGGTCCCCGACGGAACGACGATGGTGGCCGCGAATCCTCTGGACCGGCCAGCCGACGAGGCCCTCGAAACAACGACAGATCCGATCGAGTCAGTTGGGGGATGGCTGGCCGTGGACCTCGGGCTCCCAGGACGACTGGGCCGGACGTGCTAACCCCTACCGGTACGCAGAGACGGGCGGAGGAGAAGTCTGCCGAGTCCGCTTCCCGACTTAGAGACGATTACGCGCCATCACACGGCGTGATGGAGGAAGATGGCGACCGCCATCGACGCGGAAAGCCGCGCCACGATAGGTTTGGCCGAGAGTCACGGTCTCTTTTGAAGGAGATTGGCGGAGAGCTTGAGATCCCGGGCCCTGAGCACCATCGGAGCCCGAAGGGCAAGGGCAAGAATGCCAAGAGCGCTTTCAAGGACCGCGATCGTGAGAGGCGCGAGTTCATGGTCATGGATGAGGATGAGGAGGCTGCTCTGCTTCTCGAGCAGATGAAGCTGGAGAAGAAGCGCAAGGCGGAGCGGGAAGCCAAGGAGAAGGCTGAGGCCAAGGCTGCCGCCGAGAAGAAGAACCGGATGCTGCGTGAGGTCCACATTCCGACCACGATCACTGTGTCGCAGCTTGCGGCTAAGATGAATCTCCGTCTGCCTCGCCTACAGAACAAAATGCGCCAGATTGGTATGAAGGAAGAGCAGCTCCGTGCCGACTACTTCCTGAACTCGGATCAGGCCTTTGAGCTCGCCCTCGAGTTCAACCGTGAGCCCGTCCTCGATTCGGACAAGGGCTTTGACCTGTACCCTCAGTAAGACCCTTGATGATGTTGACGAACCTGCGCTGACATCTCAGGCCGGAAGCTGATCTCTCGAAGTGCCCGCTGCGTCCCCCCGTTGTCACGATCATGGGGCACGTCGATCACGGGAAGACGACGCTACTCGACTCGCTGCGTAAAACGTCAGTCGCGGCCGGCGAGGCCGGTGGCATCACACAGCACATCGGTGCCTTCTCCGTGCCCCTGTCCGCCATTTCGCCGTCAGCCACCGACTCGGACGCAACGATCACCTTCCTTGACACCCCTGGCCACGCTGCGTTCACCGGAATGCGTGCTCGTGGAGCGTCCATCACGGATTTCGTCGTGCTCGTAGTTGCCGCCGATGACGGTGTCATGCCGCAGACGAAGGAGGTCATCAACCTCGTCGCGGCTGCTGGCGAACAGGTCGGTCTCATCGTCGCCATCAACAAGTGTGACAAGCCGCTGGTCGACATTGAGCGCGTCAAGCAGGAGCTCGGTGCTGAGGGTATCATTCTGGAGGAGGACGGCGGCGATGTGCCTGCTGTCCGCGTGTCGGGCTTGACTGGTCTCGGTCTCGACGAGCTGACCGAGACCCTGTCAACGATGGCCGAGCTTCGGGAGCTGCGCGCTCGGGAGGACGGACAGGCTGAGGGCTGGGTTCTCGAGTCCAACGTCGACCCCGGACGCGGTATCATCGGTACCGTGCTCGTGACGCGAGGTACACTGAAGAGCGGCTCCTTCATTGTTGCTGGCGAGACGTGGTGCCGCGTGCGTCAAATGATGGACTCGAACGGCAACATCGTCGACAGCGCCGGTCCTGGCATGCCCGTATCCATCAGTGGTTGGCGCTCCGTCCCTGAGGCGGGCATTCAGCTGCTCGAGGCGCAGAAGGAGGAGGATGCCAAGCGCTGTGTCACGAACCGCCAACGCGAGAGCGAGCGGATCAAGATGGCGGCCGAGATCGATGCTATCAACGAGAAGCGAGCCGGAGACCGGGAGGTCGCTGCCCAGCTCGCCGAGCGTGTCCAGGAAGCCAAGGCGGCGGGTGACAGTGTCACGAAGGCGCTGCACGCCGCGCGCCGAGCAGCCGAGGAGGCCAAGGCTGCTGGAAAGAAGGAGCTCCGCCTCGTCATCAAGGGAGACGTGAGCGGCACCGTCGAGGCGGTTGTCGGCTCCCTCCAGGGTATCGGCAACAAGGAGGCGGGTGTCAAGATCGTGCACACCGGTGTCGGAGACGTGCACGAGAGCGACATCGCGCTGGCCGAGGCAGCCGAGGGCGTTGTGATCGGCTTCAGCGTCGAATGCGCGCGCTCGCTCCAGCAGGAGGCGAAGGAGAAGGGCGTGTCTGTCCTGACAGAACGAGTCATCTACCGCCTGATTGAGGATGTGCGGACGCGCGTGGCCGCGCTCCTGCCGCCCGCGATCGAGACGCGTGTGCTCGGCGAAGCTGTCGTGCAGCAGCTGTTCGACATCAAGCTCCCAAAGAAGGAGATTAAGCGCATCGCCGGCTGCAAGGTCGCCAACGGTGTCATCATGCGCAACGAGGGTGTGCGCGTGCTCCGTGGTCCGGAGCGCAAGTTGATCTTCGAGGGCCAGATGGACGCCCTCAAGCACGTCAAGAAGGACGTGCTGGAGATGCGCAAGGGAACGGAGTGCGGTATCTCCATCGAGGGCTTCCAGGACATTCGCGAGGGAGACGAGATCATCTCTTTCCAGACCTTTGAGGTGCCGCGCACCCTGTAAAAAGTGCACCGCACACATCACCTCTCATCATAGACCGGCATTCATCATAGCATTCCCTATCAATGCATACTTCCTGAACAGGCATACGTGACTTGGACAGGTGCAGATGTGACGTTTGAGAGGTGTTTGTGTGTTCGTGTGTGTGGCAGCGAGGTGCGAGCCTCCACCACCGCCGCCGCCGACACCATCCAAAAAGTGAGCCCCCAGCTAAATCCTTCTCTTCTCATGCCACCCGCACGATTCAGGTAAGGCCGCCTCTACTACCCCCGCCGGGCAGCTAGACCCAGTAGGCGGGCCGCGTCCCGCGCACCAGGCCGCGGTGCTCGCGGCGTCCCACGAGTCCTACGGAAGGGTGCGCGGGTGGTCAGGCCGCTTCGAGGCGAACTCCGCTAGGCGGGCTCGGGTCCCAGACCGCAGGACCTAACCGTTCAGACAAGTTGCAAGCTTGCCTGTCCGGCTTTGTTGTAGGCTGGGTCGGGGAGGGACTATAAGCTGTGTGGACGGGTTGGGAGGAGTGCGCAGAGCGGGCTTCCCCACCGTGGAGGTGGTGGAGGAACTCAGACGTTCACGCGTCGCGTGGGGCACGACAAAGGTGGATCAGCGCGGATCGAGGGGATCAAACCCGGATCGAACGCGGGCCGGGCGGCCGCCGCGCGCCGTGAGTGTTGGCATGTCTCAGCGCGCCAGCTCGGCGCCCAGGCCTCGACGCGGCCGCCGCCGGCGGTCAGACTGGTCAGTGTGCAAGTTGGCCGTGTCAGTGATGCCCCTGCAACAATTGGTCTTCAGAAATACAAAGATGGCATCGTAACGACTCTATTCTATCTCGACCCAAAAATGACTGCCTACCAACCCTCTTCTTACATGCGGAACACACCCCAGTCGCCCGAGTCGCCGTCGGCACCGATCTCGCCACGGCTTCCTCCGTTACCGCCCTGAGGGCGGCTGGCCTTCTCGTCGGCAGCGACCTCGAGGGCGAGGCCGAGGACGTCACGCGTGTCGGAGGGCTGGATGATGCCGTCGTCCCAGAGACGGGCGGTCGAGTAGAGCGCCTCAGACTCCTTCTCAATACGCGCGCGGAGCTCGGCGAACTTCTTCTCGGCGTCGGCGGCGTTGCGGTTGCCCGAGACGGTCTGCATGACGCTGGACAGCTGGTCGGGACCCATGACACAGACCTTGGCGTTGGGCCACATGAAGAGGAATCGCGGCGAGTAGGCACGGCCACACATTCCGTAGTTACCCGCACCGTACGAACCGTTCACGACGACGGTAAACTTGGGCACCTTGGCGCGGGCGACGGCGCGGACCATCTTGGCGCCGTCCTTCGCGATACCGCCACGCTCGGCGGCCTGACCGACCATGTAGCCCGAAACGTTGACGAGGAAGACAAGGGGAATGCCACGCTGGTTGCACAGCTCGATGAAGTGGGTCGCCTTGAGCGCAGAGGGCGAAAGCAGGACACCGTTGTTGGCGACGATGCCGACAGTGTGGCCGTGGATCTCGGCGAAGCCGGTGATAACGGTCTTGCCGTACTCCTTCTTGAACTCGCGGAACTCGGATCCGTCGGTGATGCGAGCAATGACCTCCTTCATGTCGAAGGACTTGCGAGAGTCGGCGGGGACAATAGAGTTGAGCTCCTCGGCAGGGTAGGCAGGCTCGCGGGTCTCGCGGGGAGCCTTGGCAGAGGGGACAGTCGCCTTGCCGAGGTCGAGGACGGCCTCACGCGCGAGACGGATGGCGTGGGCGTCGTTCTGCGCGAGGTAGTCGGCAACACCAGAGACCGAAGTGTGCATGTCACCACCTCCGAGGGTCTCGTCGTCAACGACCTCACCAGTGGCAGCCTTGACGAGCGGGGGACCGGCAAGGAAAATACGACCCTGGTTCTTGACGATGATGACGACATCGGACATGGCGGGCATGTAAGCACCGCCGGCGACCGAGATACCATGCGTAACCGAGATCTGGGGGATACCGAGACCGGACATGCGGGCCATGTTGTAGAAGATGCGGCCGAAGTGGTCGTGGTCCGGGAACACGTTCGACTGGTAGGGGAGAGCGGCACCACCAGACTCGACGAGGTAGACACACGGCAGGCGGTTCTCAAGAGCAACCTGCTGCGCGCGGAGGTGCTTCTTAACGGTCAGAGGATAGTAAGCTCCACCCTTGACAGTGGGGTCGTTGGCAATAATCATGCAGCGCGTTCCGGAAACAGTTCCTGCTGGTCAGTTGCAATTCCCGCCAGAACTGAGCAGGGGACTCACCGATACCGGTGATGATACCGGCTCCGGGAAGGTCATCGGGGTAGACCTCGTGGGCAGCGAGGGGAGAGAGCTCGAGGAAGGCACTGTCGGGGTCGAGGAGAGCCTGGACACTGATTTTGTCAGCTGGTGATCCTCCTGCGCGAGCACACAGACGCTCGCGAACGTCTCCGGCTGCCAGGCTGCACTCACCGTTCCCGGGCGCTGAGCTTGCCCTGGCCCTTGGCCTTCCACTTCTCGAGCGTCTTCTTGCCGCCTCCTTCCCGGGCCTTCGCGCGGAGAGCCTTGAGGTTCTCGACAAGGTTGGTCATGTTGGCCTTGGCCTCCTTGGTCTCGGGGTCATTGGGCTTGAGCTTGGTGGGGAGGGGAGACGGGGGCGCGTTGTTGGGAAGCGTCGGGGGTTGGGCGATGAGGGTGCGCGCGAGGTTGAGGTTGCCGGCGCGGGCGACGGTGGGCGCCACACGAGTACGAGCGCGGAGCATCATCTTTGTCGTGAGTACGAAGGAGGTGAGGAGACAGAGAAGATGGAAAGGGGAGCGACAAAGAAACAGCTGTGATCTTAAGTTCCGTCATGTGCCGGGCCTGGCTGACCTGCTGGCTGAGTGCCGGTCGCGGTGTCTGTGTGCATGCCAGGTCCCAGTCTGGAGTGGACCCGGTGCCCCTAGTCGGGACTTAGCCGGGGTCGGTTATTCACCGTGGACTCCCTTGTTGACCGGTCCGAATAGTGTTCATTAGAAAAGATCCCGCCTAAAGCGAGGCTATTTGCTTTGGATTAGAAAACTAGCGCCCAGCGATTAGAACGCAGTCAGGGCATGACGAATCTGCGGGCACGGAGAGACCACGCGCTGGAATCGTTGCCGAGCATGCCGAGATTCAGAGGTGCGATCGTTGACACCGTGGTGCTTTCGCCGACCACGGAGATTGCCCAAATCGCGGAAGAAAGTGGGCACCCTGCACTCACCAGTTGTCACCAACCTCGGCAAGCCCTTCGTTCGCCATCGATCATGGTCTTGGACAAGTGGGCTAGCGGGTCACGTCCCATCTACGGCCACGGAGGTGCACGCGGAGCCAGTGGGCTCCACCCTCACTTACGCCATACTTGCACGCATCACTCACGTGCATTGCTCTAGAACACCGATATAAGACCAGTCTCCGCCGTCGGATCGTCTGTTAGACCCGCTGTGGTCTCACGATCGGGTATGAGCACGCCGACTGTAACTCCGCTCGTCTCAGCCGAGTGTCGATCGCTTAGACTGCGCGCATATTTCTATGGAACTCATTATCAGCTACCTACAAGGAGCGATTGCTAGTACATCTCGGGCATGCATCTCGCGTTTGGAAGACATTGCGTGTTGAATGTCCAAACACGACCAGCAAGATGCCTGGTTGGTTGTACTCCAGTGCGGCCGTACCAAGATATCGAAAGCGACGTAGCTCAGATGGAAGAGCGTTGGGCTCATATGAGTTCACCCAAAGGGCAGAAGATCGAAACTTCTCGTCGCTAAGAATCTTTTTGTTTTTGAGTGCCAGGTCTGGCCCTGAAGCGGACTTCCTCTCTAACAGACTTGTCCCAGCCTCTGCGGCATTTCCCAACTTGACAATCACATCACTTTGCTGATGCGAACATCGAAGCATTTGATCGTGTGACATGGACATGAGCGTCCGTGAGCTTTCAATGGAGAGTACACTGCCGTGGGCAGATGACCGGGCAAGGGAACCAGAAGCCAAGACACTGCACAAGCCAACAGACCCTACGGGCGGCCTATGGTGGCTCTCCTCGTTCCCCTAGTGGTACCTTCGGACGCGTCCGCCTGCAGACAATGCGGCGTTGCTGCACACACTGTACACCGTGTCATTGCAGCTTGTCCTGCCCGCAGCCAAGCACACACAAGCACGCCGGACGGGTGCACGCGCGTGCATGCCATGGTCCCGTTGTACTCGCAGTGCACCCAACTCGCCACTCGGACTACACTCACGCGGCTCCCAATGGCCGGATGAGGCCACTGCACAAGCTTGGCACCTGTCCATCAGCCGGCGAACGGTGCGGCGGTGTGCATTGGCCTGCATTGGGTATGCTCGCTGCGTTCTGCACCCTCGCTCCTGTCGTCCCCTCTTGGAAACCCCTCGTTCCTTCGTCCCCCTGGTGCAGCTCCGTCCTCCCCGACCCTCCTCGCACCTACATACTGACGCTCGCTCGCTCACGACCCCCGCAGTTGCCATCATCTCTTTCACTCTCTTGCTCACGACACGACTCCTTCACGTCTCCACGCTCTTTATCACCTTATAGTCTGAACAACGCTTGACGCCTAGCTCAGTAACGACATCAACATGCTCGCCTTCGTCTTCTCCGCCCTTCCCCTTCTCGCCCTCGTCGCTGCCGACGACGTCGCTCCGGTCGACGAGCGATGCGCACGCACCGTCATCGTCGAGGCGGGCGACACTTGCGACTTCATCTGTAAGTCACGGAGCGAGCGAAGCGAGAGCAGTGATGAAGATCACCTTATTCGGCATTCCAGCTCAGCGTGATGGAAGGACTGTATTCAAGTCGCAGCTGCAGGCATCAGTGCTGACAGAATAGCGACCAAGTACGGCGCCTCGACGTTCCAGCTCTCGCACGTGAACCCGCTCTCGATCGACGAGGCGTGCGAGCAGCTCCAGATCGGGTCGGAGCTCTGCCTCGGCTTCGAGGGCTCGGACTGCTCCAAGATCCACACCGTCGTCGAGGGCGACACGTGCGGCCATCTCATCGACGTGTACGGGATGGACGACGCGACGCTGCGCCAGAACAACCCCCAGATCAACGACGAGTGCACCAACATCTACATCGGCGAGGTGCTCTGCGTCGACACCCAGGCGTTCGAGTACCCCGAGTTTGACCAGGAGAAGTTCGAGGTGAGTTAAGGATCACGGCCGGCTTGTAAGGTTGCGTGAGCAGCTGAACCGGAGGCGGAGTGGTGCAAGTCATGTGTTCAGTGTTATCGGAGAGTTTGGCTAACCCCAGATCGTCGCTGAGACGTACCTCCCCTTCTGCGACCAGGTCGGCGAGGAGTCCGCCTAAGCGGGCACAAGCGCAACTTGGCTGGCCAAGTTGTTGGGAGCTGATCTGATCAGCTCCAAGTTGTCACCGATACAGTAGTCATTCTGTTATCATCCTGCCTATTCATGAATCCTCCCATGCCTTAACGAGGGCTGGGGTTGCCATCTTGATAACGCAACTCGCCTGGGCCGTTCCACGCTCTCAGGTGTCGGACCACGATGGACATGGGCACAATGCCGCTGTGTCTCGGTCTCCGCCGAGCGGCGCGGTCATTGTTGGCCAGAGATCGAAACGCTCTCAGATCAGACATGGGAGACGGGGCAAGAATAGATCCTGATGGTAGACAGAAAGCAGTCGCCGACGCCGCCGTATCAGACGAGACCACCAACACCGCGGCTCGCGGCTCGGAGACTGCTCGAAAGGAAGCAAGAGCAGGCATGGGACGACTTGGCCACAAGGCATGCGAGTAAGGGCCGACACAGGGCCGGCGGCCCGTGCTCTCCTGCGGCGTTGCGGCGTGCGCGGCGTGTCTCCAAACCATGCATGCCAGCTTCTCATCGGTTGCTTCACCCTGCATCATCCTGCCTCACCCTGCGTTGCGGCGCCACATCAGCGCCACACCCCCCTCCACCACCCCTAACTTGGTCCGGGCTCAGCGAGTCGTCTTCCTTTGTCCATTGGCACCTGACAGTGACGAGTTAAGGGTGCAGAAGGAAACAAAAACGGTTAGCGACGAGAAGTTTCGATCTTCTGCCCTTTGGGTGGTCTCGTATGAGCCCAACGCTCTTCCATCTGAGCTACGTCGCTTGGCACGGAGATCTCTCGGCGCGCGGTGAGGTGACCGCCCCGCCCCCCGGCTCGGGGGAGCGATCAGGCACTGTATCGCAGCTCATCGCGGTTGTCACCTCCTGCTCACAGCGGCTGCTCACAACGGTTGATGATGGAGTCGAAGTCCGATGCATAGAACTATAACACAGAGAAACATACTGCATGGCACGTGTTTATGGGTTTTTATGGAATGCAGCTATGGTGAACGGGGGCCATGGGCATGGGGCGTGTCCGAGAACGATGACAACCGATACGTGAGACAGGATTACAGTGTGATGAATGACCTTCAGATTCTAAAGAGAGCTTGTGCTGATGGAGCGCGTGCTCATCGT